AGGAGCAGAAACGGCTCCAGCGGATGTGTTTTATGCCAGAGTGTCAATAAATAAGGCAAAGGCTAAAGAGAGAAGATCGAGTCAGGTAAGAGAGTCACGATCGGAATAAGCGTTTACATGGACGCGTTTCTGAATAACGATTAGCATAAACCACCCCTCACGATCGGAATACAATTTCTTTCCGATTGAGCCGAATTGGATCGGAATCTTCCGATCAACATTTTTACATCATGCATTTTAATTCCGATCGGGCATTTATTCTGATCATTTGTGCTCATGTAAACGCATTTTGTAATGATTGTGAGTCCTGTGTGAATCCACAGCGCTCTACCTTTGAGTGTAGATCATGACTTAAATTACCACACTTGGGAGGAAACAAGAATGCACTGAGAAAAGGTACAGTGGTTAAGACGGATGTCTCACAGCAGGATGGTCCTGGGTTTGACTCCCAACTGGGCATTCAACCTTTGAGCTACAGAGTTCTTGTTTCCAAGTGCTGGAGTATAGGCCACAATTTTCAAAATTATACGCTTGTGGAAACAAAAAAAGACCTGAACAGGTCAATACAATGCAGTACAGTATTCAAGACCTTCATAGCGTATCACTTGAAACCAGAATCATGCCTTGGCTTCCAACACAAAGAGTAAAGACAGAGAAAAGACCGCCACGTGAATATGGTGACTTGGTTTTACATAGCTTGCAGTCAATACTAATTTTTGTATGAAAGTCTGCAAGACTATACCGTAAATTTCTGTTGACAGGGTTTTAACGTCGGGAAAAATTGGATTTCAGATAGTATTAAACTTGATTAAACCACAGAGGAAAAGAGAGTGAGCCTTCTGTGTTAATTTTTCCTTCCAGACAGTGAACTGAATATTTGTGTGACGACTACATATTTTGTTTCTTACAGGCTCAGGTGTAAACCAAACATGTTGAGGAGGTAAAGATACTGCCATAAAAGGAGAATTTGTGACACATCATGATGAAATTGCACTACTAAATACCTGATTATGCATATTTGTTTTCCTTGGACAGCTCTTCTCTGAATTGGCATGGTGTGAAGCCTCCCAGTTTGCTGCTACTCATTTAGATCAAGTTGCATTTAAGAGAGTGGAAGATTCAAGAGTGTTTTCAGCTTGTTCCAACAAACGCTTCTCCTTCAACAACACACATTTGTGGCAGGTTCTGAGAAAAACCTCCACCGAGCAACTGTTTTATGACTAAGTGTGTGTTTAGCCACATGTGCCCTCCATCCCATGTGCTTTCCCCCCTGCTGGGTGAAGCTCACACAGACACACATGCACACAAGCTACAAAAACACACTGACGTGCATACGCTTTCTGACCAGTGTGCTCTTCCCTGTCAGTCACACACACACACACACACACACACACACACACACACACACACACACACACACACACACACACACACACACACAGATGATTCCCTGGAGGCCAGGCAGGGGGTCTGGCTGGGACAGAGATGGACACATGCTGGGATCAGAGCAGCAGCGTGTGGTTCACATTTCTCTTTCTCTCTTTCCTCCAATCTCCCGCTTCCTTCCTCCTCTTATCATCGACACCCCACTCCCTCCTCTCCCTGCTCTGTTTACCCCCTGTGCCGCACAAAAGCTGAGTGTTTCAAATGTATTCTGCACACAAACTCATCAGACGACTGTTCCTGAACCTATAGAGGTAATTAGATATTTGAGATTGAAATCTGGTGATTCCTGCTCCCTCCTTGCCGTGTGTTTTCCGTCTTCATCCTGTGCTCCCCTCCTTCTCTCTGTCCTCTCCTCGTGTAGCAAGCTGGGTACCAAACTCCTCATTACTTTAATTTAGCAGGCATGCCGCTCCCCTAATGGCCTTGGGGGCCTGAAGAATATCAAGTGCTGTTTAATTTTTTAATTCTATTCAGGCCTTAACATTCGTTCCATCCCTCCTCTAGCTCTTCTGTCCTTCTTTTTCCGATCATTTCGGATTCCATTTATTGTTACTTCACAAACAGTTACTAAAGGAGTTTTTCTTAATGGGGTACGGAAAGGATGCGAGTTTTAAAAGCATATCAAAGTACCATCCCTCCATTTCATGCCATCCGTTGATCCCTGCATTCAACAAGTGTGCACATGTTTTGCTGTTGCTCATGCTCCTCTGAATGTGTGCACTTATTTAACCTTATCGTTTTCTGAATTAGGCAGATCTCCATGGCGACCGAGGTAGCACAGAGCAGGTGAAGGGCCCTTGAGGATGCATTAGGGCCTTCTTGCGACAAGGGGCTGCATCTTAGCTGTAAGCTAAACTGTGCATCAGGCTGGTCTCAAGGGCCGATGCAGATATCCGCCTGGAATTGTCTTCAGCCCGCTGTGCATATAAATGCAAACTTCTCTGAGAACAGTTGAAATGTCTCGGTGATGAGTATACATGCGGAAAATAAATAACCTGCTGATAAAATGAGGTTCAGAGAATGAAGGCGCTACTCTGAATGTCTTCTGAAGACATGCCGAAAAGGCTGGTTCTGAACAGGATCGAACAGGACGGAGCGAGAGGAGTTGATAAAAAGTTACCTACTAAAAGGAAAATGTGGAAATGATGATAGACAGTGAGAATATTCTTGGTTAGAATCAAAGATGTTTAAAGATTTTCCAAAAGTATTTAACGTTTAGCTAAATGTTTGTAAGGGCCTCTCAACAAGGACAGACCTCTGCACGGGTTTAAACCACAACCGTCTTTGTTGTGAGGCATTAGTATTAACCACGAACATGCGGCTATGAGGCCTACTTTTTTCCACTTACCATTTACTTTATTGCTAAAGTTTTACATTTGATTAAAGAAAAGACTGAATTTCATTCAGGACGCTCCTGTCAGTTGGATTTTTCCCCCCACTGCAACCATGGCTGCCAGATGACAACTTCATCTCTATCACTCAGTGTCTCTCTCATCCTCCTCATCCTCCTCTCATTGGGTTGGAGTGCTGTTACATGACAATCCAATATCCACCAGAATCAGCCTTAATACTCAACAGCTTACGCTCCTTTTCCTTACATCCCTGGATTTTATTCCATCGACCCACATTTCTTATTTCCTCAATTCTCATGTCTCCTCTCTGCCGCAGTGGTAACATTACAAATGAATGGAAGAAAAAAAAAAAAACCCATGGAGGGATATGTGCGGTATTTTTTTATCTTAAAAATATGTAATTCCATATTTTGATTTTGATTTTATTACATAACTTTCATTGCTTTTCGTGATATATCAATAAACCAGATTTTAATGGTGCGCCCTCCACCGTTCACTGAAATTAATAGTTTTTTGTTGGGCGTATGGCTCTTTCAAAGACATTAGATAGTTAAGGCATTTTTAAGGTTTTCTAGCATGACCAAATATGTTTTAATTATGAGCCAAATGATTCAATGCAAGATTTTCTTTCTTTTTGTGATTTATATAAAAAAAGTACATTCAAAGCGTTTGTGTTTGTCTAAAAGCAGATTTTTGTCTACAATGAGAACAGAACGTTTCTTAACATTATTCTTTTACCGTGAACCTTATCTAAGAATATTGTTAAAACATAAAACGTAGTTTGTAATATTTTTAATGAAGTGGCATCTATTTAATTGTACACTGCTTTGCTTTTGCTTACTTACCCCAAACTTGGTCCTGGAACAGAAAAAATTAACAATTAGTTATATTCACTGTTCCCAGAAATACAATGTTTCAGTCTTCCTCCTGATTTAACAGCTCAAATTTTCCACATTATTTTTCCCCTTCAATCTGCTTACCATGAAAACCAGCTCAGTGTGATTTTTTTTTTTTTTTGATGGGGGTTACATGGTAACACAGAGCCAAAAAAATGTGTGACAGCGTCTGATGGCTTAGTCTAATGTTCCCTCTCTGTGGGTGTGTGAAATTCACACATGTGAACACACCTCCTGCCTACCCAGGAGAGAGCCACCTGACCTTTAGCTTGTGCTGGATTTAATGAAGAGACTACCATTTACCCCCACCCTTGATACCCTCCGTTTTATCCACCGGGCAGTCTGGCTGAATGAGCTCTGATCATATTAATGAGCTAGACATGCAAACAATTGGTCTGCCAGTCAGGCCAGTTTGACTGACTGGTCAATGGTGGCCTAAAAAATCCAACGCTCAGATTTAGGCTGCCAGAAAAGAAGACACTAGTGACATCCAGTGGTGGGTTTGTAGGCTGATTCCACATACTTTTCCTTAATACTGTACTCAGGCTGGTCAGGAATGGCAAGTAACAGGTAGTGTAGTGTTTTTTCATGATAAGTGATACGTGCTCACAGGTTTAAGTCTGCCAGAGCTTTAATAGTAAGCCAAAACTTTGCGTAAATGACATTTAGAAAACATGACAGCTGCACGCAGGGAAGAAAACATCACAACCTTTTATATAAGAACTGTTTCAAGGCGGTAAGAGATGTAAAAGAAAGCATAAAAACCTCCAAATGAGCTTAAGTATTTTTATCATACTATCATATAAGTATGCTGAGTGTAAGGCACTAGGAGTAATTCTTTAAGATATTTTGAATTACTCATATGTAGTTACAGCTGCATTGAAAAGGCTTAACAGTTGTGTTAGAGTATTTCTAGACTGCGGCTCTTGTGAGGGGTTTCCAGTCTGCAGTGGTCAGGGCCTGCCAAAAGTGGCCCAAGGAAGGGAATCTGGTGATACTGTGACATGGATAAGGTGGCCCACATTCAAATTCTGGCTCATGTAGTCCAATCACAAAATTGCTGCAGACTGGTCAGGGTGTCAATTCTGACCTCTGTCAGATGCCTACAAAGGCAGCTCATCTGATGCATGTGATTCAAAATTAAAACAGAAAGCATAGACACTTGAACATTTGTAAAAAAGTATGAATTGTAGTTGGGCGATGTGAGTAAAAGCCTATAGTTGTAAATATAGAATTGAAACGGGATTAAAAAACACTATTACAACACTGATTTTGTACTAAAAATAATGACTCTCTACTCTCTACATGACTGATTTTTTTAATAAACTTTAATCAAAATTCATTATATCATCACACAGCACTGTACACAGTATTATACACAAGGCTCCTGTGAGGGTAGTGTTTTTGTTCACAGAGACTCACAGCACCAGGCTGCAGTTGAACTGTGTGGTGGGTGAAAGTGTGCAGCAGCCTTGCAGACTGCTGTCGCTGAATCCACCTCCGGTCGTCACGTTCAGTGGCTCATACACCGTGACACTGTGAATAACACACATAATGAATCACACTACGTCCCCACTCCATCCGTTGTTGACATTCTTAAAGCTGTTTGTAATTTATAATTTAACAGAGATATATCGGAAACGTCTACAAAAGCTAGCTTCACAGTCATGAGCAAAAAGAGTCATAACTTAACCGAGGTACAAACAGACATGCCCCGGCTTGTTGAAGTAACTCACAGGTACAAACACTCACCTGTTATATAGTTGTTTGCAGCACATGACCAGCTGTGAGCTCATGGTCACATTGGTATTATTGAACTCTGTGCTCAGGAACTGCGGGCAATGAAGGTCAGGGATGTACAACACTCCTAAAATTTCACAGAGAGCATTAGTTACTTTAAAGACGGACATTTTATATCTGCTGTGGCATGTTGAATTGTGCTGTGAATACCTGAGATTGTTACCCTAATAAACACATAAACACCAAGGACTAACATTGTCATTCAATGTTGATCAGATATGAGTCTTTTCTAGTAAGATAGGACTAGATGAGTTATGATAAGATTCTTATCTCATCTGAATCCAGCATCAGCAGAGAACTTTGTAGTTTATAGTTTGGGTGGTACAGTTTAAACCTGGATTTGTGGATACAGGGACAAAACTGTATTCACACATTGTTTTTTTTAAGTGATTGTGAGTCCATGTAGCAATTTCCACTACAGAGACATGTCTGTTTTTAACGTAGTGCCACTTGAGGGCCCAAAGATCATAGCTACGCAGTATCAGTTATCAGCCTTGTCCATTTTATTCATGTATTGAGTCTTTTAATGATATCTTTGTAGATGATGGCATCCTCAAATCATTCCAGTCTATGCAAAGGAATATCATTCTGGAGTCACTGAATCATTACATAACTTTTCCAGTCATTTTGTTGTTCAGCTCAAACTGTTTTGAGACTTTTCAGTCTCAACATTTGATTTGTTGTCTTTGCCTAATTTTAAGATTAAATATTGTCTCTAAAGGTTTATTAACCGACAAACTCTGTTTTTATCAACAATTTACACAGTGTCCCAACTCCTACACAATTGAAGTTGTGTAGTTAATGTAGTTAACTTAAAAATTTTGTGTAATAAAAAGCAGATTTCTTTGTAAATCATGTTGGAATTATTCTTTTCTAGCATATAAAATGTACTTTAAAAATATACATTTAAAAACGTAACTTGGGAAAATAGATGCAGCAATTATTTAAAACAAAAAAAAGGCAATCTTATTAGCTGTCTAACTGACATTAAAAACACATATTTGAATATGACTGACGTTTCATTCACTATGAAAAGAAGAGCAATTTGTCACCTGCAATACAGGCTGTCATGAAACATGAAACACTGCCTGCAATCAGAGCTCTGAAACCACAGCTAGAGATGTCAGCACGTCTGTCTGGAGCCATCGCCGCTAAAAAAAAAAATTTTAAAAGGCAAAAAAGAAAAAAAATACAGAATGATATAAAGAACAAAACATTTTAAAAATATGACAAAACTTGTGAAGTCAACTTAACAGCGACACAATTTCACCTAGAAGATACTTCTGCTCAAAGCAACATACATCTAAGAGAGAGAATAAGTTCTTCAAAGTATTTTTTTCTGTCTTTGCATTTATTGGACTGGACAGGACAGGAGCAAAAAAAAAAAAAAAAACGGGGAATGAGGAGAATAGACAGTGGGGCGGGGGGTGATGTGCAGCAAAGGGTCATGGCCTCTGCATATGAGTTATCCTGTTAAACCAGAAAGTGTCCCAGATTGAGTTCAAAAGTAACCCTGTTTTTGACAGCACCAGCTTGGTCTCCATAGTCGACTTCTTGCATGAACAGGATTTGTTTTCTGGGTTTTTTTATTGGCATCTATTTATCTGTTTCTTATTGTTTGTCGGCTCATTTAGCCCTTTAATGCCTTTTGTATCATATTTGACACATACTTTTATGATACTTCTACTACAAAAACACCTGAATACAGTCTGATAAATGATAAAAATGTCCTCTTGTGTTTTATCAGTTTCCAAAAACATCTAATGCATCAAACGAGATAAATAAATATATTTGTTAAATTATAAGGACATTTTTATCTTTTGGTTTTTTAGTAGTAAGTGAAATAAACATTTCAGCTCCAAAAAAAATAGAATTTTCTGGCCATAATTTGTGGTTTCAGGCATTAAAGGGTTAACATTATTCACTGATCTTTTTCTATGTTAGTTTATATTATGAATGGATTTTGGTTCAGAACAGATTTATTGAAGATACATTTTCATTTAACTTGTCAAGGGCGCTTTAAATCCTGTAAACATAAAACATGACACAAAACAAACTAATCCTTGTTTTCAATTCCCTGGTGATTTGTTGTTCACCACTGTAGAGTCTTTTTGAATCACAATTTTCCTTATTAAGTTATTTTGCATAGAGAACTTGGAGATCCTGACCCCCTCATCTCTGATTTTATGTTGTTTAACAAAAACATTTCCCATCTTTTATTCAGCCAGAGAGGCTTTTGTAAAGCTGGGTATTTTTTTCAGCACCACCCTCATTTGACTTAACATCAGTTACTTTACAGTATGTTGACAGTTGTTATGAATGCATTCATTAAGTCCTGGAAATGTGCTGATATTGTGTGATACTGTGGGATTATGATGGGATGCATTACAACCGCACTTTTGTTTTCCAGCTTGTGGCAGCTAGAGACTAAATGGAACAGACTTAACTTCTCATTCAGCCTACGCACTGTAACTCGATTAAATGTAACAGATGGATTCTCACTACCTACTCCCAGACAGCCAGGAAAAATACTTTCGTCCTCTACATTCCCACAGTATGTGTACGACTATTTCTATTACTGTGCAGCTTTTTAAGCCTGTAAGGACAGTGAAGTGCTGTCATACAGTAAAGTGTACTCAGTCATACATTTTGGTGTATATGACTCTAAAAGGGAACTGTACAGATGTTCCCGTTTGACTGTCTGGTGTTCTTGAGTTTGTGTAAGGTTGTCACTCACACATCGCTCCGACTGTCATTCCCAGGGATGCAAAGTTTGAAAATCCACACAAAGCATAGGTGGCAATGGTTTCAGAGTGGACCTAAAGGAAGATGGTTGTTTTGAAATAAATCAAACTGCAAACAACTTTGACACTGCACTTGCATAACTTGATACTACTTCATGAAGTAGAAATGTAGCTAAGATGAATTAGACTCACAGAAATATACTGCTTCACCTGGTGCACATATTCAGGCCCTCCTGCTTTCCGCTTCTTTATTAGTTCTGACAACCTCTGATAGGCCACAAACTCATTGATAAATGTCTTTATGCCAATTAGTTCAGCTACGATAAAACTGTCCTCCCAGGAAACGCCCATCATGAAGGAGAGAGGCATGAACAGGTACGAGCAGATGAGCTGAGGAAGAGACAGGACAGAAAATGAATCCATAAATGATCATTATATTCTCACTGCTGAAGTGTCTTTTGAAGTCACACTCAGGTTGGATGCTAAAATTAATTCAGATATTTGTGTGGATGTCTGAGTGTGATTAATGAGTTTCAGGAATCACCGAGAAGCTGAGCTGTGGATAGTCCAACATCGCACCCAGCCAGGAGAGAGTGGAGTCCAAAAAGGCCAACAACGCCATGAAGGCAATGATGTTAACCACAATGTTGGCCACTAAACCAATAGCACAAGATGCACCCTGGGATGCTGCTTCCAACAGGTTGGTACTCTCTCTGAGGAAACACAAAGAACAGTTGAACAGTAATTTCACACTTCCTCCTGTGAACAACATGCGGTCTAATTTAAATAGCACACTGTCATCAGCATAATAGAGTGGATGGGACATGAAATGTGGTGTGTAGTTGTGGTTCATCATTTTCATTTTTCAGCTACTGTAAGCAACACATTAGGGCGAGTCTTTTTCAAGTCACAATATTTGCCAATATTTTTTTAAGAGGAAGAAAAGGGTGGAGAAATAAATGGAAAGGCTTTAAAGAATTAAACTCTTTCATTTTTTGTGTTTGTGTTTTAATATTTGTTCATTCTGTCCCATCCTACCCTCGTTCCATTTTCAGGTCATGACTCGATGTTACACGGGGGGTTTCTGTTTCAGGCCAGAACATCTTGGCAATGGCGAGGGAGGCCGGAGCAGACATCACTGATGCTGTCAGCAGGTGAGTTGACTTAACCTTGAAAGACAGGCACAAAAAACAGGACAAAAGTGTAATGGTCAATCATTCACCTTCTGACAAACATGTCAAGGACAGGTTAGAGTTGTTAAAGAGTCTGGAGATGACACTATATAAAACCTCTGAATTTATTTCAAATACATTTAAAATGGTAAAACATCAACCAGATACAGATTTCTACAATTTGGAGATCTAACAAAGATGCTGTAATGTGATGCTGTGTTTTAGTTTATGTTTCAAAATGTTTCCTTTGTAGAAATTCAGCGCGCGTAAAAAAAAAAAAAAAAAAATCTCTGAAACAACTCTAGAAAACACTGTTTTAAGATTTCAGGTATGAAATGATACAAACTTTATATACATATAAAAATATATAGTTTTTTTTTATTCTTGTAATGCCTTTATAAACAATGATATATTCATCTCTTTCAAGTCTGCTCTGAAGCGACACTTGTTTATACAGGCTTTTGGTATCTAGTTAGGTTTTTTTGTAGTGTGTTGTTAAGCGCTTTGGGTATCTTGAAAGGCGCTATACAAATGTAAGGTATTATTATTATTATTAATCTCACTAAGCTTTTAGGAACTTATGAACTGATCTTTAAACTGTTAACAACTTCAGAGTTATTGTGTGTGAATATTTTATAATCATGTAATGTTGTTCTAAAAATATTTAGTCTGTAAACCCCCCTAAAATAAAATGAGCAGTTGTAGGGATTATATAGTATGTTTGTCACCTGTTGCTTCAAACAAGAGCTTTCAAGTGCAACTTTAGTAAGTCATGAATATAATATTATTAATAACCCTTTTTTGTCCGCCATGTTCTTCAGACATTCAAAACATGCGTAAATCTAACATTATTTGCACCTGTGTGTCATATGTGTCATATAAAACATACTTGATTTAGATTACATCTTCACTTCACTCCCTCTTCCTCCCCCACACATGCCTCCTCACCCCAAATGAGATATAGGCTCCTAAGATGGTACCAGAGATGCTGGCAAACCCTCCTGTCATCACAGCATGGATCTCAGAGAGCGTTAACCCACTGATGTATGGACGAATCAAGAGAGGGGAGTCCGTCTAAAAGAGAGAGAGAGAGGATAGTTTGGCATGCTTGTGAGTCACTTTAATGATGAACATAATTTCATAAAAGATCTTGATGCTCATGGTTTCAACTGTTGTTTACCTGGCCCAGGAATATATTTCCAGCTGCTGCCATAGACTCTGTCGGAGATGTTCCCATGGTAACCTGCATTAGAAATCCAATCTGGAGGAAAAATCAGCATGGCACAGAAAAAAAAAGATATATAACTAGTGCATATCAAGAGCCAAATTTCCAGGTGCTTCGAGTTGTCATTATTGTTTCACTTGTAAATTTAAAATGAAGAAATTAATGAACCAATTTGACAATTTTTTTCTCTGTCTGTGCACCTGAGCTGCTGTCTTACCTTGCAAACAAGCCAGGGCATGAAGCCAATGTGGTAGAGGATGGAGATGACAGAGCTAAGAAAAACCAATATTGGCATCACCTGGAGAGAGTCAACCATCACTGTCATCACTATGAGCATTACTGAACTCCTGTTTAAGATCTAATTATTGTTTTTGCATGGGATAAAGGATATCCGATTTCATATGATATTTACTTTGTCAAGCACTTTAGTTTTTATTTTTGAACTTGGAAAACGGGGATAAAGAGTGGGGTGTGACATTTGGGAAAAAGGCTGCAGGTTGGAATCAAACCTGGGCTGTCTGTCTGAAGACCACTAGACATATTGGGGTCCCTTTGTCCTTCACTTTTACATCAATGGGTGTATGTTTGTGAGTGTGTCATACCTTAAAGACGAAAAAGTGATCCGTGTAAGTGGCTCCAAAAACAAACTTGGACCCAACGTCTGTAAACGCCATGAAATTCTGGATACAGGAAAATTAAACAGGTAAAAATAGGTTCTGACAACAATGAAACAATCATATTTTTTTCATAGTATGTATTTCATATACAATAATATACAACTTCAAAAAAGACAGGTGACAGAGGAGACAAGAAACAGAGGAGAAGGAAGAAAAAAGGAAGCAAGGTAAACATTGAAAGAAAGAAAGAAAGAAAGAAAGAAAGAAAGAAAGAAAGAAAGAAACCGGACAAAGGACTAGAAAATAAACCAACAACTAAAGAAATGGATGGATTCAAAAGCCAGAAGAGAACTCAAACAAATCAATAACAACAACAAAAAAACAATCATTCAGAGTATTCTGAAGTCCACGCCTGTGTGTATACCTCTATAAGTTTCCCAAGCCATTGCAGTGCCCCTAAACCAAACGTGGTCCTGAGGATCAGCAGTCCAAAGACAAACTGCAGCCCAACACCACACAGCAGAGTCTGCCAAGACCACTGCAACACAAATACAGTTTGTGTCTGAACACACACACTTATCACGAAAACAGTTTGAGTCCCTGTGTTAATGTGTTTATGTATCTCTTACCCGAAATGGGTGTTTGGAAAATAGCATCATTAAGAAGATTAAGAGCAATAAACCAAAGAAAGACACAAGTTGTCTGGTCCCCTGCTGGGCTGTGTCCAGTGCTAACCACAACACCACAGCTACCAGCAGCAACACACAGATTGTCCTTAGAGAGAGAGAGAGAGAGAGAGAGAGAGAGAGGTTAGCAGGGGAACAAAGGGAAGAGGACAATAAAGAAGAGATGAACCAACAGGTTTGCATGTCTCTCAAGTGTTTCCTATTGACAAGAAGTAAAGAATTATACTCTACGATGAGTGTGAAAGAAAGCGTGTCAGATGAGGAAAGGCAGAAAACTCAGAACCACACTTGCTGGTAAACAGCTGTCTACAGTGCTCAAAGTCAATGGACAACTTAAAGCAGAATTTTTCAGCCAACAGCAACATCTTGGTGAAAGGAATTGACATTCAAATACTAATAATGTGAATAGAGCCTCTTCTGGTGTAGCATTACGTTTTGTTAAGATTTTAATTTTCCTACCGTAAATAAAAGCTCCTGAGAGCAACTTGCAGTATTGGCTTTATTATACATGCAAACATGCGAGATCTTTATTGATTCCAAAAGGAAAATTCAGTTCTCATGTCCTCCATGGGCTGAAATTGCCTCTCTAGTCGGATGTATCATTTATTGTGATGTGGAAATTGTGGGTCAGTTTTACACATATAAATCTAAATATATATATGTATATGTATATATATATATATATATATATATATATATATATATATATATATATATATATATATATATATATATATACCACTTTTCTGCAGAAGAACTGCCACTGAAGTGTCCCTCAGCTGGTTCAATTACTGGACTTAGTGTGCACTGTAGCACACAGCAGTCCCTCTAACACTTTGTCATTAACTGCCCTTGTTTCCTTTCATTTTGCCCTGTCTGAATTCAGTACTCATGCTGATTTCACAAATGATGAATTTCCTTACAATTTTCCTCACAACTTCGTTGTTGCTGGGAGACAGAAAAACCTTCAACCTGTCTGAACTGTCTTGCACATTATGATCATTTGTTACAGTTACAAGGACAAAGCATCATTTATTTCAGTATCACTGTAATAAATAAAGATTAAAAAAAACTCCCTCCAGTTCTGTATAATAAGAACCAGAGAAATAAAAAGTCAAATATGTTTCCAACAGTATGTCATCTTTCTCACCATTTAATCCAGAACCAGTTCCTCTCAAGGAGCTGTCTGATGGGATGTAGCTCCTCCCACACCCTGTCGCCATAGCGTTCCATTGTCCAATCCCAGACAAGGAAGAACAAGGTTACCAAGGAGATGACCAGCAGCACAACAGCACGGCGGAAGTTGAGCACACATGCTGCTATCACTATGGCAACTATTCCTGAAACAAAATTAGCATTAAAATGAATTACATCCTGCAAAGCTGCTATCATTTTAATCTTTGATATTCCAACGCTTGAAATACTTTCTTTTACCTGCTGCGTTTTATCCTGACAAATGAAAAACAAATAACTCTGAAGCCTTGTCAACTGTTCATATTTCTTATTCTTTTTATTTCTCATGCATCAAAAACACGCAGACAGGGCAAGGATGTATGAGAAGGAAATCTCAGATAAGCCTCCTAAAGCCTTCAGCAGGGAGCCCAGACAAAGAGCAAATATAATATGATACAAAAGAAAAAATCACTAACAAAGAGACGATTATAAACACAGTAGTCCCCGATCACAACATCAGTCCAACACCAATTCAATAGTATAGAGTTCATCAATCTAATGTTACATCAAAATAATTCCAGGTGAAGAATTATTGTTAGACCATGGGACTATTTTAATTCCCTTTTCCCCCTTTCCTTGTGAGCTGATAAAGAGTGTGTTCTGAAGAAATGAAAACAAATGCCAGGGTCATTTGAACTTTGAACATAATTTGAAGTGCTTACAGTAGTTATCTCTCACACACTAGATCAAAAATGTACTTGAAAAATGACTTAAAGCCCCGGTGAGATTTTTTTTAAACCAATGAAAAAGACTGAAATTCATATCGATGTCTTTTGATGATATATGAAAGCAAGTAAAACCATCAGAAACATTGATAGGTTTTATATTGTAATTTTCAATATATTGTAACAACACCTGTGTGAGAGGTAGGTGTCAGTCAAGCAGCTGGAGAAAGAGCCCTATTTTTACATTTTTCACATGAAACATTCACAAAAACGGATAAATTTGACTGTCAACTGTCAGAATGATGGTTTTTTTGTTTGTTTGTTTGTTTGCAAAGGACAGTACTTTTAAGTCCAGAAAACAAGATAAGCAAAAACCTTTGTCCACAGGTGGGTGCCAAAATTGATACAAGCCAAAAGTTTTTGGCAGGAGCTTCAACAATACGCCAACATGCATAATAAGATTAAAAAACACTTGATTTACACTTCAACATTGACTGCTCAAGGATAAAAAAAGGCAATTTATAAAAAAAACAAAAACAAACAGACATTTGTGACAAAAAGTTGACAATTCTGGGGTGTGTACACAACATGATAATCATATCCTATCAGATAAATCAAATAGGTTATCGGTCATTATTTGTTTTGAATAACAGACTGACATGACTTGCAGTTTTTTGTGTTTTTTTTTATCTGTTGCTTATCAATCAGGAATGAAATGGTAAACAAAACCCAGGGACACACACAATGAGTGTAACACCTGACCAAATGGCCACAGTGTGTAAACATACTAAATTGTGGGAGTCCTTCAGGCCATTCAAGGTCATTAGTTACATTTTAATGGATGCTAACAAGGATTATTTACCTGCGATTAAAACCAGGTGTATTATCAGGAGGATAAGGTCTCTGTGGTCCGCCAAACAACCGTGGATTGTCTCCATTTTCTTCTCCAGTGGGCTGGGCATGCAGAAAGAATCAAGATAAAGGGGCACATAAAGTGAGAAGCCTTATATGTAACTTTACAAAGAAACAATGGCTGAGGGTGGAGGACAGAGAGGAAATCTGTGAGGTGAAAAAACAACCTTTTCTTGTGGGGAGTTGTCTTTTTGTGTCCATCCTCTGTAACTCCTGAAGGACTGTCTGTGTCAATCTGATTCTGCTCCTGCCATACAAAGACACACACAGCATACTAAATATTAGAAACATAGTATGCTTGCACACAAGGATGCTTACACAGCGACATATATTTACTCAGAGCCTCAATGCAAACGTAAAGGAGAACTTCTACTCTTGAGCACACGGAGCAGGTGTCTCTGCACACACAGGTGTGTCACATTCAAAGTAAGAGAGTGTCCTATCATGCGAGAGGGAACAACAACATAGAACTGAAAAGCACATCTCTAAAATAAAAACTGTTTCTCAATTAAAGGTAACTTGATATCTAACACTTTCGAGGAGAACAACATGAATTAACTTCATGAGTTAAGCAAATTTTCAGACCCAGATATTTTAGTGGGGCGATGTTTTGGTCTACAGAATCATACGAATGATGGCTGATAAACGTTTGTAACAGAACAAGTGAAATAGCTTATCAGAAGCCTCAGAGACTCAGTTAAATTGTATATCTTACCTCTGACTCAAAGGCCTTGTTGTCTCTACCTGTTTTTTGACTCTTCCTCTGTAGTAAATTTAGCTCCATTCTTCCTCCTCACTGACTTTAAGTTGCTGTCCCAGCTTGCTGAAAGTCTTCTCCAACACACCTTTTCCCCTCCCACCATCCTACCTTGCCCGCCCCTTGCATCCCCTCTGTTCAAAAGACAGAGCGTACGATGACCTATCTATCTATCTATCTATCTATCTATCTATCTATCTATCTATCTATCTATCTATCTATCTATCTATCTATCTATCTCTTTCTTTCTTTCTTTCTTTCTTTCTTTCTTTCTTTCGTCCTCTGTTTTAAGTCTGCATTCCTTTTCCTTCCTTGCACATATTAGCTTTCACAATAATCCACTGTTTGTCAGACTGCTGTTATCTATCATCAGGTGTAATATTTAAGGTCATTAAAGGATTACTTCAGCGGCACATTTGAAATATGCACACACACGCACGCACGCACGCACGCACGCACACACACACACACACACACACACAGATATATATACCTGTATCAATCTGGAGGAGGCTAGTAATTGGCTTAAACTTTTTGGGTTTTTGGCAGTCGGACCGACCTGACCCTTTTCCAGTCTAGTTCTCTTGCCCTCTCTTGAGACATTTTGCTTCTGCACAGAACCACAATGTTTGCAGAAGAAATTAATGACTATAATATTATGGTTAATTTGTCCCTCTACGGGTTAGGGTTGTTTTTTCCTTCCCTATCCCATCCCTTTTAAAATAAACATAATAATAATACCTATCCCTAACCATTTGTTACAACCCGGCTCTTGAGCTGTAACAAAAATGGGAGGCGAGATGAGGTAGAAATCATTTAACCTTCAATTTATTCCAAAACAGACAACAAAAAGGAGTAAACCAAACAGTTTAGTAATCTGCAACAAACAAAACAATACAGCAGTGCCGCCATGCACGCTCCGCGCTGTCAGCCACAAGAGAGCCAGTGAGGTTGATATAAGCCTCAGACTATAACAGGCCCAGGTGTTGCTCGTCCTCTCCTGATGAGGATCCCTACTTTCTTCTGTTCCCGAAACAAGGAAACAAACAGCAAAACAGGAACATCTAGTGGTCCAGAGGGGCCGTCACATTCCCCCCCATATAAGAGGAATTCCAGTAGGAACACCTACTCTGGCCTCATTACTCACTGTACCATAATTGCAAATTACCTACCAAAGCTTTAAACTGAGCAAAACAAGAAACATTTCCTAAACTGCAAACAATTTTAATACTACTTTCATTACACTTACTTCTAGACTTAATCAAAAATCTGTTCTGACTGTAAATTCTTCCCCCTTTCAGTCGTCCAGCCCCTACCCTGCACATCCAGCAACTTTGGCGCCTAAAGCTTCAAGAGTGACAGAGCAGAGACAAAGGAAAGCAGGAAGGTTGCACATTACAGGCAGACAAAAATAAATAAATAAATAATAAAAAACATGTTTCCTAGAGAGCTCTAGACAAAGCATCGGCCACAACGTTTTCTGAACCTTTAATGTGGCGGATGTCCAAACAGTACGACTGTTAATACAACATCCAACACATGAACCTGCGATTTGGGCAATGTTCCGGAGGAATGCTAGAGCCTACATATACTTCAAAATGTTGCAAAGCCCAAGTTAATGCAAGAGTTTCCTTCTTGATCGCCGAGTAATTTAACTGAAAAGAGTTGAACTTTTTTGAAAAGGAACTCACGGGACGATTCACACCATTATCATCCGTCTGAAACAACACCGCTCCTGCCCCGACATCGCTAGCATCCAAAAGGCTGATCCATGTGGGGAGCTGCAAGAACAGGAGAGGAACACAGTTCAGACTTTACATTGTCAAAAGCCTACTTACAAGAACTTGACCAGACAAAACAAGCTTTTTCCCTCAGCAAATCCGTCAGGGGAACTACCACAGTAGAGAAGTTTTTACAGAAGCTGCGATAATAACCGACTAAGCCAAGAAAACACTGCAGCTCTTTCTTTATAGTGGGAACTGGAAACTTCTTGATCGCACTCACTTTAGCCTGGACTGCATGACTGCACACACTTAACCATGTCCTACAACTTTACCAAGTAGGTGACAGTCGCTCAGGCAAACTCACACTTGGCCAGGTTAATGGTAAGGCGCGCCTCACTCAGACTGCCGAAGAGTTGTTTGATGCGAGCCGCGTGCTCATCCAAAGTACGGCTATAAATCACTGCATCGTCTAAATACACAGAGCAACCTTCCAAACCTGCCACCACCATATCCCTAAGGCGCTGGAGTGACGAAGCAGCATTACGCAGTCCGAAGCTCATATCAGTGTAAGAGAAAAAAACAGCGGGTGTAATAAAAGCAGAGATTTCTCTCGCCCCTTGAGACAACGGAACCTGCCAGTATCCTGTCAGAAGATCAAGCTTACTTACAACCTGATCGATACAATCTTCTACTCAGGGAAGTGGAAATGTGTCTGGCTTTGTTACAGTATTTACCTTGCGATAATCTGTACAAAATCAGGACTTTTGTCAGACTTTTTGACAAGCAAACAGGGTGATGCCCAACTGGAGGACAAAGGTTCTGCAATTTCATTGTCAAGCATGTGCTTGGATTCCACTTCCATCACCTTCTCCTTCTCTTTTAGACACCTGGTAGTAACGCTGGCAGATGGGCTGCGCATCACCCACATCTATATTATCCGACAAATGTGTTCTGCTTGGTGTGTCACTAACAAGCACTGGTGACTGTGAATAAGGGCAAATGACCAAACAACGACTCAAGATTGCGTAACTACTTAATCATTTCTGAGTTTTTCAAATGGCCTTGCAACAAATTCTCAATGGGTGCCGTAACCCCATCATCCTTCTCCACAGAAAACACATTCACCACATGCTGCTGATGCTGAAAGAGGCTTTGGCTCATCCCCTGAAGGGACCAGTGAATTTTGCCTAAAATGGAGAATTCACAATAAGTAATAAGGCAAGTCCTGAACTCCAGGACTAAACTAAAGTTGTTCGGTCTTTCGGTCATACAGACGTTCCATTTTTCTTGAGCAGATAACAACTGCTCTCTCGCCATTTCTCTAGCAGAGTACAAATGATGCCAAAAACCATTAACATACTTCACCAGATTACGAGGAGGTTCAGAGGGCGGAACTGCATCACACAGCACTGTGTGGCCAAAATCAGGCTCACTCGGGCTAAAACCAGTAGCCAACAAAAGCCAAGGCAGCCCTTCCTCCCAGTCCTGATTTAGCTTAACACAATAACTACACAACAGAGACTTAAGAGTCTGATGAAACCTTTCCAGAGCTTCTTGACTCTGGAGCTGCTGCCTTAAGTCCAGGAAGTAGTGGAGCTGTGCATAGAGCCCATTACAGCCAGCTGACAGACCTACACTAATCAGTCTAAGCACAACCCGGCTTCCGATGGGTCTTCCGCAGCAGATCCATCACTAGGCAAGCATCATGTCCAGTCAAGGGGGAAAGAAGCCTATCAAGGACAGGGTCATCTTTCCTGTTGGGCGTTTGCTTCACTACATGACGAGGGGTCTGTCCAAGTATCGCATAAGCGTTGGGGCACCTGTATATCTGGCTGTAGTTCTGCAGTAGGCCTATCTCACTGCTTAAATCTTGGACCTGGCAAGAAATGCTGCCAGAGAACCAAGAAGGGTCACATCACGCCACGACACATTAAGTTTGCCATCGCAAACGACAAGGAGTTGAACCAGTTGCTGAAAGGTTTGACCATCACAGCAGGTGGAGTCCTGCCCAACATCCATACAGAGCTGCTAGCCAAGGTCAAGAAGTCTACAGCCAAGAAAATGAGTGGGAGAAGGGCGGGAGGGAAGGCTAAGGACACCATGCTGATCTGCACGTCATCCTTGCTGGAGAGGAGGAAGCCCATGGTGGTTAATGATGGTGCTTCTGCCTGCAGGGGAGTCCACACTAGTTCCAGTAAGAACACCTCTTATATGGGAGGGAGTGTGATGACCCCTCCAGACCACTAGATGTTTCCGTTTTGCTGTTTGTGTTTCCTTGTTTCGGGAACTGAAGAAAGTCGGGATCCTCATCAGGAGAGGATCCTCGCATTTTGTATTAGATACATACTGACGGTTGTATTGTTTTATTTGTTGGAGATTACTCAAGTGTTTGGTGTACTCCTTTTGTTATCTTCTTTGGAATAAACTGAAGGTTAAATTGTTCCTACCTCGTCTCACCAGCCATTTTTGTTGCAGCTTAAGAGCTGGGTTGTAACAATAGTTATTGAAACTCCACAAACAAGGACCAAAACATCAGCCCTGATTTTCGCATCAGTGTTTCGCAATAAACTAAACACACTTCTCTGCATAATTTAGACCGGAAAACATGTGTTATGTAATGCAATAGCCAAATGCTGCCACTTAAACACAATATTCATTTAGATATGACCTGAACTCTAAAAACGTTTTGCTCAGTTTCAGCAAAGATTTAAGAAAGAGGAAGAAATTACTTGTTCACACAAGAACAGGACCTACATTTCATAAAGATGTTGATGAGATGTCATGGCTAGATGCGTAGAGATAGAAGAGAGAGTACAAACTAAATTCTGTTAACATGTTTGTAATATGTAGTTGTGATCTGAGATTAAGGAATTCTGTTCTTCTTCACAGCAAGTGTAAATGCCAAAGACACACAGGAGAAGTGTTTTTCTAGTTATTTTTTAAGAAGTGGAAATGTTGAAAATGGTTTAGTTTTTGCACTGGGATGTGGATGTTCACAATACTTTTTTCTAGTTTTTGAAGAGACCTAAGGTAATGCATTTTGCTTGTTTGTGGTTCTCATGTGGATTTTTAATCAAGAGATATCAGGAGCTCAGTTTGGCTAAAGTGAAACACTGTAACTGTTGTTTTACAGACATACTGTGAGAAAATGTATTTCTGGGGTATTCCAACAGCCACTAGAGAGCAGTAAAGTATCATTTCTCTGCACCATAGTGAACACAGCAGGAGGTAGATGTAAGAACAGGTTCATGTGAGTCCATTTGACCACTGAAATGTTTTTGATGAAATTCATCATCAAAACTTTAAGGTTAAGTGAGGGAAACAAAACAATAGCTACCAATTACTGAAATGGTACCTTAGGTTCATGTCCAGGTTGTTGCAATTTGAGTTGTTTATTCAAAAAGGCTCTAACTTCAAAGAAAACCAATAATTACTTTCAACAGTAGCCCCTTTAATATTTCCCTGCATGATTTCTAAGACCGTTTTCTCACGTGAAGGGGTTCATGGTTCAGCACTATAAGGAGGAAGAGAGGGGGGCTGTTTTGTAGATAACTTGCCTTTCAATAAGAATCAAAAAAAGGATTGAGAGTCAATCAGTTGTCTTTGTATATTTATTGCAAGTTGAGTAGATATGGTAACAGAGTGCACTAATAGTCTAAGTTACTAAATCTCACTGAGGCAGTCTCAGTGAGTACACACATATGACAAGATAAGAGACAACTTCCGGTTGCACCAAAAGACACCATATTTGGTATGTCAACAGAAACAGGAATGCATGTGGTTCGCACAGCAGCAGGCATCAGACAATACCACATGAAGTTGTCTCATGGTTGACCTTAAAAAACAACAGGAAGATGCATACAGTACAAAACTGCTGAATTGTAAATGATAAGTCGTGTGATTAATGCTCCCTAAAATGAACGGAAAGGAGTGAGGGTGGAGCAAGGACCTGCCGAACTTCATCCTGTCGCCCAAGAGCAGATGAGGGAAGTGGGGACAGGACAAAGGGTAAAATTAAGTTCATCACGTAGCACATCTAGAAGAAAAAAATCCATCTCAGGGCAATCTGTCAGGTTTTTTAAAAAAATGATAAAAAAAAAACGTATTAATTTCCCTTTCACCATTATTGAGCGCAGGACTGAAGTGGCCTTTCATGTGGCTGTAGCCAAGAATTTACAAGAAAACAATGTACAGAGCAGGAACATTTTATCAGACAAGGTTTGTTTATCCTTGTGCTAAGAGCCCTTGGTTACTAAAAAAAAAAAACTTACATTGAGTTAGCAAGAGTAATTTCTTTTCCAACACAAACTTGATGTATCTTGCATTCAAATCAGGAAGATATTAGTCCTCTAGGTTTGATGCAACAAGAGATACATGTTAAGTATAACAGCGGGTTGTTCTGCATTATTGCATATGTCAACAACTGGACTTGAATCCCCCCGATGTGTTTTAAATGAACTGCAAGATTTTGATGCAACAACAGATATCCATGATGTAACAAAAGGTCAATGGTATTTGTTGCTGCCATTAAAATAATCGCGTTTTGATCCGTTATCTAAATCGTTTATTTGAATTATTCATGAATTGTTTGACAAAAATGTCTTTTTTTCACAATGTTGGCCATTCCAACCACTTAACTATCTCAGAGCTACTGGTTAGGCATAAATTTGAAGCTCCTCAACAACAGATGAGTATGATGAATAAATTTCTTGTTATAAAATCTGAAATGAGTGGAAAAACAAACAAGTTATCACAATGCAGCAAACATGACTGAAATGAAAATAAGGTGACTATTGGATACATGTTTCATTAAGTGGATATGATGCAAAATTCTTGATATCTCACCTGTCATAAAGTGATCAAGTTATCATTTTGCAACTACGTATGATTATTGTGTATCAGCAGGCCATTTTAATGCATCGTTCAGTTCAAATTCAACATGCAGCTGATTTTTCTGAAAGAGATGATATGTTTAAGGCCTATTTTAATGCATTACAATGCTTCGAAAGTCAATTATACAAATATGTAAATTTTCAATTTAATCACTGAAATATTCCCCTATTTGTTATAATAAATCCTTAACATAAACTAAGTTATCAGTGAAAGTTCCTCACATTTTATTGTTTTCCTGATAACTCATCTATGATCTTTGGCTGAAGACTGCTGACTCATCATTAATACTGGCCTTTGGAGCTTTCAACAGTCCTTTTCCATGTTATTGATACACTTTATAACAATAGAAGAAAAACATGCACATTGTAGGAAGTTGAAATCCTCGTGTGATCACACTACAGATAACTGTGACAACACATTAGTTAATTGTTGCAGTAGCAAAGCATGACCATGTTCAGATATAGAACAACAAAAGTGACATGTGCCAAAACAGGCCATGACAAATATTCATAGTTGTTTGTACTGCAGCAGCAGCATGATGTAATCCAATATGACAATGTTTGAAAATGAGATATTTGACAGAACACGTGATTGATGCATTTAAGTCTCAATAAGACAATTATGAAAAAAAAAAATAATAATACAATGTGATGAAACGAAGGCTAATTTATAGCAAGATCTAAAGCCCCCTGTTCTGTGAATAGCTCTGACCTCCCCCTTTATGGTACTCTAACACCAAAATATATAAACAATAGACATAAAAGAAACATAAAAAATAAGTTCATATCCATATTGGACATGAATGAGTCTTATTCAAATAAAAAACAACCAAATAAACCAGAGAACAGATTATTGTTATGGTTATTCAAAAGTATGTTATGGCACTCTGTTGATGTGAGTGATAATGACCTTTGACCTTTGCTGTTGTACAGTTTGAATAAGTTTGCTCCCATAATTAAAAATCCTCTTTTGTGGACCACAAAAAGACAATACTGGAGTAGTTTTGGGGTTACTTAGCGTGTCCAGTGTATCATTCTAACATGAAAGTAGGATATTTTGGTGATGTGCTCTGTGCTTGGTGTTTATGTGAGCGACAACAGGCAGGCAGCTGCTAGCTCGTAGGAGTGTTGTTTTACAGTTTTTATTAAAAATTTCCCTTCTCTATCATAAAATATTTGACTCACACAGTATTTCAACTGTACAAACAGTTAAAGTACATTGATACTTTTTCTGATTGCTCTGTTTGTTTATTTAAGTTGCTCAGTTGCTTTTATACTCGTAATCCCTGTAGTTTCACCTGAAGAGTGCGACTATGACCTTCTATTTTTGGTCTTTCTGACCACTCAGAGTGCTTACATAGTACTAACCAGAATTGCACACTCACACTTTACACAGACATAAACTGTTGTCTGCATCACTAGGAGCAATTCTGAGCTCAGTGTCTGACCCAAGGACACTTAGGCATCACACCGCCAAGGCTGGGCTCTAACCACTGATCGTTTGATTGACCACATCTACCTCTGAGCGGCAGCTTCCTGTAGTCACACATTTAAATTCAGTAACTCAAATAATTAATTCCTTTATTTCCTCTAAAGTCATATCATTTGTAATTGTTGGGTTGTCATTCTTTGCGTCAGGTTTTAACGCTGACGCTACACTGCTATTGTTTCCCATGTGTTATTGGCACAACAGCTGATTGTGAGTCAACAAAAAGGGATCTATGCAGCAGCAGTTGATTGTAATCCAATCAAGGTTATTTCTAGTTGCATCAAAAGGTTATTGTTAAACAAAACACGAAATTGAAACCCAACAATCAATCGATGTAATCCCACTATAGATACTATTGAATACAATAATTTCACATATTATTCGGATGCACAACAGGTGAGAAGGATTAAGAACTTTATTTATTTAGAAGTGTTAAAACTGTAAAACTTGGAGTTTGTGGTCTTTGAGACTGTTTTTGTTCATTATCATGAGCTTTGATGGGTAATTTCCATGACTGTGCTACAAAATATGCAAGCTGAACTGACAGAATTGCCTACTTGAGGAGGACAGGCAGATGAAATGCTGGTGTGATGACCCAGGAGTTAACTGTGAAGACAGCGTATGTAGTAAAACAGATTTTAGTAAAAGATGTAACTCAGAAGGTTTTCAGTTTTAGAAGGAAAATAAAAGATAATTTATTTTTCTTAATGGACTAAAGCTTTGGTGTATGGATGTTATAATCTTGTCAATGACAGCCTCTATTTAACGTATGTATAGGCTAGACCTGGAATTAACTCATTAGACGTGCCCCATATGTTTCAGAAGAGCCTAAGTGCGCTTGACATAACATAATATGCTCACGGTGTTGTATTAGATACATACTGACTGATGCTTTGTCTGTGGCTGACAGGCGATTCAAATGTGGTGATTACGTGTTTAAAATGTCAGAAACCTCGAACGCAGACTACAACCTCTGTAACTTTTCTAAAGGAACAGAGCATAATTACAATATTATGTTTGTGAGACAATGTTTTAATTGGTACACCCACTCGGTTCTGTGCAGAGTGCGCACACCACTGTTTTTGAGGCAGGCATCCACCAGATTGGTTCCGACAAAGACAGAGCTCCATAATTACACTCTTCTATTCAGCAGCACTGCCTGTGCGTCAGAGCAAACGTCACATTAGAGCTGCACATGGGGACAGGACATTGGAGAGAAAGAGAGAAGGAGAGAAAGGGAGAAGGGAGAGGAGAAGAGAGGAGAGGAGACACTCCTCACAGCTGTGGCGTGTTGTCACTGCTCACAGGCAGATGTGCTGTCACTGTCCATCTCTCACTTACAAGGTGAAAGACGAAGGAGAAGGACCTTTGTTCTTCACTGGCTGTGCAGTGTTAAAGACTCATCTCCTGTGTTGTAAATACATCCAACAGTATGAAATCCATAGCAGCACTATGACTGGCATGCAGCCTCCACTCTGAGATGACACATTATTGATTCAGGTCTGCTTTGGCTGGGAGCCTCTTATGATTATGAAATATGGCTAATGGTTTAATAAGGTGTCGCTTGGTCTGGAACAAGCCGGCTAAAGACTTGATGATTGGTGGTGGCACCCTCTTTCTCTGTGAGGCTCTTTTCATGTCACACTGTGGAGATTATAGCCACCTTTTCAATGGGAGTGCCAATCACCTCTGTTGGCATCCAAAAAGGCCATGTGGTAATTAAATGTTGTTAGAATATATGTATATATTTTAATAACAGACAGGTTGTAATTTGCATTATTTCCTTCGATTATCTCATATATTTCTCTATGTAAGATTGGAAATATGGCAAATTCCTTACAGAGTAAAGGCACCTTCACACGGCCTTGTTCTTCCTTGATTAACTATATACAGGTCCACTTATAAAACACCCAGCATAGCAACCAGATGATAATGATGATTATAATGACGACGACAGTGATGATGAGGATGATTATGGCAATTAGAGCCTGTAAATTGATAGCCCCTTATATCTCATTTATGCACATTATCTGAAACCAGCAAGAAGACAAATTAAATAACCTCTTCAAAGCAGGAGTCTCCTCCACCTCTTCTCCCCTGAGGTCTTGCTGTATGTCTCTGGGCATCAGACTAAAATGCTTACAGTGACACCTTTCACAACTCAAGGCGAGGCTGGAGAAGCCTGTTACAAAGCATGCTGAACTTCAACCTCGTGACGGATCTGAATTCACCTAGAAATGCAAAATCATGCCACTGTGTTGAGGTTCCCCTTGGGAAGACAACCCCTCTCCCCTGCACCTGATCCTCTACTGTCACATTCAGAGAGCAGAGCAAATTGTCATTTCCCTAAGGGGATGGTGTGTGTGTGTGTGTGTGGGAAGGGGGTCCAATGGGGTATTACTCTATACATGATCCTCTATGATACCTGTATCCTCATCATAGCCGTAGAGCAGTGTCCAGTCCTCCCATGCTGTCTTTCATTTTTTCTGTATCATCCTCACTCCCTCCCAGCCAACACCACCACCACCACAACCACCCTTCTCATCCACACCGAGAGAGAGAGAGAGAGAGAGCGAGAGAGAGAGAGAGAGAGAGAGCGATCCTCCTTGGCACACACCCGTCAGTGTCTCAGTGTGATTTTGACTGACTGACTGACTGACGGGGGATTCTGGAGGAAACACACCGGGAAAGGATCAACACACTCTCGGTTTTTTTTCGAGCCTTGTCTGTCAGTGTTGTCACGGCCGATGGTTTTCTAATTTCCTCGCCTGTCTGACCGCCTCACCATCGGATTCTTTACTTGATTCTCTCCCATCCTTGATTGGCTGAACCGGGGCTGATCCCAGCCATCCTGGGCCGTGGCCGTGGGGCTGTTCAGCGAGCCTAATAGCTGAAGTTGGCACCCGAGATGAGCGCCTGGAGACCAGGTAGCGGGGCTCTCTTCTCGCCGGGGAGAGGGTCTGGGTCATGGAGGTGCTGCTGGTGGTCGTGGTGGTGGTGGGTGATGGTCCTCGGGGTGGCAGTGGGCACGGGGGATCCCTGGATGTCCGCGGAGGCATGCCCGTCGCTCTGTTCCTGCAGCAGCACCAGGATCTCCTGCGTGGACCCGGAGCGATGGATCAATGCTTTCCCGGTCCTGCAGAGCGAGGCGGAGATGGAGAACATCACTGACATGTGAGTGTCCAATTTACAGAGTGGAGATGTATGAGTGCTCCCTGAATCTATACATCACCTCTTACCCCTAAAAAGATTGAATGCAACACTTAACACGTAAAGCAATGCCACCCCGTACCCCTCCTTTGATGATGTCTGTAGCTGACAGACATGTGCCAAATCTGCTTTACATTTCATACGTTTTTTGTAACCAAGCAGAACTACTGGCGAATGCACGGATTTACCTATTTGGACGTAGACCCAAGTCCCCCGGATTAATTCGGCATGGGTTCGGCTCTGACACGCATCATGTGTAACCTACATTGCATAACAGACTCATTGTTATCATGGGGCACATCAGTCTTCTCAACACGAGCGTGGAGAGACAGGCCATTTAAAAATGAAAGCAGCCGCGGCTGATTGACTTTATTCCCACAATTAGCCTTTGCACACAGATTTCTGTTTATGCGGACGCGTGCTTGTGTCGGTGCAAAAAAACCGGGTCTGTCGCTGTGTGTACGTGAATGTGTGTGTGTGTGTGTGTGTGTGTGTGTGTGTGTGTGTGTGTGTGTGTGTGTGTGTGTGTCTGAGTGTGTAGACGGAGAGACACCACTGTCCAAATATTAGCATAGACACTTCCCAAGATGGCCAATATGAGTGTATTTAAATGAACCACAGGCACGGAGAAAAATCGATGTCAGAGTCAACATTTTGCTTGTAGATTATTTGAAAAGAGGATGATTCAAGATGTTACAAAAAACCTCTATGTGCACTGAAAAAAAAAGACAAAAACTGTCATTTCTTCCAACGTCATTTGAAATAGATTGAGACACATAATATGTCAAAGCAATTAGACAACAGATTAAAAGAAGTCATTGCTGCACTGTGTGCCCTGGCAGAGATAAATGGCCTTGCTGATACACTCTTGTCTGGGATGAACCTGGAGAAGCCTTGGATGCTGGTTAAATGAGCCAGCAGTTTGGAAACACACACTGACTGGATGCTTGGTTAATGTAAACAGACAAATTACTGACGTCTAATCCTAAACGACCTTGCCAATCAGGGTGCTACACTGAGTCCCCTCTGTGTGAGTGTTAAATGGTATAACATCCTGATTTTTGACAGCTGCACTAAAAACACACAGTCTGAAAAGATTTAAAGGGCTTTCAATGTCAACTTCAATTCCCCAAATGAGTGTAAAACCCAAAGGCAGTGTTTGATCGCTCATCCATTCATGCTCATTCTTGCATTAGAGGATGCTCTAACAAATCAGGCTTTCCTTTGAAATTAGACAAATTTAATTTAAGAATGAACACAAACCTTTGTTACATTTGTAGTGTGAATGCATTTGCCATTTGTTGGTAAAAAAAAAAATACACAAAGTTGTAATGCATAGAGACATCATGCACTCCCACTCCTAGTGTCTGCGGTAGACTTTACAGCTGATTTACACACACTAATAAGTTAATACTAAAAGCTAAATTGATTGTTTATTGTAGAATCTTTTGCAGAAAAAGACCTCAACAGAAACAAGATGTAGTTACGTGTTGATATTGTTGAGCACAGTCACTTTGATGTGTATCTTCTGATGCGGATGCACAAAGCAGGAGGGGTTAACTTCATCAGCATGCCTTCGTTTTTCATCCTCTGAAAAACGCTGACATTCTGGGTCAGCTTGTTTAATTATTGAGAGACACATTTCAGATTTTAGTCATGTTTCTTCCTCGGTTTATTTTTAGCTCAGTTTAACTTTATTTGTTGGGGAAGTAAAAGAGCAGACAGGGAATAAAGAGTATGCAACAAAGCCACCTGCAGACTCAAAGCAAGGATGTGATCGTGTGGCACCTTAGACTCCTTCAAAGCCAGCGGGACTTTCCTAAAATACATATTTTTAAAGATGAGATGTTTTCCAAACTGCCTTTCAATCCTTTGACTACATCATAATTTTAGTTCAAATTCAGGGAGGTAAAATTGACTCTTTACAGACACATAACTATTCCAGACTAAGGTACCATCACGAACAATCTTGCAAACCGTCAAATATAATGAATCTCCTGTCATGAAAAGCATCGTTAATGACCTTGTGATTTGCCCTGAAACAACATGTGCAGCATTCAGAATGACAAGAACTTGGCGGTGACTGTTACAGCGTGTTCCCCCTGAAGGTGAGATGCTCTCAGACAGCTGATCTCAAAGATTTATTTGAAAAGTACACGTTGTTTCCCACAAACCTGTTCACGCGGTGACTTGTTGACTTGAGGGAGTTGGCAGCAATCATCTCCTATTGACCCTTATATGTTGGAGTGCCTTGCTCAAGTGCAGCAGAGCAAAAGAGAAGAGATCTGAATCTCTATTTCTATTTCTATACTTTTAACAAACTACAAACTCCCTGTGCAGGGTCATTCATCAGCTGTAGCCCTTCAGGAGTTCATTGTTAATTTTGAACTTTAATTATATGGGTTTATTATGTTGCTTTGTCTTGCTGAAATGTTGCTGTGTACGCTCTCCCCTCCCAGTTAACAAATGAGCCTTCTGACACACACTTGTATCTCTTGACAGCTACATCGCCAACCAGAGCAGCTTCTCCTCCATCAATGACAAAGACCTGCACTACTACAAGAATCTCAGGAACTTGTGAGTCTTTACAGCTTATAGTACCAACACAAACGATATGGTACATGACACATATCAAGAGCTATTATCAGCAAACCTTTTAAGATAAAAAGACTGATATACCATGTCTATGCGCCTGTTCTGTTGACCAGAACAAGCAAATCTTCAGTGTTCAATCTTAGGGTGAATTGTGAGCAGCTTTTAGAGGAAAAATGATCCACAGTTAGTGTGTTCATTATACAAATGTTATGTGTATTTATGATGTTTCTTCTTTCTTCGGGCAAGGTGTTGTTGTTCCAAGGCTGCCTGTTCAAGTGTCAGTAGTTCCTGTTTCCTTTGCATCTGTGTCTTATTTTATTTCTTTATCTCAAGCAAAATTGTTTACCAAGCAGCACTAACTTAAAACATAATCATTTGTTAAGTAGACAGCTAATTTTCTGGCCAATATCCCATTAGGTGGAGAGATGAATATAAAGCATGTTATGCACTGCAAATGTAATAATGTGGATAGACTGGAAACAAAGCACTAAAAGCAGGATGAGTGTTAGAGCCAAAATCAAGGACAGCTGTCGTGTTTATTTTAAGAAAGAAACAGATGTCATGACATCGTTTATTGTGTTTTACTATAGCAATTTGTGAACTGTCTAGTTTTATTTTTCTTTTTGCAAAATGAATTTTTTTGCACAGTTAACCTTTTAACTGACTTTTCAATGAGGTTTCATAGAGGCCCCTCAGATGATGCGGGTCAAACATTTGCACAATGCTGAATAGTGCACATTTTGTGTAATTATTAAAGGCTCCTCACATTTAAAGTAGATTTGTCTCACATAGGCCAATTCTCCCTTGTTTTAATTTTAAATACACTTCAAGAACTCAAAACAAACCATTTTTCTGTCTCATTTCTATAATGAAATGTTTCAGTGAATTTTATACAAGCAACATTCACCTGTCGAGCCCAGATAAAGCTCTCGTTCTAAAGTTACAGTGAAATGGGAATACAGTATATGTCTAGCTGTCGAACTCTAGATCCCCCTATTGCTCATTTCTCTCATTGGGGAAGTGAATACAAAATGTACATCCAGCTATTTTGCCTGTATATTACACTCCATATCAACCAAGTCTGCTCTGCTAAACACCACTAAATACAACAGACTGTACTTTTAAGTTAGTACAAGCAAAGTAAATACCTAAATTCCTTTTAAATAAAAAATATCAGATGGAAAAAGACAATTTTAAGAAAATAAATTCTTACTTTGAACAAAGAAAGATAGTCTATTGGTGTCAGTTTTAATGGAAACAACATCATTGTAAAGCATTTTACACAGAGTAATTATTTACAGTTAGGATTCCCAGTCACTTTACTGTCATGATTAGTAGCACTGGTCTCTTTGTCTTGTTTGTTATGTGAGCAATTTGCACATGACAGGGTCAATAACGTCAATAATAGGTATGCTTTTTATGTCATTAATGCCAAACTGCAGTTTTGGCTTGAGCAGTTTAAACAGTGTGGTACCATTTCTTTTTTCAAAATGCAGTCAAGTATTACAAGCTGTGACTCATTCAAAAATGATTTATTGTATGCAATCAACTTTTTCATTAACCTATAACATCTTTGAATGCAATTGATTAATATGAGTGGAATTCAAGTACAAAAGTGGTACCAATATATTCCCAAGTCCTTAAAAGAGGTTACCAGGAAACCCTTTATTGCTTTTGGTTGATGCTGATTATTGATGATTGTTTGTGATAACAAACACTGTTTCATTCATGTTTTTTTTTTTTTTTGTGACAGAACGGTGACCAACAGCAGGCTAACATATGTGTCTAAGCTGGCCTTTCAGAATAACATCAAGCTGCAGTACCTGTAAGTCAAAACTCAGTATATGCTCATTATGTCTTAATCAAAACCACAAAACTGTTCAAAATTCAGAATAAATAAAATTCTTTATTGATTAATTGGTTAATTATTAATTTATGGTTGAAACTGTGAACAGTGATACCTAAGAAAGATTTATCTATAACACGATAGAACAAACTGCTAGAGGAAAATAAAAACTTATATCTTTGACTACTGAGAATTTGATATGAAATTACATTCAATTCAGGTTCAGACTAAACACAGTCTATAATTAGCCTTGGTGTCTCGTCAACATAATTAAAGTTTGATTCCTATCATACTAATCAGATGTACTCCTTAAGGTTAATTGTCACAGCAGTTGGAGGTAAAAACTTTTAATGAGAAAAATAATGCAAGCTTATTGATGCATGTTGAAATGTGCTTTCTGTTCCTCTAACATGACCCTTATTCCTCGGTTGGGTTGATTTTATGATCCCATTTCCTTAATTTGCAGGAATTTAAAGGATAACAACCTGTCATCACTGTCCTGGAGGATATTCAGACACCTTAACATCTCTTATCTGTGAGTCCTCCCCTTCTTGTTTGTTCTGTCTATCTGCTTCAGCCTCTAGCTGGTTGATATCTCAGTTTTCATCAGAGTGTAGTATAATTTTTACATCAAGCATCTTTAATGTCATCCGAAGGGGGGTTGTGTTTGTAAGTGTGGAGTTTGGTTCACTGCAGCCTCCAATTCTTGGATTTCCCACAAGCATATAATATATTTCTTCTTTTTTTCTTTCTCTCAATCTTAGTCTATTGTAATTTGCCAAGACACCTGCATTTTCATTTGGTCTCCCATTACTGTACACAATTTATGGTCAGACTTTTCACATTAAATTTAGAAACAAAAAAGAAGTCAAACTGGCTTTTCTCAAGTATGATAGAGAGATTGATATCTGTCTATTAATTATGAGGCTGAAGACAAGTGACGCCGAACACACGGGATAAAAAGAAGGGAAAATGACTGGCCTGTTTCCCATTAACCACATTTACGTGGGCAAAATTTCTTGATCCGATTAAAAATTTGAGGGCTCAGATGCAAAATCAAATAATCCCATCATGACGTTCGTATACGTGCATCAAGCTTTATTCGGATTGGAGGCATTTGGACATGCGCAGAGTTGTCTAATTTTGCTAACACAACCGCAGAAGAAGAGTTGTATTTCTGCCTGTGCTGTCAACAAACCAACAAACGCGGTAGTGGCTCACTCCGTCCAATTTAGGAGTTTACACCCTGTTAAATGTTGGCACTAGATGGCGCTCTTGCGTACTTATTTTACTGTTCTGTCAAAGGTTGCACCGTGCGTGCAGATGTGACATCATTACGCTGTATGTACGCCATGTTATGTTGCCGGAGGAGCAGACACGGCTCCAGCGGTTGTGTTTTATGCCAGAGTGTTGACAATGAAACCTCCTGTACTGGCCTCAATAAATGAGCCAAGTGCTAAAGAGAGAAGATCGAGTCAGGTAAGAGAGTCACGATCGGAATAAGTGTTTACATGGACGCGTTTCTGAATACCCCCCCCCCCCCCCATCCGAATACAATTTCTATCTGATTTAGCCGAATTGGATCAGAATCTTCCGATCGACACATTTTTATTCCGATCGGGCATTTATTTGTGCTCATGTAAACGCAGCTATTGAGGACAAAGAACTAAGTCTGCCAGCACCGGCTTAACAACAGCCAAATGTTAAAATGTCCAGAGATCCTGTTTGGAGGGGTTAGTTCACTTTTTTTTGGAAATGCGATAACATAGAGGAAATATCTTTCCACGTAAAACTGATTTAAGAAAATTTGATACGATTAGTGAGTTCCTGGCATATGGATGTTATTTTATTCTGGACAGCTTCACTAGCTGTTTCTGTCTGTGTTTAGACTTTGTGCTAAGCAAAGCCAAAATGCTGCTGGAGGTAGTTTTACATTTCACAGAGCTACAGAAGAATTGTCAAGATTAAAATGGACAAGAAAGTCCAATCTGGTGATGTTGAACTATCTTTGTTAGACACACTGATAGTGCTGAGGCAGTCGAAACACAATTCTTTGTTTTTAGGACCAAAGTCACTATTGTCTACTCACCATTGTACTTAAAGGAATGTGTGTGCGTGTTTGTGTGTGTAGGATCCTGTCAGGGAATCCTCTGCACTGTTCTTGTGAGAACATGTGGATCAAGCTGTGGTTAGGAGAGGAAGCAGACACTCAGGAGCTGCGCTGTATTGAGGATGGAGGAGGCCGCAAGCTGCTGTCCAGACTGACTCTACCTAACTGTGGTGAGGACACACACACACACACACACACACACACACACACACACACACACACACACACACACACACACACACACACACACACAAAGTAAGAGCCTGGGAAAGACATTGACAAGCTGTAGCTGAGTGCAAATGGCTGAAAGGCCTGCAGGAAAAACAGTAATCCTTCTGGTTTCCTCTACAAATTTCGTTCTAAATCCCTGTTATGATTGTGTGTGTGTGTGCTCCCATGTGTTTTGCATGTGTCCGACACATCTGTTTTTTGTGAAACTGCTTAGATAGCTTGAGTGTGAGACATAGGGGTTTATAGATCTGTTATTATAATCTCAAATATACTAAGTGTTATGTCAGTCCTCTTGGGATGTCAAACCATTGGAGAGAGTGTCAGTCTGTTTGAAAAATCTATTACAATAAAACTGAAAGAGTACGATTTATGCATTAACCAAAACCCACTGCAGTAATCACTGATATACCTGCCAGTATGTAAATATCTAATGCTTTCGGCAGAGGTGCTGCATTTTACATATAGAGCTTTGCTTAGCCTTGTATATTTTAATTTCCCCAGACACTGAGCAGAGGAAAAAGCCACAATTTCTTTCACATGAGCAAGCAAACAAATGACTTAACAAATGCTTGCATGCACACTCGGATCCTTGCCTTTAAAGAGGGCTTAAGTGGTAATTTGGTTCCTGTTGGGTGCAACTAGAGAGCCACTGACGCTAAAAAGGCTGATGTCATCTTTGTGCTATCTGGGTTATGATGCAAAGCTTGCCCCCAGATTGAGGAGAAAAACTTGAGGGACATAAAGAGTCATTGTTGCAGATATAGGGAGGTCACTGCTCAGGATATTATAGAGAGATATGGTACTATGAGGTGCACTGACACAGAGATGACATCATGTGGTCTTGAAGATGCTGAGTGGAGAAAATTCTCTGCGTGGACCACAGTGAAATGAAGTGTTATAAAGACCATCTGCACTGTGTCCTGTAGCACCTGTGACCTGCTGTCATGCAGCAAATTTCATTTCCTTTTCTCTAACCTCAGCACACCCAAGCAAAGATTCTTCCTAGACTCTACAAAAGCTGCACTATGATTCTGTTTGTGGTAAAAGAAAGTCTCTATCTCCAAAAAGTTGGTGTCCTATTTTGGTTGCAGTCAAAGAAAACCCCCCCAAATGCTCAAAGAGGTTGAAAGAGGCTTTTATAAAACACAACTGTAATGTCAAGCTAACCATGCAGTCTATCCTACACAAACTGCCAAAGACTGCAAACCTTTTATGTACTTTTTTATTGCAGTGTTTATCAAGCTTGATGTACGAACGTCAGCAGGCAACTGACACTTCATTTCTCCCTCCTCCTCTTCCTCCTCCACAATCTTCTTCCTCTTCTTCTTGTTTTCCATAAATTACTCTTTCTGGACCCACTTCTTTTCCGAAACAGGCTCATATTACAGCTTAAACCATCTCTGAGAGCCTGAGTTTGAGCCTGACCTGCTCTAACTCTCTGAAGGCAAATCTGTTCACACTCAGCCTGGATTTGTAGGTTTTTATGAGTACTAATCCTGCTAAAATTGACACTCAGATATAATTTAGAGCTCAAGCTTGACCAAAGCAAACAAATGAAGTACAGATTGTTTCTGCCTTTGGGGCAATGAAACCAGTCAGAATCAGTTTGTTACTGAGGGGAGAAAACATAAAGACATCTTCACATCTGATTTAATACAATAAAACGCAATAACAACATCCAGACAAGGTTGAAGGCCCAGATTGAAATTTAATACAATTTCCCTTGATAAGCAAGACCATAGATCTGAAAGTATTTTCCATTTTGGTTGTTGACAAAGGAAATGATCTAGTCATAAATAGCACAGGGCAGTAGGACAAACAAAGAGTTAGCCAGCAGCAAGCTAACAGTTTCATTGATAAGTGCATTGATCTATCCCCTCAGCCTCCCCTCAATTAGCAGCACTTATTTTTGGCATTAGCACGGTTACAGCGGGGCCCCTGGAGAGATGGGCTGGGGACCCCCTGGCAGGATGAAATATGAGGAGGAGGACATGGAGCAGCAGGGGTGCCAAACGATGCCCTGGGGGTAACTGTGATACACCAAAAGACCGCTCAGTCTGTCCCCACTGCTGGTCTTTTGCTCTTTCTGTCACGTTTTCTGGCTATTGCTTCACCCTCCCCAAGACTGTCATTGGCTCTCTTTATTTCTAATTCTCATGACTGTCTGCTCACGTGTTAAACTTTGTGTTCCTTCTGTCTGCCTGAGCATAGCTGAGTGACATATGTGGAGGGCACAAAGCAGAGGAAGTGCCCAACGATGCCCTCAGGCTGACACTGATCTCTCTGGCCACCCGCATATGCCCCTTGCTGTCTGTTCCTCTCTCTCTGTGGACTGTTTATTGCTTCAACGCCTCTCCCAAAGAGTGGCAGGCTGGTCCCACTGCTGAACTATACAATGCTTTTTTGAGAAAATAACTACTCTTCTCTGACATTAAATTTTTTGCTGATATAAGATTGAAGAAATTGTATCTTTTTCTTAAATCATTAATTAAATCTCCAGCAGAAAAGTGCTCATAATCACTGACATTTGAATTGACAGCAGAACTAGGTAACCAGACCTCTGTTGGCCTCATTTAAGGGACAACCAAAAAATGAAACTACTGCATTTCCTTGAAGTACTTGTTGAAGCTTGAGTCTTATTAATACACCCAAATTTAAAGCAGAGGTGAACAAAACAACTGGTTTATATAATGTGGTTCTGGTCTGTTAAGATGTTTTTTTCCAGTAAGCGATAATTTTTACTTTTTCTGTTTAAATAAAGGGTGTTGCAATATACCATTACTAACAAGAACTTTTTTTCCCTTCAAATAAAAGTATGATTTCATGCTGAAAATAACATACACTAATTGTTAATTTATATTGGTAGTTACAACACCAGGTCATGCTGGTTATAACACATCTGAGAAGGAGGGAAGACTTAGAAAAAGCAGCTGTAGCAGCCCTCTGATAGATGATTAGATATTTTTAAAATCTAACAACGTGAGACTTACTGTGAATCCAAAAACAACATTAGAGATTGTGCCTCTTTGGTTTACTAATCAAGTGACCATTCATACTCTCTAACCCTCCTTTGAACAGTTTTCATTCAGTTCCCAAACTCACAATCTACAATAAGTAATGCTGACTTCAAAATAAAAGCATAGTTTTACAGTTTAGGAAAGAAGACAACCTCAATACAAGACAGCAAACTTATTTTAAAAGAATGTACAACGAAATGTCCCCTCTAGGGAAGTTTCTATCACAGGGCTGGTGATGTGGATAAACGATAAATTTGACACGATTTAGAAATTGATGATGATATGCAAGGTAGTTGCATTTTTGCTTACTAGTTAATTTTATTCAATAATGTGCTTCTCTATCCTCCTTTTCTCAATCTCAATTTAACTTTCGAGTTTTCCATAAATATTACAAAAATATCATCATCATGACACGTAATGGCTACAATAGCTGTGGGGTAAAATTCAGAAGCCCTGAATGGTATCAAATTGTGTTTAAAGCTCCTGTGAGGGACTTTCAGTTTGAGTTGGATTTGGCGCCCCCTTGTGGACAGTGCAGTCTTCGCTTATTTTGTCTTCTACATGCTTATCTAGTGTCTTTTTACAAAAAGTCACACACCTGCTGACTTTTGAATGTCGAACATGAAGTTTACTGTAACATGACAAATGAGGATATACAAATAGTAAATTTCATGATTAATGTTTTTATTCTTGTTATTAGTCACGATAAAAGGAAATGAATATTAATTCTGCTCTATTTCATTAATGTGAAAGATCTCCATATAAGAGCTTTAATTTTTAAGTTCGTAGCGTGCTCAGGCTGTTTGAGTGGCGTGGGTGAATGAAAAAATTCAAAAAGAAATAGATGATTATAATTTGATGGTTTGAGTTACAGCTACCTGCCACCTTAGCTAGTTCTGAACCCAGCTTTTTAGCCATGATTGTGTAGTTAGTGATGAAAGAGTTTCTACTGTACACACTAATGAGGTTAATTACTGTAGATTGCTATGCAGCCTAGAGCACCGACAGGCTGACTAAAAGCCTGTATTCCTGTTAATTCAGTAAGTAAAAAATGTCTATGTAGGCATCAGATTCGTTGGCATATAGTGATGTGTGCCTTCACACTAAGGTATTTGCTTATAGTGTTTGTTATGCATTGCTGTAATTATGGCAGCACATTACGTTCAAGATTCAGGAACCCTTGTTGTGTGTCAAGAAAATGGCTAATCTTAGTTAGCCTACCTGGTTCTCCTTCCTAGTGGTGATGGAGGGAAATGAACAGGTGGCGACGAGTCTGCAGCGTTTAAAAAGCTTTTCAAACTCAGGTACCAACAACTCGAGTTAACAACCTCAATTCAGTTCTTAGTGGGCTAACTGTCAAAGACAACAGGCCCATTTAATGTGACAATATCTTTGCTCACTACTTAAATAATAATGCAGTCTCAGGTCGGTCTAAACATCTCAAAGCTGGTTCAGTCAGACTTTGCCTGTGTGTCGTGTACCACCTTCCTCACCTGTCTTTTATGTTTAATGTGCCATCTTCAACCAGTTCTCGCTCCTGTTCTAACTACTGTTTTAGAGGCCCTCCCATCATGTGCATGAGAGTATAGAAACGTAGGCGTAAATTTACATATCTGCGTGCGCATTAAACTTTCTGTGCTCTTTCAGCAAATATGTGAAACACAGGTGCCACACGTAGGCAGGCTCATGCAGTTTATGGCAGTAGCCTACAGACCAAGAAAAAAGCTTGAGAGGCCAGATGGCTCCTCCTGTGTCTGTGGGTAGCAAAGCTATACACCTGTGTGAATCCTCTATAGAGGCTAAGACAGAGACCACACATTTACTTGTAAGATAACAAAGACTTAAACAAGTTACAAAAGCTGCAATACTGAACTTAAAGTCAACACAGAGATAAGAGAACACAAAGAAAATCAGCTCTTGTGATGTGTCAGACTGTTTAAGATTCTGTCCTGTTGTTTTACAAGGTCAGTATGTCTTTGGGAGAATAAAATGAATGGCATGTAGTGCCATCCCACCCAAGTCTGTCCCATTTAGAGTCTAAGGAAACCCTGGTGTCATTCTAGCAGCAAAAGTTACTCTGTAGAAGGACCCCAGAGGGGAAGGGGTTTAAAAGGATGGACTAGTGATGGGAGGGGACATCACTGATTAAACAAGGAGGAAAATGATAGACTTGTGGGCGGTTTTTACCTTTTTATTTTTGGGCTTGTCTATCTTACATGAAGGGAGTCAAAATTCACTTCTTTACTATGCATTAATTACATTTTCTCAATTTCAAGTATTTTATTTGCTTTAAAAAGACTAAATTACATTTTATTTGTTATAAATATACCTTTCTGTAATCTGCAGAAAAGGAGTTGCCTCCTGCTGGTTGATGGGCCCTTCAAAGATAGGAGAGTTTTCAAACAGATGCCTTTGTGAGATAAAAATGTTGTACATAATTATAGCAAAGTAAAGGAGTAATATTAAAGTCATAATTTGGCAATTTATTCGACAAGCTGACAAATGACAGGAAACCAATTTCAAATAAAAAATGAAAAGCACACCTGAATAATTGACCAAGTATGTATGAACCTAAAAACTGAAAAACAGTAAAGTCTGATTTCATAGTCTGAACCGTCCGGCTGACAACTTGACTGACAACAGTTTTGGGCAGAAAATCAATAATCTATAAAGGATTCAGGGTGTTTAGACTGCTCTGCCGGTCACGCCTCCCATCCCTTCCTCCTTTTCTCTACATTCTATGAGCAGAAATCTTTCTGCAGATAAATCCCTTCCAAGATGCATATATAGTCCCTGCAATGATCGAACAGCAGAAAAGTACAGAAGCAAACTCAGGGATGGATTTTATGTCATGTCTCTCTCACACATTTCATTCTCCCCCTTTTGTGTATTTGGTACCGGTATCTTTTTTTCTCCTCTTCTTTTGCCCCTCATCACAAATCATCACATCTCTTTTTTTGAAAAGCACAGTTCAAAAAAAAATGTGGATTTTCTCTAAACATCAACACGGACGGGCTTTTTGTGGCCCAGGACAAGAGCTGATGATCACAATGACACCGCCAACAATGACATTGAAGTGCACACTTTGTGCAGCAGTTTCCAACCAGAAAGCAGAGGATGTTTTCTTTTTAGATATTAGTTGTGAGCAGCTTTCGAACACCACAGCACAGTGACTGTAATTCACAGTCCATTCAGAACACATGCCCTGGATGAATGGAGGCAATCTGGATTCAAGGAGTCAAGAGTGTCAAGGCCCTGCATGTGCTCACTGCTGAAGTCACATAGTATTCACCCAATCATCCATTCATTCATCCATTGCAAGGCTCCTATAGAATAGGGTTTCCCTGCATTTACAATTTTCCTACCTAAAAAAGTCGTTTACCTATACCTCATGTAGGGGGACTGTAATCCAAAGCCAAAGAAGAAACCATAGGATTCAAAATAACAAGTCATTATGTCAAGAAATGTCATGAGAGACTGAATACAATAAGTTTATGAATCCAGTGAGAGGTCATGTTTGGAGTAGACTGTGTAAAACATGGATGTAGTCGCAGTGATGGCCCCCACGAGTTACTGAAGCAGAGTTTTGAAGCTCAATGATTGTGGTCACCAGATTGGAAATGTTGACTGAACCTTTGGTGGACCGTACAAGAAGCAAACGAGTGGAGCTGAGGCATGTCTGCTAGCTCAGTCATTGTCCTTTATTATGCAAAACTTATAACCTTCATATCTTTGAAGGAGTCGTCATTAAATTTGGACCCCATTCAATATATGAATAGAGAAATAACCCATTCAGACCAAACTGTTTGTTGTAACAGGCTGTAAACATGTTTATTCCTGCTCCTAAAATGGGCATGTTAATGTGGGTGTTAATCAGACTGTATTATACATGGACTCAGTCTCTGCTGCGTCTCCCATGTAGCTCTAAAGAAGAGTTTTGAAGCCGATTGGCAGTGGTTGCCATTTTGAAAATACTGTCTCAACCTCACTTTGAGCTGACCTGCCAAGAGATAAACTGCCTGACAAGAACTTGCATCTACTTGCATCTTTACGTCAACTTCACATCTACTTTACATCTACTTCACTCACCTGAATAATGTAATTGGTGCGAATGCAACATAATGATGCAAAACTCGTATTCTTGTAATCTCTGGAATAGATGAATGCTGAGAGTGAAATAAACCAGTCAGACCTGAACTAGTCTGTAAAATGTTTTTGCTCAAGGATGGGCTTTTTTGTGTAAGTGGGTATGTGGTTTTCAGTGCATCTACAGTCAGCCTCAAGTGGGCGCTCAGAGAACTGCAGTTTATAACACTTCTGCATTGTTCTTTCCTTGTGAAAGTAGGACTTTCGGTCTTTTGTAGGCACTAGACATTAAGGAACCTCAGGGTTTAGCACCTCTGCACTGTCTTTATTTTATTAACGTGAGTTTGCTTCTTGGTTCACTGATTCTGATAAACTTAGCTAAGAAGTACCCTCATTTATGTATTACTTCACGCCTTAAAATTATAAAAAGATCCACTCTCCTGTACAGTTGACTTTGTTGTCAACAGTTTTAATTATGAATGAATTTGTTGAATGTTATTGAAATTATCCTTCCAGCAACAATTCCTCACTCTCAAGGTTTCAGAGTGAGAATCTCTAATTAAGACCTCTGTTTCTGGTTAATCATAAAGGATCATACTCTTTTAACAGGGATCCTTTTCATAATGTTATTAGTTACTGAAAATACTTGTCTGAGCCTGTCAGTGGAAACGAAGAATACTATAAGTGGGCGTTCATTGACTTGGCATCATTGTCCCCGTGATTACTCTGTGGCTGGCAGCTGAATGTGAGGGTGCAGTGGCTGTAGTATACTTCCCTAAATTATTGTGCCTATTATTTATTAAAAATACCAAAATATGTCAAAGAAGTAGTGCCCAACTTTATAAAACTGACATTATCCTTCAACTTCGTGGAAGGTTGTTTGGCTTAAACTCAACGGATACAGTCCTTAGATTTTCGTAAGTGCCTAAATCTCAACAAATCCATCCTGAGCACAAATGAGCAAACTGCGAAATACTGCTTTACAAGAGTAAGGCGACATGTTCGTGTTTTGTCATGGATGGCTTGTCATGTGTGTTACGGGTTATTGGCTGTTGCTGTGTGTCCTGTAGTTTTTCATTGTTTACAACTGCAGGTGGGCTGTGGACAAGCCAAATGCTGAAAGACATAATGGGGCAATCTTTCCCTGTAATGACTCATGTGTTGTCACAGACACAGGCATATCTACCCTGATAATTACGGTAAATTCCATCTCATCCCTACTTGTTGATTCTGAACTCATCCGAGCAGCTAAAGGATACCATCACACAGGATGTCATGGATGGTTTCACTATCAAAGCTGTGCTAGAAAATAATTGAACATGGAGATTATTTTCCGTGTACTGACGGGTCACGACAACTGCTCTCACATCAAAATCAACGCGGTTTGCCGGAGTTGTTCTCCGATTTCTGGGCTCTGGAGTGTAGCTTTTTGTCTGTGTGTGTGTGTAGAAAGCTGATTTACTGAAAGTCCGTTAAGATATGTGGTTCTGATATGGCAGCTCGCCTGCCACCAAAGAAAATGACGTTTTTTTTTTTTTTTTTGTGTGTGTGTCTTACGGTGATTGAGTGGGTTGCCGTAGTGATAAGTGAGTTGCCCTGGTGATAAGCATTCTGCCAACGGACAGAAGAGGTGGAAGAGGAGGGGGGAAGGAGAGGGTTCGATAAGAAATCTGTCCAGTTTATCTGCAGTGGCTGTCGACACCCATCTCTTCTCCTCCCCTCTTTGTTGTTGTCCTCTTCTCTTTTTTCTTTTAGTTCCATTCTCTTCTTTCTTTTTCTTCTCTTCTTTTTTCCTCAGCTTGTCTTCAGTTTTGTCTTTTTAATTCGATCTCATCTTCTTTGTTGTTTACTTGCATTTTTCTCATCTTTTTGTCCGTCCCTTTTAATCTTTTGTTGCTATTCTCTAAGTTCAGTTTTCTTCTGTCTTTTTCCTGGTCTTCTCCTTATGCGTCTTGTCTTATCTCTCCCTTTCTTCTCTTGTAATTGTTCTTCTCTTCCATTGTATTCCTGGGCTTTTCTTCTTTTCTTCTTGTCCTATTTGTTTGTTCTCATCTTCTGTTATCTTTTACTCATTGCATTCTTCACCTCTTTTGGTTCTCGTCTTCTGTTCTTGCACAATTTCTTTTGTGCTCTCTTTTTCTGTTGTTCCTCTCTTCATTTTACATCTCACCTTCTCACCTTTTGTTCTTGTTTTCTTCTCAAATTCATCTTCTTTGGTTTCTCCCCCCCTTCTTCCTGTCTTCTTTCTTTTTTTTTATCTTTCTTTGATTTAATTTCTTTCTTCGGTTTTTTTTTCTTCTTTTGTTTTTCCCCCTTATTTTTCTTTTGCTTCTAATCTTAAATTTTTCATTCTGCTTTTGTCTTCCAGCTTCTCTCTTTTTTTTGCTCTTATTGCATACTTGGCTTTTTAATTCTTAACCCTCTTTTCTTGCCCTCCTCTCTTTTTTTCACCCCATCTTCTTCTCTTCTTCTGTTCTCTATAGATTTTGTTGGACAGGGTACGAGGGCGCAGTCTCTGATTGAGTCTGATTGGTCATACTCGGGTCACCTCGTGGTCAGCACTGTAAACACACACGTACAAACGCACGCACACACACACACACACACACACTCTGAGTCAACAGTGTCTTTGCCTCAGCAGAGGCTTCAGACTGTGTCCAATCAATCGAGTAGTGGGGCTGCTGAAGACATGCACTAGTAATCAGTGTAACCATCGCTGTGTTTGAACTCTGTCTCTGTGTCTGTCTGTTTGATTGGGGTGAGTGTGCTTATAAGAAAGTGGGGGAGAGAGCAAGGGGGGTGAACTGGAGATCGAATCCGAGGTCTCTCTTTGTGGGCTCCCTTTCCGCTCTGTGGTAGTGGGTGTGTGTGTTTGCCTGCTCTTCCACACTTATTGTCGAGGTTGTTACGTGCTTTGTATGTTAACTGAAAGGACAAGAGTTGGCCATGAATCCTAAGTTTGCTTCCTTCCTGTTCTTTCCCCTCCTCTCTTCTCCTCTCTCTACCTCTGTATCCCCCTCCTCCTTCTCCTCCTCTGCTTCTCTTTGGTTGTTCTCCCTGGTTGTATGTAGAGGTTCCCATGGCAACATTGAGCCCATCCAAAGTGACATTAATGCAGGGGAAAAGCGTGGACCTGTCCTGTTCAACCTCCGGGGTGCCCTCACCTGAGCTGATTTGGAACATGGCGCTGGTCTCTTACTATGAGGTGAGAGCACGTATACACATATTTACACGCAAACATACACTGATATTTGATGAAATGTTTAATCGAATATCACATGTGAGGATGGATGAAAAAGGCGGATTAGGAGAACCTTAATGATAAATGAAAAGTTAATGATAGACATGACACTTTAAGCAATTTTTTCCCCCTTTTGACAGTGTTAACAGAGAAAATGTAGAGAGTCTGCTGCCTACGATGGAGTATCAGGGCCACATCGGAAAAAAAAGAAGACTTTTAGATTAAAGTCGTTAATTTACGAGAATGAAGTCATTACTAATGAGAATAAAGTCGTAATAATATCATTACCTACGAGAATAAAGTCGTAATAAGGTAGTTACTTATGAGAAGTAACTACCTTATTTGAGAAACAAGTACTTTTTCATGAAATGCTCCATGGCTCTCATTTCAACAACTGTCATCTTAAACAACAGGTTGGAATATAAGGATTTTATTCTGACTTTATTCTTGGAAGTAATTACTTTATTATGACTTTATTCTCATTAGTAAGTACTTTATTCTTGTAAATTAACGACTTTAATCTTGAAGTCTTAATTTTTGTTTTTTTTAATGTGGGCCTAATACTCGATCGTAGCTGCCGCTGCTTTTCAGTCACTTTTAGCTGTAAACTTTGGATTTGATTTAGCAAAAGTGAGTGAAAATCAAAACAAGAAACTGGTAACAGGTTTCAGTTTTTGGTCATTTACACCACAAATGAAGAATCTTTTCATTGATGAATAACCACAAAAAATCTAAATAAATGGTGCTTAGGGACTCTGAAATCCTGGCTGATCCTTTAGGGTGTTCAGATTTTGTTATTTGGCTTAGTGTTAACTGTCAGTATGTTTACACAGTGGTCAAAAATCTGTTTATTGAGTTACTTTAACTGGAATTGACCCAGAAGTCAAACGGTATAAATGCAAAGGAGTAAGCCAGGTCGCAAACAAAAGCTCACTCAAAAAAGAGAAGCAAAGTAGACAAGAGAAACTGTCAAAATGTGCTTTTAGGACTATCTCCAAAACTGCAGCTCTTGTGGAGTATTACTATTCTGTGGTGGTTAACACCAAATCAAAAGAGAGCCAAGGAAAGAAAACTGGTTCAAATGGCACCAGGGTTATGGTCAGCCCAGGCTCATTGATGCACTTAAGGAGCAAAGACAGTCTATGTGGTCAAATAATACTGAAGAGCTGCACAAACTGCTTATAAAGTTATTGCTAGGTCTAAAAGAAAGGTGGAATATTAAGCGCATCACAGTTGGTTGTGTTTTGGGCCGCTCAGTGTGCCTATGCTGGCTGCTGTTCATAACTGACAATGGGAAAGGTGTTGACTTGACCATTAAATCCCTCAATCTAGTTGACCATCTGTGAGGTATTCAAGACAACAGAGTTTAATCCTCTGAGGCTCATCATACTGCAGCAGCTGTAAAAAAAAAATTCAAACCACTGAAAAAACAACGAGAATGTTTTAATGTTTTCAATTAAATCAGAAGTTTGTGAAATCAAAAACAGAGGTTGAAAAGTTGAGAAATCCTGACATAATTGTTCTGTTTACTCATTCAGATTGTGACATCAGGCCAGATGTCAGAGCTGCGACTCTCCAACCTGTCGTCTCAGGACCACAACAGCAAGATCAGCTGCATAGCAGAAAACATTGTTGGAGAGAAGGAGTCCTCACTGCTGCTGGATATTCTTTGTATGTTTGGCAAGCATACCATGTTGATGTTGTTTGTCGTGTCAAAGTTTATATTAGCATAACTGCGCCTTTGACACGATAAGTTATAAACTGGATAACACTGCCCCTCCTCTTTTAATCAGTGTTTTTCGCATGCTCCATTAGTTCTGCCTCTGAATTGCTCTTTGGCGTTATCTTGCTTTGGGTGTTTTCTGTTTGTATCTCACTTTGTTGCCTTTAAACTCTTTGCTCTTTGATATTCAGTTCCGCCCAAAATCACCAAGCTGAGTGATGCAATCCCAGACCATCACTGGTGTATCCCCTTCAGCGTTTCAGGTATGACCGATTTTCACATACCATCCTTTGTTGTTCCTCTAGAATTTGTAGAGGCTTCAGCATTTCCCTACATTTCACATGATTTCACAATGTTTGATTTTACAATCTCTATAAAGAAGTATACAAACAGTTGATTGAAGGAAATGTGAGTAATGTAGAAAAAAAAAAAAAAACCTTCTCCTATGTCTCTCCAGGAAACCCAGAGCCGACGCTGCAGTGGTTTCTGGATGGTGAGGTGGTGACAGAAGGAGACTATATCATGACTATGATTCATGACGTCACAGAGAGAGAGTACCATGGCTGCCTGCAGCTGGACAGCCCTACACACCTCAACAACGGGCGCTACATGCTCCTGGCTACAAACACATACGGATCAGACCAAAGGGAGGTGGAAGCTCACTTCATGCGCAAGCCTTGGGATGGTGAGTAGTAATAGGGCGCAGTGTTCTTTTCAAAAGTGAAGAGAGTTTTGGTGAACAGATTCTAGGACTGCTTGTGTTTACATAATAGGTCAGTGGGTTATTATTATTATTTTTTAATTGTCCAAATATTTAAAAAAACAACCTATAATTTACCCCAAATTGAGTGCACATACACTGTCCATGATGATTACACGGTATATATCTAATGAAATACTCTCTCTGTTTGTGTTTTGCTGGTGCAGGAACTGAGAAGGAACCTATTTATTATGGTGGGTAAAACATATTCACTGCTAAAAATGTTTTAACCTAATATAAAATATCACCTTGTGTGTATCACTTTATGTCAGTGTTTCTCATTATTTTGGTCTCATCAGTTCAGTCAAGTCTTTCTCTTTCGCCTCTTAAGCTGTTGAGGGTTCATCATATGTGCACATCCTTGCGGTGCAGCTAGCGATAAGGCCCGTTAATTCATACACACTGTGAAAACCATGTTGTTTTTCTATGATAAATATGTTATTAAATCAAGCTCACAGTACTCGTTGACTGACAACATGATTTCTTTGGTGCATGCCAAAAAATGTACAACCTGTGTTTTAAAATTTGAAAGCTCATTTGTCTCTTTTGTCCCTTTTTTCCAACTTCTCCTCCATCCTGCAGATCTTTCGACAGGTACTGCTATACCTTTTTTGCTTCCTTTTAAAAGCCGACCAGTTGCTTAGCTCCCACTTGCACTTACACTTTTGCTATGTCCTTATGTCATGAGCTGGCATTTGTTCTTCTGAAAGATAGGTTAACAAATTATACATTACTGACCACCTAGTGCCATATACACCTACTTTAAAAGCACTTTGATGATTTCTAATACATAAGACCACTTAACTAGATTTTGATGAGACATTTTGGAAGTGGATGTGACTTTCAACGCTGTCACTCACTCAACCACAGATCGCTCTCTGAATTTAATCCTTTCTCTTTCTCCTTTATCAAACAGATGACACCCCTGTAGACCCTCCTGAAGACAGAGTTGCTGTAAGTCCTCAGTTGCTATTTCTTTGCTGATGGTCTCTTGCAGTTGTCCCTGTTTTTTTTTTCTATTTAATTGTGTAACTTGTTGAGAAAACCACCTGGCTATATCTGTTTGTTTCATGTTAGAAGTAATACTGAAAATCTGCCTGAGAATTACACCTTCTGCTCTTCCGTGTGTCTATAGTTGCTGCTGGAGGTTAATAATCCCTGTCTTTCTGTCGTTCAGGTGTACGTGGTTGTGGGCATTGCAGCTGTTGCCTTCACTGGTTTCCTTCTCATGTTGGTCATTCTGAAGTTTGGGGGAAACTCAAAGTTTGGCATCAAAGGTAAGATTTGGTCTTTATCTCTATTTGTGGCCTCTATCATGTGGGGATGATAAACGGAGTAAATGAGTTTCTGTCAAGGAACAAAACCAGAATGGCTCCATGAATACAAAAAAAAAAAAAAAGATTTTAAATGGTTTGCACCAAAACAGCCGAATTAGAAAAGTTGCATTTAAGTTGAACACAAAGGTCACTTTTTTATTTTCAATGCCTTCTTAATTTTTTCCCTCCAAACATATCAAATGGGATCATGCAGAGGAAAACATAAGCAGGTGACCAATAGTTCTTGCATCTTTCCAACCTCATGCATGGAAATTAAAAAAACAAAACACAAGAGTATGTTATCTAGTTCAAAAGTGGGAATTTACTTTATTTAATTTATTTTTTTATCTCAGACATTTTTTCCGCTCAAAAGATGAAATCACAGCTGGCCTCTGAATCCAAGATTGAATAACTATATGTATATCAGGGCTTGGGCAGAATTTAATTTTTTTTTACTCCACTGTGACACAGTTAATGTGCAAACCATGAGGTATCCATGAATCCATCCTGGTCCGGTGGAAAAAAGCTGCTGTCTAAAGGAGGGTCTCTGGGTTTTAGTGCTGCTGGTGAATAACATGCATGTTCAGTAAACTGTAACCCTGTAGTCTTTGTCTTTGCTGATGTGAAATTACTGTGGCAGCCATTGTGGAAGGCCTCTTTACACACACGCACGCATGCACACACACACACACACACACACACACACACACACACACACACACACACACACACACACACACACACACACACACACACACACTTATTTTGTTATCAGTTTTAAAACTACTTTTATTTCAAACAGTGACCTCTTCAATGGCTCACAGTGTCACTAATTCAGTTCGTCTTGTAGTGTTTGTCTCTGCTGATCTTTATTCACTCAATTTGGTGTTTTGCAGGTATTTTCCTTTTTCTTTGTTAACTAACAACACTTACATCAGACTTTCATTTCTTTGCATACAAAGATACATTAACACAAATGGTTCTGCTGTTTTCCAAGTCCATGAGCATTCACAGTGCGCAGCTCAAACCGTAGCAGACAGACACTTACTTGTCTTTCATTCCTGTTGGCTCATTTTTTGTTGAAAAGTACTTCAAGAATGCTAAGCTTGAGTGAAAACTTTTAAATACAGAGGCTGTGTGGAAGAACTGTTTTCTTGGATTTCAATTCAGTCGACTTAAGTTTAGTTTGGCGCGGTTTTAAAAGCTTGGCGTATTTGTGATAAGAAACCCCAATTTTGAACTCTGTGAGGAAGTAATTTTGAGCTATTAAAGATAGAGTTGTTTCAGGAAGAAACAACTTTAAAGCATTAGCATTTCAGGCAGCACTGCAGGTTCACATTTGACATTCAAATGACCAAACAAAAAAAATGAATGCAAATGAAGAAAAAGGGGTTTATTGAATGTGTGTTATGAGTTTATGCCTGTGCATGAATATGTGAATCTAGGCTGCACTAAATCAGTGCAGTATTTTGGCAGTGAATGATCGATGGCCCCTCAGAGAGCAGGGGATCAGGCGGTACAACTTCTATATAGTGCATTGTGTGTAAGTGTGTTTTTGTATTTATGGTCCCACGTGTGGTTTCTTCCTTCTCCTGTGGAAGTGAATGAAAGTGCTGTGAGAGAAATGATCCCTCTAATGCCTTATAGCATCTCCTGAACATCCTTTGAATATATGTGTGTGCTAAGCATTTTGACGTGTGTGCATTTCCACTCGTGTAGGATGTTGGGTCATGTTACCTTTTTGCCCTTTTGATTGCTCCCCTTGAGCCTCGATCCTCTCCGCTTTCCACTCTTGTCTTCCTCTCCCCATGCGGCCTTATCCCTGTGCTCCACATACATCCAGATGTATGTGCGCTGAAGGATGTTGACATTAGGATGAACATGAGGAAGGAGAGATTGAGAGAGAGGTGGTATCGGCATCAACAAAAGAAAAAGATGGGGAGTTAGAGAACTTCATGGCTGTGTCTGGTTTAAACCTCTGCATGTTTGATATCTATCGATGACCCAAGTTTGTCGTATTCAATACAGCAAGGGGACTAGTGCTGATCAGACTCACACACCGCTTTCACATGGCAGTGTATTTTGATTGAATTAGAAAAACGTGCTCTAGGTCACACATAACAACCTCCGCATGAGCACAGTCAGTGCTGACGATGATGAAGATGGTGATGATGAACTTGTGATCATAAAGTGTGAAGAGAGCATGTCTTGCCATATTGAACAGGTGTGCATGAGAAAGGCTCAGCTCGCCTCACTGACTCAGGATGAATCCTTGTTGGACTCTCTATGAGAGTGGAGGGGGGAAAAAGGGTTTGGCTGTTTTACATTATTTATATTGCCTGCATTATTCCGCTTCTCTCTCATCAATAAACATGGGCCACATTTGGTGCACTGTGTCTTACTGCTTCTTGACACACACAGACAGGATAACTATTTTATATACTGTAACGTGTGTGTTACTGTATTAGAATACAGGAGTGTGTAAAACATGAATAATGATAATGTTTAGAGAGAGAGTGTTGAATAAGGTCAGCTGATTCACCGGATGTTTTTATCTTGTATTATCTGCCTTTTTTCCCATGAGGGGGGAATTGGAAAGAACTGCATGGTCACTATTTGATACTGAAGATGTACAAAAACAGACACCTGATAAAGATGATGATATCTATGAGCAATGCTGTGGGCTGTATGCACAAGAAAACATGTTTTAAGACATTAGTACACCTTTGTATCTTGCACACCTGAGGTCAAACTAAAAGAAAGCAAGCTAACAGAGAACACATGAAGCTTATGATGATGCTATGGGAGAATTGCTAAAGAGACCTGGAGGGCGCAGAGCAAATGAATGTTTGTGACTGCGAGGGTAAATGAGATCTAAGCAGTGTTGAGGAATCTAATGTATCAGGATTTTTTTGGTCAACTTTTAAATGAGATTGTCTTGGCCTTATTCAGTATCAGACCGGAGTCCCAGCGATTTAGAGACGGGCATGATTGTCTTGTTTCAGAGTTTTTTTTTAAAACATATTTCTACGAACATTTTTATATAGTTCATTCAAAGTATCATTTTTTAAATGAGCTTTTATTTTTGGTAGATATTGTTTTATCTTTTATATGGACTTTGAGGCAGAAATACATTCTGAATGGGGGTGAATTGAAACTACACTATGCAATATATTACTAGTTATAGTTCATGTTATGTCACTTAGTTCTTGGTTTGATCTACTAAATGTTATTAAAGCTAATGAGTCCTCAGAAAGCTGTGTTCATTCAGTTACTGCGTTGTCATTTTGAAGAGATTTAAATTTGTGTTTATGCAGTCAAATAAAATCTCCATTTTCCATGTAGAGCTGTTTAGAGTTTCAAAAACATCAACTAATAATAATAATAATAATAATAATATACAACAACAACAACAATAATATACAACAACAACAACAACAATAATAATAATAATAATATACAACAACAATAACAATAACAACAACAATAATAATAATGTACAACAGCTACAACAATAATATACAACAACAACAACAACAACAACAACAATAATAATAATAATAATAATAGTTATAAACAATAACAACAACAACAACAACAACGACAATAACAATAATAATAATTATAATAATAAACAATAATCACAATATACAACAACAACAACAACAACAACAACAACAACAACAACAACAACAACAACAACAACAATAATAATAATAATAATAATAATAATAATAATAATAATAATAATAATAAACAAAAAAATAACAATATACAACAACAATAATAATGTATAATATCATAATAACATTGAAAGACTAACCCTATTTATTAAGTAATTTGTTGATGGAGATTAAATTAGTCAACAGGTCAAGATTCAAAACACTGCAACAATAAAAAGCAACTTCAGATTTTACAACATGATTAAAAAAGCAATGAAAAGAAACACAACAACATAATTCAGTTTGATAAAACAAGTAAGATAAAAGTCAGATATCAAGTTTAAATCAAAGCCAATTTAAAAAGATATGTCTTGTTTTTTTGTTGCCTCACCTGGATTCTTGTGGGGCATTCCTTTAACCTCTAACAGGAAAGCAGTGGAAAATGTAAGTGTTTGAGTGGGGACATAAAATGAAAGGCAGTCAGTGATATATGAAGGTGCTAAATTATGTAAGGCCCTGTGGATGAGTAAAAGGGCCTGAAAATCAATTCCTAAAGAAACTGTTTGCCAGTGCAGTGATGTGAGCAGAGAAGAGATGTGATCTCTTTATGTTTCAAAAGCCTTTTACCTGGATCTTCTGTTAATGTCCCTCTGAACTCTCTAAATGTATGCCTCTGACGCTCTAGAGTGGACCAGTAGACTCAGTACAGAATTACACTCATGAAGAGACACAGTGTGGTGTAACAAGTCTGAAACAGGAGGTATGCAGCCACACTGTCTGAGTCTGAGTCCAAAATACCACCCCAAAGTTGGGTTTCCTAGAACAAAATACAAAACCAAGTCTTCTTTCCAACATTTTGACTCATGAGGAAGAAATCTGACGCTCAAGTATCACACATAATGTGGATATTGGAGGTTTGCTACATCAGAAGTGCAGGACTTGAATGGACAAGTGAATATTCGTTTTTTTTTCATTATTATTATTTCAGGAGTCCCATTGAAATTCAGATTTTTTACATTGATTAGCAAGATCAAAATTTGAATTGTGTGTGTGAGTGTTGAAGGCTGCAAAAAACTGGAATAAAAACCCAAAGACTGGGGAACACGAGCAAAAGGAAGCAAAATAGCTAACAAGCTCACTCAAATGGGCCGGCTGAAAGCCTACAAGCTCCCACAAAATGACACATAACTACCCCGCTGAAGTGAGTGCAGACTCCTGAAAGAGAGAGCGGATCAGACAGGCAGAGAGCAGAGGATGTAGCAGCATCTGTACGTGTTCCTGCCCTCGAAGCACCTGTAGGGAGGGAAGCGTCAACATGAACTAGAGTTCTGATGCAGGAGCAAGGCAGGAAATGTCAAGAGAGGGGGAAAAAGGAGAAGTGATTGAAAGGGAAAGCTGCAAATATGGAGCAGAGAGAGTGAGAGACAGATGGAGGAAGAGAGCAAATGCTAAAAATGACATTTGACAAAAAAGCAGGTGTAAGAAAAAGCCGGCAAGGAAATGAGAAAGAGTGAAATAGAAGAGTAGAGCAGGCATTGAAAACAGAGAGAGGCAAAGAGGAAAGTAAAAACTGAGAGAAAGAAGGAGATTGAAGGAGAGAGTCCTGTCTTATTCACTTATCAATGATTCATCATTAGTGCAGGTTTCAGTTTTCTCCTTGTTTGGTGGAGTTACACGCCTCCACCTCTCTTTCCCTCTCTCTTTCTCTCACATGTACACAAAGCTCTTCACTGCTGATCGATCGATATGACACCCTCAAGGTCAGCAGAGCTCTATTCTAGGCCTGAGGCTTTTCTGAGCATGCCCAGCAGACCCACCACCCCCACCTCCTTCCCCTCCTCCTCCTCCTCCTCTTCTTCCTCTCCCTGCAGAAAAGCAGCTTTCGCCTCCAGCTTTTGAGGTTTTTGACGAAATGCTGCTCACCCACTGGAGTTTTGGAAAGAAAGGAAAAAATGAATGAGTTGAACCACAAAGTGAAGAAGCTGAAAGAATATCTATGGCTCTACTTTTAGACTCAGTAAAAATTCTTCCATAGACTGACAGAAAAAGAGTCAGGTTTGCTGTGTTTTATAAGTGTATAAAGGAGCGCTGTATGAGATTCTTGGTGCTGTTGATCTTGTTCTTCACATAAGTGTTTTGATGTAAATAGAGATATAAAAAGTTCTGGACTCCAGAAAAAGTTCTTGATGAGCTGTTTTGGTTCAGACAAAGTTAAACATTGAAATACTACATATTAGACTTGTGTGGTTGAACAGAGAAATAAACCAGGTTTTCAAAGAAACATAAATAAGTTTCTGCATTGAGCACATGTTACATCTGCATGTTAGACCTTATACTATCATCTGAGTTTATCTTATAAGCAACGGCTGGTTATTGTTTAAAATTTTCTTCTATCATTTGAGAAGAAGAATGTTTGAAAAGCAAGACTCAAAATCTGTGAAACCTCAAAAATATATTCCAGATCATTTATTGTTTTGTTTGCGAAAACAGTGACTGGTGGTACCAACGATTGCCTCTGGGAGGCATTACTAATCAAGCACCATTCTGTTCAGTCCAACACTTGAATTACCAATCAATCACAATTTAACACTTTCATATTTAGATTGGTTAACACAGGCCTTCAATCGCTCTCTGTCATTGTTCTTTATTGTCTTATGAAAGAAAGCAAACTAGTGTGAAATCAGAAGAGCTGCAGAGAGAAGATGAAGAGAACATGGAGGGATTTCTTTCATAAACAGCCCGATGTTAATGAAAGCATAAGTCATGAAATCGTCATTGGCTATGGTGATAAACAGATCATTATAAACAGACTGTAATAAATCTGTTGACATCAGTGGAAAATACACCAATTAGTGTTTCAAAGAGGACTGTTTTTGCTTTGAGATGTGAGTTATGCTCACCTTTCTTGAGTACAAAACGAGCCAAAAACACGTTCTTTCAGCTTGCTATCTCTCTTTCTCTCTCAAGTATTGTCACTTGCTGTCTTGAACCAGCTTTCTTCAGGAGAGACATGGTGCCGCAGCATCACTCACTTGACTCTGTGTGGTCAGGTCAATCCTGTCAGCTTGCACAGGGTCAAACTTTGCCATCATATACAGGCTTCAGAGAAAGGCCCGCATTTTTCCTCCTTGAAGGGTTACAAATTGTGTTTATTCAGTTTGATCATTCTTACTTCACTTACAATGAACTTAAAGGTGGGGTAGGCAGGATCTGAGGAAGTGCCAGTTTTGGGGAGAAATCTTGAATGTAAACTCTACCTCTCCCAACCAGTTTTCCCCTCAGCTGCTCCTCTCCCCTCCCTCTCTGCTCCAGCAAGCCCCGTCCACAAACAGATGCTCCTGCTCACTCGTATCATTCTAATTAAATTCAGATATAATGCAGATAAATACTTCAGATGATTACAAATGGGGCCCAGTCAACGTGAAAGTACAAAGGATTGACCCGGCTTTTTAGCTCTTGTCCGGTCTACCTCCGTTTTAAGAGCCCGTTATTCCACCAGAGTCTCCAGTACTTACTTCATTTTCTTGCTTGTGTTGGCAGTCATGGCCAAAGGAGGATTCAGTTTGGGCTCGTAAACGTTATTCAAGCATGTGGAGCGTACCTCACAACATGAGGTTGCAGCGTCCGCCTCACAACCAATCAGGTTGGGGGAGGCGGAGAACGGCTGTGTTTACATTAAGAAAGAGCGGGCCGCTCAAAAATTTTTAAAATGTTGACTACACAGATATAACAAAACACAACGATATCGTTATGTTCCCAAATGTCACTAATAACTAATAGCTACTGACTGATATTAAAAGCTTTTTTGTATATACACCACAAAAAAGATACTTCTTTAACATAATCCTACCTACCCCACCTTTTAAGAGAAAGACAATGGTATATTTCCATTGTAGGTTATTCAGGGGCCCCCAGTCCCACTTTTCACCTAACCGTGATGCCAATCCTTGCAGGTAACGCTGTTTTTCCACACAATTTGACTATGAGCAAGCATGGAGAGAGTGCCAAATATAAGACATGCCAGAAGAAGAGTGAAGCACAGGGATTCAGAGTCAGATTTGTTTGTTAAGGCTTTCATTTGTCAGGATGCTGTCGGCCATTCCACTCTCTTGGCAGAGCTGAATGTGACATTTAGCACTGCCTACACCATCTCCAAAGAAGAGCTGGCCCCATGTTATCATTAAGGACCGGATACGGTTGCGCATAAATTAAGAAATGATGAAAGACAATACGTGTTTAATAAATATTTATCATTTCAAAAAGCGCATTAGCTGATGTAACTAGTCTGTATAATAAAAAGCAGCTGTTGACTGATTATTGTGAAAGGCGTGTAGAATTACGGCGTGTAGAATAACGTTTCATCACAAAGCACTGCATCACATATGTGGCAGATACAGTCCACTCCTTTCGTCATTGCTCCAACAGTAATCATGCTATCGTTATATCTGATGTCTGAGATGATAACTTTTGATAGCTCTAAGATTATGTGATGCCTGCAGGATTCTGGGAACACAAATGTCTGTAACTAATTTCATGACCTTTCTAAATGGTGAGGTACATTAATTGCAATCAAGTGACACATGTGCTTTAGAGGAATATAAATGACTGTATAATTCAGTGTTGGTCTAACCGAGCCGGCCTCTGCCAGCATTAACCCGAGTGTGTGTTTGTAGGCCTGCATATGTCAGTGTCAACACTAGCCAGCATTCTTTATGCATTTTTACCTATCATAAATAAAAAAGACTTGTTTAAAGGGCAGATGGTTAGAGAGTTAAAATGAGGTTATAACTGTCTGTCCCTCTACGGATGTTTCCTTAGCAACTGTGACAGTGTGTTTTAAGGTCAGCGTATTATCTGAGGTGAATGTCCTGAGCTGTGATTCACTGAGGCGCTATATTGAAACTAGAGATCAGGAAATGTGACAACAATAATATGAAGTTGTTTTTTTAAGATTTCTTTGGTTTAATTTTAGAGCAGAAAACGAAGAGGGGGTGTGGGTATGGTCCTCAGGGACAGAGGCCTCATGCTGGAATTGAACCCAGCCCTCCCACGTGTAGCACAACTTTTACATATGGGACACATATCTAGACAGCTAGGCCAGAAAATAGTATTAAGATAAGCAATATGATAGTGTTTCAATCTAAAGAGTTTAGAATTGACTCAAGGGCAAATTTTCACTTAAAAGTTATACGGCAGGTTATAAACTTGACTTATAGATCAGAAACTTTCCCTTCAGGTCTGCATCACTAAGACAGTAGAATAATGACAAGTATAATGCATCCCCTCAAAGGTCTATTTTATCTCATTCATTTACTTGGTAGTTCTGACTGCTCTCATTTGATGCTTTATTGGACTATTTTACAGCAACTAATAACGCATCCATGGATTTCAGCCATTAACTGACTTCAATATTATATTTTTATTAAAAAAACAAAGACTTGAGCACAAAAAATGGAAAACTGAAGTCATGTTAGGAAACCCTTCCTTTGACAGAAGTAGTAATTGTTTCTGCTTCGATCTAAATGAAAAAGAGGCTTCTCTTCTTTAAGTTTATAATTTCAGTTTATCCTGTGATCCTTTTTGCTATGCCTCGCGATGATGGATAGATAATGATAGATAAAGGGTATTATCCTTGGCAGTGTTTATCATTTGACATGTTGTCCTGAATTGGGTTGAAGGGGAACAGTTTTGTTTGTTTGCAGATTTGAGCACCGAGAGCTAGAGTAAGAAAAGACTCAATGCCTATGGCAGATCCTGAGGGCAGTGATTGTTTGAAGTGCTCTGAAAATGGAAATGGCTCTTTTCCAATGTGAAACATTGCCTGAAGACTTTGTCTGTGTGCTGCTTGGCTGCACTTTTTTTCTTTCTTTTTTGCATTGCACTTTTTTGGTGAACATTTATTCTGAATGGGTATTATTTTTATGTTACATAAGCTCCTTACAGACTTTCACAAAGTTCCTGAAAATTTGCCAAAAATATACAGGTGAGATGTACCTGTGAACTTACACAGCTGGTAAATTTCTTGATTATTAATGTTATCCTTTAGGAACAGGCAAAATGTTTCAGTTCACTCATGAGAAACTTGTGTTGAAGATTTTAGGAGCGGTGTATTCAGTCCACTGTTATCCTCTATTGCTTAATATGTAGATACAGAAACATTCTGATTTAACATACAAAACCTTTGTCGTGTTTTTGATCAGATCTATGGTGATACTGAAAAAATAGATTTGCCATTTGCAGATGTTAACTTTATAGACTTTTGGCATTAATGAGCTGCCATCTTCTGTTTTTATGCAGATGTGTGTTAAGTTGACTTGAAGTTGAATTGTTTCCCTCACCAGTCAGCTCTTAAATTACTCAACGATCACTTCAGATATAGTTTTATAGCTGTTGGTGCTACTTTACCCTTCATGCTTTAATAGGGGTCTAAATGGGGTGTGTGAGGACCCCATGTGTGAAATCAGATACAGATCGATCAAAAGGCTCATGAAACTGTTTTGAAAAGGCCAAGACTTGTTGGTGGTCTGAGTCAGAGAAAGTAAAGACAGGGACGATCAGCTGGTGTCTCTGTCTCCTCAGTGTTATCAAGAAGTCTATTGTGTGGTCGTACATCATTTCCGGCCTCATATTGGTCAGTCTGACCTTTACCAACAGTCAGAGCAGGGAGGAATTACATGGCTGTGACTACAAAGGAAGTGTAGGACCAGGGTTTTATTTGGAAAGGAAAAGAAATAACCAGGAGCAGCTACAACCGTAACCGTTTTGGAACATAGGGGGTTTAAAATCTGATTACTATCCACTTCAAGACAGACGGGCTTTATAACAGGAAGAGTGACATCATTTTATATCCCCACTCTGAAAATCAGAGAAAACAAATGGACTTTAAATGGTCATACAAGGAAATCAGCTGGGTCAGCACATGGCTTATCTGCATATTTAGATTCATATTTATCTTCATATGTGGGACATTAAAGGTAAAAAAAAAACAAAAAAACCTGGGATGAGACATTTTGTGGCGGCAGCTTTCATTTGTATAATGAAAACCACTTACCTTTAATGTAATTTTCTGATGTCTTTTTCCCCCCTGACTATAAATCAAGATGGAAGAAATGGTTTGATTGTCATTTAATTCAGGGCTTTTATTTTTCAACCACCACTGAGGCTGTTGCTCAAGTATTTTCTGATATTTGGAAGAGGGTTTCAGATGAGGAAGCAACTAAGACCTATGTACAGTGATTTCATCTACGTCTACATGGTTCTTGTCTTGAAAATAATTCTCCTTTTTTGACCTCCGGTGCTTATAATCATCCTGTTATATATTGGTTTTCCTGGTTTCCACAGGTTGCATGATAAATCATCATCAACTTCTGCCAGCTCACTCGCCTGTGGTGAAATTTTCAGAATATTTCCTGCTGTGTTCCCACATCAGCTGACCCTGACTCTCCAGGAAAATGTGACATGGCAGGAAAATATCCTTTGGAAATTGAGTTGAAAATTTTTGGCTGTTTGCAGTCTCGCATGCAGCCTTCCGAATAAAGCTTCAGGAGTTTTGTGAGGCCCATTTGGGAATCCTACACTTACAGTTGTACATAAAATGAAAGATTTCTGCGTAATTTATGGTTGAGAAAATGCCTCAGTAGCACTTAAATGCTAGGTAAACATTTTGTGTTTTGTCAACTTGAATGAGATCAGATGGAAGTCTGTTCTCCCTTGTGGAGGAACAGACAACGTAAACAAATAAGATCCATCTCTTTCCAGGCCAGTCCTTGTCAGCTTTTTATCACATTTATTTCTACTGAAATCTTTTCAAGCTCATTAACAGAAGCAGTTTCAGAACGTCGCTGAGTCCATATATCCAAGTTGGAAACAAAGTACAACTTTTAGGTACTTTTGTTTCACTTTGTACTTCTACTCACATGTCGAGAATAAAAGGATGCCCCTTTTTATACCTTTATTTTGACAGGACAGCTAAAGAGAAACAGTAAAGTAGGGGAGGAAAGTGAGGTAGACTTATGTATCAAGAGCTGAAATCTGGAGCCACATCTGCAGGTTGTGTAACAAGGACTGTAGTCTCAGTTAATCAAGACAACACTACTAGATAATGCTGCTGATTCCTGGTTTCCCTCTCCGACAAAAGTCAGCAGAGGCTCTATTATCAGATGGCTCTAAAGATTTTCTATAGTGTGGTGGGAGGTGTGTAAAGAGAGATAATTCTGCACTTGAGATCATCCACTTGAAACTTGACATAGTAAATATTGAACACATTCAATGTAGCAGTGTAAGATGACTGTCTTACACGATATTCAAGGTTTCTGCCTGTTAAAGGAAGTTTTTCCTCTCCATTGTAACTTGCTGCATAGTGCTACACTCATATGGTTGAAGATGGGATGGGAGTGGGTCTGATCTTCCAAAATTAAGACTGATCTATCACAATGTGAACACAAAACAAAAAGGGGAGGACCCAAGTGCAGAGCTTCAAATAATTTATTGAATCAAAGACTAAACATGGAGCAACAAAAACTTACTTAAACAGAAAATGTTCAATAAATCCAAAACTCAAGGAAGAAAATCCAATGAAACAAAAAAAGCACTGAGGAAAAAAAGGGCATCAGGTAGGGATTGACAGAGACATACATACATTAAAGCAACAACAAGAGAACGCTACACAGAGATTCAATAGACAGAGTAACTAATAACAAGAGGCAGGTGAGACATGAGGACACAGGTGCAGACAATCACTAAAGAGGGAAAACTGAGGAAGTAAATGTGGACTAGACACACAGGGATCAACTACTACAAAATAAAATAGGAAGTCAAACTGAACCGGACACACAAGAGTAGGAACTACATAATAAAACAGAAAACACTGAAAACTGATCTGAAGAATAAAACACTGAGAACACAAAGACAAACTGAAAACTCACAAAACAGGATCACAGGGGACAGAAACACTATCGAGAAAATACACAGAAAATACAACAAAATTACAAAACCAGGAAAAAACTCAACATGAACATATCATAACATGATTGATTGATTAAACATATACAGTCAGAAATCCTTAAGTAGGAACCCTGAGGATGCACTTTGAACATAATGGAAGTCTATCGGGAAGAAAGCTGAGTAAAGAAGGAAGCACAAGAAATGCAAACCTGTTAAATCCGTCATTATTTGTTTTCATTTGTGGGTCTTTGATGATTTCAGGATCGGTTAAGACTGGATTACTATATTGTTTCATAGTAATTGATAGATTAAGGATTTAAAGGTAAAATTTAGCTGGTAAAAGATGCGCTAAATTCATTGTAGCCTGATAAAAACTCAATTTCAAATTACTTCAGACAGTTATCCAGCATGAAAATCTAGATGCTGCAGATCAAAACACGAGCATTTTACGAGTTTAAGTCCACGGCCTTGAGTGTTATTCTGTTTTAGTTGAGTCATCAGCTTTAACCTTGAAGTTATGCAAATCCACTGCTCTGCTCTTTGTGTGTGTAGACAATTACACTGCATGTACATCATGTCAGTGTGATTTTTCCCTTAGTCGGAGTGACAGTGTGTTGTTGCTCAAGGTCCTGCATCCTGCTCAGTAAATGTCACTGCTGCCAGAAAGTGTGTATGTGCACGCTGCATCAATGTGCCTTTTAGTTGGCAGTACAGTGAATGTCTGTATGATCGGCTCTATGTTAATGAGGCTTTCGCTATCGATCAACACCTCGTCCTCCTGCACTTGAGCACATACTCGAGCCACCGAGAGGCAAAAACATACACTAAAGTCCCGGTGTTTTCTGAATATGTATGAGATCGGGCATAGGGACCTGCCAATATCATTCAGTGTGTCTTGTTTTTTTCTCACATATTTCACATTTGTGTGGTATTTTTTTGCACAGCAGGAGAGGAAAGAGAGAGGAGGGGAGAAGGTGGAGTTGGGAGGGGGGAGCAGCAGCACTGAGCACTATAACAGATAGAGGTTTATTGATGGATCAGTGGATCGTTTGCCTGTCCAGACTGAGCCAGAATGCTTTGGCCCTGCCTTCCCATCACTGCCTAATGCTACGTTCAGCAGCGCAGCTCTCTGCAATGTGTGTGTCTGTAGGTGTGTGTGTGTGTGTTTGGAAGAGACATAGTTAATGGGGGCTGAGGGAGTGTGTATCAGTGAGTGACAGCATTGTAGTAGGTGTGTGAAGGATGGAGAAAGGCAAAGCAAAAATGGGACAGAGGCAGAGAAGTTTAGTATTACTGTGGAAAAGGTGTGTTTTTTGTGTCTGAGAGGCAGACAATCAGTCAAAGGCTTTTGTTTTTTTTCTCTCGCACATAAATACTTGTTCGCACCTGCATAATGTCTTTCAAAGGCTTGAGTTTCAGTACAGCCAGATCTTGTTTATACAACTACAGTACATGTGCTTGAAACTCTAGAGAGCCATCTCTGATTTATTACCTCTTTTCCCTTCTTCTCTCGAGCCAAAAGCTTAATGAAAAACAAACCTAAGTATTTCCTGAGAACATGTTGATTCTGCAGGACAGTCCGGCTCTCATTTTCAGTCTAAATGAGGATCAACATCACAACTCAGCAGGTATGATAACTAAAGGAAATGTCTCTATTGAGGTTATAAAATTTTTATCTAAACCCTGCAAGTTTTAACTGTAAATTTTACACAAGAGCTCAGTGATGGGCTTAGATCATATTTAGGAGTCTTGTCAAGCACTTAACAAGATTTATTTTGTTAAAGGGGGAGTATTTAAGCTTTTTTTCTGACTCCGTTTTAGCTGTTGTCTCTTTAAGGCAGAAGCATAGATGACCCAGTAAGGAGAGTCTATAATTCTTACGTCAGGATTCTGGTAAATCTGGCACATAAACTACAGCCTCCCATTTTGATCTTGGATCTCAATGGGACAAACTTGGTTGATTAAAGATTATAAATAAATAAATAAATTTTCATGCATTTGTCCGAGATGTGAGCAGTTTACATCTGCTTTCTCAGATTATGACAAAAAACGTTTAACTTGTGATTTGAAACTTTGCAAACATCAAGTACAGACACCAAACATGATAACTAAAAGTGAAATTTAGCTCCTATAGTGGCTGAAAACAGCTTTTGAGCATCCTGAGCTTCATTAACACCTCAGCAAAGATATAGGCTGGCTGACCATCCAATTGGTGCCATGGTAAAGGAGCCCTAGTCCAAGTGTATAAATGAGTGTACATTTTAGAAGCTGTTATTAAACCATTTTTATTGATTTTAGAGGAATAATAATTTGAGATACTGGATTTCTGTTCTTCATGAGCTATAAGCCAAAATCAACAAAATTGAGACAAAAACGAAGATGTGAAAGTATTTTTTATTAAACTACGGAAAGAATAACTTTTTTCATGGTATTCTGATTCGTTGAGACAATAATAACCTATCTGTATTTTGTATTGACATATTAGTAAATGAATCTTCTCTGCAGAGAAAACCAGTTATGCAAAATTTGTTTTAACAATGATGACTACTCCCAAGTTGCAAATCCAAAAATCAGTTTTATTTTTTTTTCCATAAGTTTGCATTTCTAATTTGTTTACCTTTTTATTGTTTAAGATAATGTAAATGTTTCTTTCTTCATAGCATTGTTTTCAGTAATCAGGCAATCTGTAGATATTTCTTTAGATATCCTAAACTTTAGAGAAGAATAAACTTTTGCTCGTCAAAAGGATAACCTTTAGGTTCATGTTTCCAGCAGATGACCCCAATCATGAGGTTATCTGGTCTTTTTATTTCCTTGCTGGGAAACAGTAAGATGAGAGGTCGACCGAATAGACTGAGCAATTCAAGGGTCTGTGTTGTGGTCCGATCGGTGTAACAGTGACATTTCTCCTGACGGGTTTAATTTGTGTCTTTTTGCAGCCGTGTCCTGTTGAGGTTGAGTTGGTGTGACTGTTAGTTAAGTGCTTTCACAATTTGAGATTACAACTCAATCCCTGGGCAAAAGAGTTCACAGACAAGAGTCTACAAGAGTGAGTGGAAATCAACAAGTGCAAAGTATATTGCCAGACTATAGTGAAGTAGAAAATGAGTTACATATGTTACCAGTGAACATTTTTCTGCAAAAATGTGCATCAAAAATTTTCATTTTGTCAGGATTGTCATTTGAGAACATTTCCTCTTTTTGTTGATAAAGTGCTTCTCTAGATTTCCAGGATGTATTGTTTATATTGATTGGTTACATAGCTGTATTAAATGTAGTGTACTTTCTCTGACCCTTCCTCTAGGGAAACAGTTTGGGTTTAAGTATCTTGTCGAAGGACGATCTGTCAAAGGTGGGGTAGGCAGGATCTGAGGAAGTGACAGCTCCTCCTCTCCCCTCCCTCTCTGCTCCAGCAAGCCCCGCCCACAAACAGACGCTCTTGCTCGTAGCATTTCAATTAAATTCAGATATAATGCAGATAAATATGTCAGATAATTATAAATGGGGCCTAGTCAATGTGAAAGTAAAAAGCATTGGTGCTACTGTAGATGCCAATAGACTACCAGCAAACACAATGTTTGCAGGACTTCTACAACTAGAATAAAGTGACATAGTCCAGGACCTGAGCTAAACAGTTTAGCGGCGCTACAACATGCTACAGCAGGTCCCGTTTGACAAGAAACACTTCTGTTACAGACACTTGGCTTACTTTGTTAAAGCGGTTTACCTGTCCAGCAGAAAGGTTACAGGGTCGGTAAGATCCCGAAGCATCCCCCATCGACACGGCTTTTTAGCTCTTGTCCGGTCTACCTCCGTTTTAAGCGCATGTTATTCTGCCAAAGTCTCCGGTATTTACTTTGTTTTCTTGCTTTTGTCAGCAGTTGTGGCCAAAGGAGGATTCAGACATTTTTCTGTACTTTCTGGTTGGTTTCTACTGTTCGATATTGTAGCACGCTAAATTTGTTTGGGCTCGTGAACGTTAATCGAGAACGTTGAGCGTCCCTCACAACCAATCAGCACTAAGGAGCAGCATCCGCCTCAAAACCAATCAGGTTGGGGGAGGCGGAGAACGGCTTTGTTTACAGTTAGAAAGAGTGGGCCGCTCAAAAAATTTAAAATGTTGACTACACAGACACAACAAAACACAGTGATATTGTGATATTACCAAATGTCATCAGTAACTAATAGCTATTGACTGATATTAAAAGCTTTTTTTGTATATACACCACAAAAAAGATGCTTCTTTAACGTACTCCTGCCTACCCCACTTTTAAGTGGACAGCAGGTCCTGGGTATAAACCCCTCAACCTTCTGACTGAGAGCCCCCCATCTGCAATCACCACAGGACGACAGAGAGCATATGATTTTGTTTGAGACATCAGCAAATGAATTTGTCAGATGGTGGAGGTAAATCTGTGAAGAAGTAATAAAGCCATCTGTTTGTGAGTATTTGTGAAGTCTTTGCTCATGTTCATACCTGCATGGAGTCTAACAGATTTCAGTTTTTGGACAAAGCAGCCAGTCCTGATCCTGCATGTTAGCAGCCTCAGACTGCAGCCAACTGGATTTATTATTGTGTTTTTTTCTTCAAAGTTCAGTCTGTGGTCTCGTGCCAAGACCCACCGTTCTGCTGAGCTGTCCCTGGGTTTCTTAGCTGACATAAGACATCCGACAAGAAATACTCCACAAGCAGGCAGAGATTTCTGAAGCCAACCTGCACAGAAAAACAAACACATGTTCAGGGAAAATGATGCTCAAACAGACAGATGGTGCTGTGAATACAGTCAAAACAATGAGAGAAATATATCTGTTTGTGTTTGTGTGCAGTAATCCTCAAAATGAATGAAAGAGCATATTTAAGTAGAAGCTGGATCACACAAATCCATTTTGCAAAATTCACATTTAAACCATTTCTCAAGATAAAGAAACTGTTCGAGCTGCTGCTATAACTTACCTTTTATGTCAGTGAAACTGTATATTCTTGACAGTAGTACTTACTGGGTGTTTTAAGTATTTAAAAAGAAGCCTTTAGATTGAAATGTCAAAACCTGAAACCTCAAACATGAACATTAAACAGCTGAGGATCTGCTTTATTTGCTGAAATGGATTTCAGTACCTACAGGATGAAGCCTGAATGAATAGTTGTTCATGAAGACCCGAGTTGTGCGTGTGTGTGGTTGTCAGAAGGTCTGTAGCGTGACATGGTCGACTTCCGTTGCCCATCGCATGCTGTTGCCATGGCAACCTGCGTCATTGCCAACCTGCGCTGCTGCTCCAAAACTAAATCATTATCACTAGCTGAGTCTGGAAGGGGAGTGAATCACTACCTTCAGTTGAACACACACACACACACACGCACTCACACACTCACACACTCATGTACACGTGGAGCAACACCTGGGACCGGATAGAGCCAGCAGTAGAGCTGGAGACGGCGGCAGACAAAGGATGCCACGTCGTAAAGCCCTTGGTCACTTCTGTATCACGCTGCTTCAAACTGGGGGATCTTTTGCCCTTTTTACTGTCTTTGTTTATTAAGTGAGTCATCAGAGAGAAAGTATTTTCACTCCTACAGGCACTGAGGGTGATTGGCAGACAGACACGGCTCTGATTTGGATTCTGAAGGTTAAAATTGTGGCTCTGAATTGGCCTGCTTTGAGATCCTGAAGAGGGAAGGAACTGGCAGAACACATGCTAAAATGAATTTCTCATGACAGTTGGTAAAAAAGCTGCTGCTCTATAAAAAATGAAGGTGTTATATTGATAAAAAAAGAAGTCTAAAATGATAAACACAATGACTGTGACTTTCCTGCATCTGTATATGAATTTTCTGGTCAGGAACTTGGACCCTGACCCAGTTCTCTTCTTGCTGAATGCATAAACCATCACATGGAAACCTTCTGCAAAACCAATAAGCACCTCAGATGCAGGATTTCTGTGCTGTGCCGGGGTATTTTTAATCCATTTAACTGCCACTGCTCAGGCACACAAGTATTCAGCTAAATTATTTGGTCAGAGGTGCAAAATATAGAGCCCTAGGTGCAACTCAGGTCACTATGGCACCATGTAAAGAAAGGGGTTTTTAACAAAAGTTCCCCCAAAGGGGATATTAATGCAAGGTTTTTGTCTTTCTTGTCATTTCCTTGTGGCAGCTCAGTGAGTGTTAGTGACAAGATTGTGTTGTTTTGCGTCTGTCTTTAGTCCGCTGACAATCTCAATATACATTTCTCCGTTTTTCCTCAAAAAAGAAATGACAATCCCAGCTGGGGAGGGATGGTGGTGTATGTTTGTGTGTGTGTGCGAGAGCGAGAGAGAGAAGGAAGGGTTGTTGTTTTTGGCTGGCCTCAGTCTGCTCTTTATCATAAAGAGTCAGCTGCCTGGGATGGTTTTCTCCTTTACATCCCCCCTCTGACAGATGTCAGCCATTACTTTCTTGCTCTTACTGTATGTCATCCGCACAGGCTTCCTAATTACACATCCTTCTCCCTCAAACCTGCAGCAGCAGAGGGGAGATTACTTTTTTAAAGGACACAACATGTCTGTATAGTAACTGTCTGATGAGACCCAACCTGGATGTATCCCTCAGTTTTGTCTGTTTATTCATTAGCGCTGTGCCTCTGTTTGAGTGAGCAAACACAGCTGGTAATAGAGGATGAGTATCACTTCGATCCCAGACTCTCCTTACCCCTGGTTCTCATTAGTTTGTGTATTGGAGCTGTGGGAGTTACACTGTAGCCCCTACACTAATTATTTGAGTCCAGTTAAGGACTTCAGGGCCATCCAGAGCAGAATTACATCCATATATCACATCCCCACCTGGTGGATTCCTTGTAATCTTCACATTCAGCGCTCACGAACAAAGCTGGGAAGCACGTTTTCAATTATGTGGACCATTAACAGAGTCTACGGTTCACACTTTCTTTTCTCAAGCAAAAGTTTATTTTTCCCCCTCATTTTAACAGTGTGGTTGTCCTACATGGATACTGTCAAAACATTTTCTCTAGATGTATAAAAACATTGACACCAAGCCTAAAAAGTACTACCTTGTTTTCCTCATAGCACAGGTGTGGTATTAAAATTAATTAATGCTTATCACATCTTCAGATTTAAAAAAAACGGAAGATTTTTAGATGATAACAATATAAAATGTAGGTAAGTTACATTTCAAACACCGTTATTAAATTAGAACCTCCTACAAATCAGTAAAGCAGTTTTGAATATGTAATTGTTGTTGTTCTGTGTGAAGTCTCAACAGGATAACGTCACTCTCACTTAAGTAAAGATACTGAGCACAGCCTATTCGATTCATAACTTTTGAATCTGGTCACAGACTGATGCGTGTTAAACTCTTATTAAGCACCAATTCCCATAGCATCAGGCGGCACAAAATTTGCCCGGTTATTAAAGTTGCTTTAATGTTATGAGGTTTTATTATTTTTTGAATGCTTTGGGCCTTTTGTTTTTGTTTCCAGTTGAGCTTTGATTAGTTTTTGAGGCCAGATTTTAAGTTAGTTTTCATTTTTTTGAAAAGTGAACCAATGTGGGATAATTGTTAAGAGGCAACACCTAAGCTAAAATCAACCACATGAACAGTGGCACAACACAAATGCACAGATAAATGCTATTTATTGGGGTTACTTACTTTATGCCATGCACCCCAGCATTACCAATGTCAAGGCTGGACCGGCTCAGTTGAAAAAGGCCGGACATGCCCCTGCTTGTTAGTGCATACCTTACACAATACGTGGAGTATTTATATCCATATTTATACTATATTTATGTTTATGTTTGAGTGTAAGCAACTAAACTCTTCTTTTTTTAAACTCGGCCTTGTTTTCTTTCCCGTGAGGACCATTTAGCAAGAACTTCCTTCAGTACAAACAACACCTTGCATCCAAAGCTTAATAATCTCCAAAAACATACGTGAGTATTTCCACGTCGTTAAACAGTAATGTCTCAACTGCCTTTGCTGGCAAACACTTCCCTTTGCAGGCTTTGCATTTTTAGCGTTGCTGCACAAAATCAATCGACACGTAACAGAAACCCCGAGGACACAAAGTTGCTGCATGAAATTAAATTGGAACCACCGCTGTGACACACCTGGAATAAGACTTTTATCCTCTCTTTACCTTGTCTTATCTCTCTCCTCTCAGCTGCTTGATGTTTTACGAGTCAGGACTCTCTTCCCTTTCAAACAGCATTCTCCTCACACACAAACTCAAGCTACAGGTTTTCTGATGACATTTCTCATTTTCTCTCAGATATTTGGAATGCATTTGAACTTTTAATACCACATCCAGCAGGGAGGTTTTATTTCTCCTGGCTGGCTCAGTCTCTGTCGTAAACTGACAGGTTTGTAATGTACACATAATCCTCCGACACTGATAAGGCTGTTATGTTAGCTGGCACAGACTCCTGCAGCAAGGTGCCAGATGTTGGTATCGGCCTGTTATTTAAAAAGGCGTGCAGTGCATTATCTTTAATGAATTATAAATGTGTCTGTTTGCACGGGCATGACAAGGAGTTAAAATCTCTGGATATCTTGAACAGCACATTGTGCTGTCTCTGCTGTGAGGTGCTATTAAAAGTAAGCATAAGTATGTCCATTGATTGAGGCACAGTAAGAAGGTTAGAGGCAATAAACTGAAGTTCAGATGTGTGCGCGATCAATGAGTTTATTGTTCATGTTTCTGTAAAAGGTCACCTCTCACCTCTCTGAGTAAACTGTTTTTTTTTCTTCTTCTCAAATAAGCACTTTACTGGGAAGCTGCTCAGCTGTGGATCTGCGTGAAATATCAGAGTGACTGTGACCTTTGCTGCAAAAGTGATAAATAAACATACTCAACAATAACACACACAGTGGAGTGTGTGCACCACTTAAACTATTAAGTTTTCCTAAGTACAGTAATGCATATAATTGGATCTTGCCTCCTTCAGCTGTTTTTTATCATTTAGCGCATGTACAAACATTTGCATGCTAACAAGCTGAACTCGTTGGCATGCAAACAAGTTCGGAGGACCGGACTCTGTCAAAAACCATATTACATGTAGCCTGTTTGCCATATTAGCAGCTGTTAATGCTGCTGAAATGAGTGATGGGAACGGCGGTTCTTTTAGATGTACTGAATCACTAGACTCAGTCCACTAAAAAGATTTGTTCAAAAGATTTATTCACCAAATCACTGAATCACTAAGCACTTGGGAGGGAGAGACCTGCGACCTCCACCTCCTGAACTGATACACAGCTGAACGTTTCAGGATTCAGTTCAATTCATAGTTTCTGGGACCGGGAGACGAGAGTGTTTGGCTGTGTTGCTTTGGCAAAAGTCATGATGTTTTAAGTGCTCTGTCCTATTGTACGCCATTTATCAGGTCTGCTCAGTAAATTGGGCTCAGTGAGTGATTCGTTCACTGAATGTTTAGAAGAATTTATACTGAACATGCACCGTTCCCTCGCAAACTGCTGCAATGATTGGATGCTGCGAGTTTAATGCACTACTTGTTACATGCTGTGTCCTATTGTATGCGAGTTGTTGTGGTGGCAATTTAGCAGTGAAAAAAAAAAGGGTACTTTTGTCTGACAAAAAAAGATTCCAGATAGTGTAGTTAAAGTGCCGGCTGCTGGCCTGACAATGCTGTTTCTCACTTCAGCTCAACTTAAGTGAGAAACGAACGAATAACTCGAGGAAGTGATTCGGTTCAGTACATTCACTTAAAAGATTTTGTTCTTTTGAATGAATCGTTCGCAAATGACACATAACTGGCTGAAATGTGAGTTAAAGATATGTGAAGCAGAAGAAGAAGAAGAAGGAGAAGAAGAAGAAGAAGCATGACTAACTGGGAAGCAAATGTGTTTTTTTGGGTCAAGGTGCCAACAGCAGGAGGTTGTTGTTGAATGCTCTTTTCCTGGACCACCTGTGTACAGTTTTGTGGATATAGTCTTTTGAAAAACTTTCACACATAAGTCTGCATAATCGTCCAAGTCCTGAACCCTGCAGTGATGCAGAGGGGATGCTCCATGTCAAGGACAATCACTATCACCATCAAAGCTCTGCTTTAAATATAATTTCATTACTGCTATTGTTAGGCTTGACTATAGTCCAAAAATGGCCGTTGATGTGAAGTCACTAATGCTGTTCGAGGTCAGGAAGACTGTTGCTGCTCTGTTGTCACACCATAATGCTCACTTACTAAACCTCTCTGTTCTAATACTAGTTTGTCTAACCTGGAAATGTCTTCGTCTCTCCAAGTGATGGATGGAAAAACAATACAAGGACATTAGCTTGAATTTTTTTTTGTTTTTTGTTTACAAATTGGCAAAAACTCACAAATTGAAGAACCAGAAATTTATTACAAAAAAGTGCTGCAAAACCTTCTTGTTTTCTTTCTCCATCCTGTAAGACAGAGTGAGGAGACACTGATTTATAACAAATACTAAACAAAATCAAATATCTCCTGTACTGACGCCACCGGCACCTAAAGCTCTCTTTTCCTTTTACTCTTTATTTTATCATTCATTACTTTATATCTATTATTACTTTATTCTGATTTATGATTTTTTTTTCTTTGTGTTATAGTTGATTTGTTTTTGTTATTGTTTATGTTTTTTGTGTTTCCCTTCAGGCTGTGCGTTGTTTCAGAACATCCCGGTGGAGGTGGTCTCACGCTAACAGACGGACGCACAAGAGACTATAAGAAAGAGAGAGAGAGAGAGAGAGAGAGAGAGAGAGAGAGAGAGATTGCTTGAATGTTAGTGTGAATCTGTGTGTGTCATCATATGACTGTGTGTGTGTATTTATGAGGAGGACATAGGATGTGATATAGGAGTGAATGAAAAATGACGGAAATGGTGATAAAAAAATTAAAAGTAAACAAAAAAAAGGCATAAATAAAAAGATAAATAATTCAATAAAAATAGTGGACCTGTGGGGGGTTACAGAATTGAGCAAAAAAACACAGACCAGCACACACACACACACACACACACACACACACACACACACACACACACACACACACACACACACACACACAGTGGTCAGGTGCCCATTATAAGAATGTGACGATGGAAGAAGCAGGTAGAGCCCAGAGACCCTGATCAACCAATCACAGAGAGCTTTCAGAGAGACATAAAAGCTTCCCATTGGATGAATTATTCAGCTCAGAGGGACAGAGACAACCATTAACCTACATCTTCCCTAATACACACACACACACACACACACACACACACACAGGAGATTAAGGCACCTTGAAGTTCATCCAAATTTTCCTTGCTGCACACTAAACAAGTCTTTCTCCTGGGTACAAAATTCTGACTTGAAAAAAAACCTTTTCTTTTTTTTAGCATTGTGTAAATCCTGACCATCCTCACTGTCTAGACCCGTAATGTCCCTTTATGATAATACCAAATCCAGATGCTCAGACATTCAGCCGCTGCAGGGGCTCTGGGTGATCCTGCTGTACCGAAACAACAGTGAGAAATCAGTTTGAAGAAGTTTTGAGGCTCATTAAAAACATAAACCACAAATACTTAGTGGTCTAAGGGGGGAAAAGTGCCTTTGAAGAAAAAAGTGATTTTGTGTGGGTTTGACAGATGCATCCTGTTAGTGTGTCATCTGCACTACGGCGAGTCCGAGTTTGATCGAGTCATAAAAGTGATCAGAGATATGGGAAAGCCTCACTTTCAGTTCCTTTGCTCTTTTGTGCAATAATGTTGAAAAGAAAAGCTACATAAGTGATGAGTGTGGCAGTTTTTTTTTCAAGAGGCAGAGATCTCTACCTGACTGCTTTGGAGGCAAATTAGTTTTGCAGGTATTCACAGCACCTGTCAAAACATCCCGCACATCCACCGCAAAACATATTTTTTCCTTCTCCCTCCCTCTGCCAACAGCTCTGTTATCCTAGTGCATTAGTGGCTCTATAAATCAAAGTATGCTGGCAAAGGTTTTTGGGGGGGAAATGGTTTTGTGGTGCAAGATGTTAAATACGTAACAGACCTTGTATTTAACTTATTATGGAACATGCAACCTGTCAGTGTCCGATTCAGACTCGCAGGATCATAAAGAGAAGTCTGTCTGTTAAATTAATCATTGGTTTGCTTCCCACCCACCCAGTTTCTCACTGAAAGACACATGCAGCCATGCATAAAAATCTGTCTATGACAGAACATATGTGCACTCCCAGATACTTAAGATTAAATATATACTGTACATAAAAGACTCTATAGACTAAAATGTAGACTCTTAAAGGTTTTTTTTTAAATGTTCAATGTTGTCCACAAATAATAACAAACCATAATAATGCTGTGCATCTCAGTGACAACATAGAGACTGATTATACAAATGTGCACATGAATAAATGATTACACACACATGTCAAGTGCTTAAATTCATCACATATGCACAGCACATATGCCTGTTGGTAGCATTTTAACCCCCGCAGTCCACCATATGTGCACATGTCAAGTCAGTATGCAGGATGTCTCTTTTTGCCAGTCGGACACACTTCCACACACACACTCACACACAGACATACATACAGTACAGAAACACACTGCTGGGTTCGGGGCAAGGCCAGACATACAGGGAATATTTGATTAAGAGGACTACAGGGTTAATGTTGTATCTCTGAAACTTCGACACTTTCCCTTGTGAAGGCGGGAGGAATTTTTGGAGGGAGCCAGAGTTTAATGGAGTACAGCCTTGTTTATTTTAAAACCCCAGACAGCCAAACTGGTCAGCAAATTTAATCAGAAGCATAACAAAAAATGTTTTCAGATGGCTGATATCTTTAAATTACATTATCTTAAGAGTGTGCACTTCTCTAGCCTCCATCTGCATCCATAATAACACAAAAGGGGGGAGGGGCTGTGCACTTCCAGTGGTGAATAAAAATTCATATTTGAAGTAGTGTTCATGGATCAGGCTGTAGTTTGTGGTTGAAATTGTACTTGTTGGGGAGATTTTGTAAGCTGTTTCAGTTGTTGTGGTGATTTTTCCCCAGGAAATATGAAAATAAGAGTATCACAGAAAGATACTCCCAGTCCACTCTAAAAAGGACTGGTTGACATGAATATGTTGAACTGCTTTTTCCACAAGATTAAGTGTAGTTCATCTTTGTATTGATAACTACAAGTTCAAAAGAACTTATTAGTCAAGAAAAAGGCAAAATTGCAAAGCGTGTGGTATTCAGAAAAACAATAATCAGTCTGTCAGAGTCTGAACTGTTCCTTCGAAATTAGAAATTTAATGAGGGAAAGAAGGCCAAAGAACTGCAAGACAGTGAAAATAGAAACAACATGAATGAAATCATTAAAAACAGCTCTGGAGCAATAATGCAAAAAAATCTAAGTCAATGGAAGGAGATTTCATTTTGTTGACTAAGCGTGTAGTGTAGTAACCATAGACTGTTTAAAGAATGGACGTCATCTGCCTCCTCGCTGGGTGAGGTCCTCTTATTCTGTACAGCTCAATTTTTTAAAATTTATTAGGCGTTCATGTTCCAGCACTGTTGACACTGTTCCAGCCTATGGGCGTACAAAGATAGCGTAGATAATCCGGGGGGTACGCTGTTTGAGCAGAGTGTCATTACAGCGAGTTTTCCACGAATGCTCAAATGCCGGTTTCATGAAATGGAGAAAATCCAGGAAATACTGAGAGCAATTTGGCTTCAAATTCATACAATGACGGAAGGCACAGCCACGTTGTCCATACTTTATACAGTCTATGGTGGTAATGCATCAGTAAGCTTTTGCAAATAAAAAGAGAGACTGAAATGGAAAAACGACTGTTATCAGTTAATGAGGAAAACCTTCAACCAGACGTATTATCAGTGTCTAAACAAGATATTTTACTGTAAAGCTTCACAGTGGAGATAATCTACCTGTGTCCCACTTCAGTGGCCCCGTTTACATGGGTAGTTTTTTGGGTAGTGATTCCATCTGTATACATGCACTTTAAGTAAAGAGATCCACGTTCAGTCCGCGTTTTCATGGCCCCAGCTGAATCCAACTGTATTGTATTGTATCAATGGGAATTGTTATTAGGAACCATTGTTTTAGTTCCGTTTTAGAGTTGCGCACGGACGTGTTTCTGTGTGACACCGCAGGAGTTACCAGACCGAGCAGAGTAAGGAACCGTATGTGTTGAAGCTTAATAAAAGTATAATCCAGCCGGGTTACACAGCAAGAAGTGTACGCTTCGTCAGTCGCACGAAACAACACACTTTAACACTCCACCGTCCAGTTTTTCTGTTTGTTCGCCATGTTTGTTTTCGTTTGGGCGCGCTCTGCGTACGTCACTACGTGCCTCACACGTACTACCGAGCGCCTGCGCAGACCGAACAAGCCTTTCTGTAAACCCAATCCGCTCCACTCAGCCGTCTATGAAGCGGATTATCAATCGGTGTAGTCTACTTTTTACAATCCGACCCGAAATACAATCAGATCCGGGTGAATCAGATTGGCTAAGGTGTTTATATGAGACATTTTGAATCTGATTGACCTTTCAATCTGATTGAACCCATGTAAACAGGGCCAGAGAGATGCATCAAAGTCTGTCCCAGTTCAGAGGCTTCACCTTATCCAGTGGTTCTTTGTGTACCAATACAGAGATACATTCAAGTAGTTTAGGATTAGTGTTTGGTTTGAATTACGCGGTGCAGCATGTTGAGTGTGCCCAGTGCTGAAAATGAAACTTTGATGTTTACTAGATTTTTGCAAAGTTGCACAGTAAGAGAAAGGTCTTTTTAGCTACCAAACATTTGAAGGTGGAGTGCTTGCTTCTTCCATTTGCTCTTTGCAAGAGTTGACATTAGAAATCAATCCTATTACCTGAAATGTCAAAAACGACAACTGGTCACTGTGTTTGTGTTTATCAGCTTAACTAAAACACTTAGTGGGAGGAAGATTTGATAAAAGTTCCTTCATCGGACTACATCCTAATGTGACCGCTGTTTGAATATTGCTGTTTCATGAGGATTTGCACCACATAAGAAATATTCGGTCATTTTGAACCCAACTTTGGTGAACGATTTAATTATTTCAACATTAAGACAAATGAACAAATTTAAATAAAGTAAATAAGATGAGATCTTCCTATTAAAGGGACATCTTATCTTAAAGGAAGCAGTCGTGTAAATCATTGTTCTGTAAACCCTCACAGGTCTTTTATAAACAGGATGCTTGGTTGATTTTTTAAGAGTTGAATCTCTTTGTGTTTTGCACAAGTTACGTAATGCTCGACCGCTGTAACTTTTATAGTTTAGATTTTCTCTGAAATGTCGTATAGATGTTAAAGCTCGAGATGCTAACACTGGGGACAATGACAGTGCATTATGATAGGTATTGAACTGGAAGTGAATCTTTTTTTCATTATTATGTCCTTTTTATTTCCTTTGTACATTATGATACACAATATTATTGTTTTACAACTGAGCTGTTTTCAAGTGCTTCTTTTATCTTGTTTGTGACTGATTTAACCATACCTCATTTTCATGTCTCCATCTGCAGCTAAGGGGAGCCTCTTTTTTCAGACACAATACATTAGAGTGATTGTCACAATACAGCAGAGATATCCAAACCTGTTTAAAGTCATCACGTATTCAGCATAAAGCAGATCATTTCGAGTGATAAGGACTTTTTGGCTACAATCATCTGTAAACGTTGTATTGAGGCATTAAAACTACATTCAAGAGGCTGCTCTGTATAATTGCTCAAAATGCTTATTTGAAAGAGATATGCCCTATTTCAGAGGAAAGACAGTTTTTTTTTCCTTTTCAATAAAAAAATAAGTATTGGTGTTCTTCGTGTGTAAATGTGTCTTTTTTTATCTGAAAGTGACGGGGCTCTCAGGTGTGCGTCTGCATGTCACTCATAGAGCGTTCCTTTATTTATCAGTACAAAAGGCTCAGTCAGACACAGTAAATGAAACTTAATATATCTGCGTCCATTCTGCCTTTGAAATCAATGCCACATCCAAATCCTCTTTCGTTGTACTTTCTCTTCTCTGTAAATCACTTTCTCTTGCTCTGCCTCTCTGCTGTTTTCTATATGAAGGTTGCAGTAATACTTGAAGCCATCAGGGTTTAGCTTTTTCACTGCCGGGAAGAATTTTCACCACTTCAAGTTTGTTTCAAGTTTGTCAAGGAGTACCAACCATCAGGATTTAATTACACCACAAACCCTTTTTTCTTTTATACTTTTAAAATTGAGGAGTAGGATGGAAAGGCTCAAACACTACAGTGCTGATGGTTTTAAGACAAAAGAGGCAGTAGTCATCAAATCCTTTGTCTCTACAGTTCTGAACTTGAAATCTCTGAGGTTAAATCATTGAGTTAAAAAATAAGAATTTTGTTATAAAATAACAGATTTTGGCACTTTTCTCGAAAATCTGTTATTGTTTTATCCTTGTTTATTTATTAGATAGGACAGGCACCAATTTTTAAAGATACAGTGTGTAGAAATTAGAAAATTTGACAATTACTAGTGATCAGACTCACTGACTCTTAATCAGTGCAAATTTTGTTTTGCGCACAACAACCAAATTCTTCTACATCTGTTTAACCTGTGTTACCACTGTGACCATTCAGGGTGACTGTAGGAACATGGCAATACAAGCAGACTGCCTCATCACCACTATTTACCGTCATCACCATCACCATTATCATCATCAGGGGCACCAAATGCAAAAACATTCACAAAGTGTCTCAAAAGTAGAAGGAGACATTTGTTTTAGTCATGCAGTGAAGGAGCGCTGAGTTTCATTGCATGTAGGTGTTAGAAATTGGGAAAGACGTTCAGAGCTTCAAAGAACCAAACATCTGGTTCATGCAAAGACATGCACAAAAAAAAAAAAAACATCATTGTTTATGCTTTACTCTGTGACACAAAAGTGTTTACAATCGGATCATGCCATGTTTAAATGTACATAAGTTAAAGGGAATACTGAACAGTATGCCTAACAGACTTACTTTATGTTAAATATTATATTTTTGTAACATGAGTCCAAGCAGCATTATATCTCTGGAATTGGTCATTCTGTGGCAAGTGGTATGTATATTTTTTAACTACTTTTAATTAATTTTGCACAATTACTGAATTTTTAATATAAATTTGGTCAGGAGAGAAACTTAAGTTGGAATTTGAAGGATGAAAAACAATACATAACTGATAGTAAATGTTTTCTTTTCCTGCTTTTGAAAACATTGAAAATATCTCATGATTTACCAACTTAAATACTTTAAGATTAAAAACATTTCCAGGTTAAAGACAAATATAGACTGATATGTGGCTCGTTTTATTTTTCACTTGAAGCATTTTTCTTTCACATTGAACAGATGCTCGGTGGTTATTTTCCTGTTATCGCAGCGCTTCAATCACAACAACACACACACCGCTTTTCTCACTTTAACTTCTTTTTCTGTCACTTCCATCGCTGCTTTCACGTCTTGGATACCTCTGAGTGCTCCTTCAGTGGGAGGGTTCAGCCTTCCAGTGTGTCATATGAGAGGGTGAATGTGGATTGAATATTAAAAATAGAAAAGATCAGACTGAAGGGGCTACGGGGAGGCAAGAGAAAAGGGAAGTGGAAAAAATAACAGGAGGATGACGAAGAAAAGTGGGGTGGTAGATGAGGATGAGAGAGGAGATTCGTGATGTGAGATGGATGCAGATCGTCGAGGAAATGTCTATTTTTACCCGTGGAGAGGGAATACGATAGGCCTCTGCATTAGGCTGAAGAGGAACTTTTGGCTTGTATAGGCAGATTCATACCCACAACATTTAACTGCAGTGTCGAGGAAATTCTACCCATCTGCTGTTTCCCCCCAGCTCTTTCATGCTCTCTAGTCCTTGTTGTTCTCAGAAGTTGTTCCTCCTGAAATAGTTTTGGATGTTTACTTTTTCCCCCTTTCGCCTTGAATCTCGTCTTTATTTACTCTATCATCCTTCTGTCAGTTCTTGCACTGTAAACTTTCTGTCCTTCCCACTGTCTCTCCTCTGTCCCCACCCTCCCCTCTGTCCCTGGATCGATGGACTACTTCCTGCGTTCAGCGGGTTGACAGCACAGGTTAGAGACCACGGGGTTCATGTTACCAGTGATTTGTGTGTGTGGGAGTGTGTGTGTATACTGAGACCTTAGGGGTCAACAGTGGCAGCAGTCCTGTGTTTGCCCTCAAGCCTGACTGACTGCTCCTTTGACTGCAGCCTGCCTGGTTAGAGCAACTGAAGGAGGAAGCAAGAGAGGATAAACACCATGGCTGTTGTCGCAAAACTTAACGAGTAGCCAAAGTTATAGTCTCTGTATTTCCCATGGGCCTTCAAAAACCCTGAACCACACACAGTTGAATACTTGAGATTTCAAGATGAAGATCAAGCTTTTTTATTGTCCGTTTCTGGCATATAACAGGAGCAGGTTTAAAGGCATGGTTGACGATCTGACCTCTCCCCTCTGTGCTCCATGATAACTCCCCCCCGAAACCTGTCTCGCCCTCTCCATGACACACCCCCTCAGGCAGAGCAAGAAGCCAGCCAACAGAAGATCCTACGCTAGCTTCAAGTAGGATTCACCATGTTGGATTGCTAGTGACTAGTGGCAGTAAACGCCAGCTCTGCTCACCTGCCTGGATAGCTACCATGTTGACATTGCAGCGACTAATTAGAGTTATTTATGTAACATGTGCCAGGATAAAAGGCAAAAATGATCTGTTCAACAAAAACTCTGCTGTCTCAGCGTCTGTTTTCGGGCCCAAATCCTGGCGGAGTTATCTCCACCGCTCAAAGAATGACCCGATATTTATTCGAGTTCGATTATTTGCTTGGTCTCATTTCCTCTTCGTCTCGGCCCTTTCTTCTGTCAGCTTGCGTTTTCTTCCCACTTTTGGCGGTGGGGCAAGCAGAAGTGTTTTTTTGTGAACCTTCTCCATCACAGCCCTCAGAAATTTTTGGGCTCATATAATGGTATTGATAAAATCCTTCCTATACCATCAGGATTAATTTTCTTTTCATTGCAGGATTTTCTGTCAGCATCTAGAGTCAGTCGTGGTGGCTTCAGCCTCAGATTGAACCAGAGCAGAATACTTGCTTGTTCACTTTGGTGTGTTTCTCAACCTGCACCTGTTATCAAGGTTGTCCATCACCCTGCCTGAAGTGTATCAAAACCACATATTACAGCCTATTTTGCACCCTGACATCACTGAATACCACCTATAGAGTAATCTTGAATCATCAAATGCAGCGCTATCTGCTAACAACTGGTGTTTCTTTTCACTGTGGGTATAAGACAACCTATCTGTTTTAACAGACTGACTGACAGGCCCTGATGTCCTTAAATCCCATAAAAGCCTCTCTACATCCATCGCCCTGGGCAACGTGCAGCAGTAAATGGCTTCAGTTTGTCTGAGGTGTACCCCGAGAGCCTAAAAGAGATCAATACAGTCACTCACAGTCATTGTTTTAACTCGGCTCCAGTGCAGCTCCTGCCATAAAACTCCTGCTCCACTCCACATCCCAAACCCCCACAGCAGCTCTGCTGTCACTGCAGCAACTTTAAGAGCTCAAGAACGGGCTGCCCAGGTGGACGTATTCATAGCAGCCCAACATAGTCTGACTTACAAACACTGCTTTGTTTTTCAGTGGCTCCTTTGGCTCTACTGTCAAACATTTGGCTTTAAATTTAAGCAGCAAATCTGTGTAACCAACAAAATTAGCTTGTTAAAGAGATTTTTTTGTCATTTCATATAATCAGCCACAAAATTACAATCTTTAAAAACACGGATGCATAAAAATTACTTTGAAGATCTTCAGGAAAAATTTCAATCAATTGCATTTATCACGAAAGCCCAATTCTGTTGGCATGGCTGTCTTCCTTGTGGTAAATATTTGTTTGTTTGCAGAACAGTTAAAACCTGCATCTTTTTTGGAACACAGATGATTTCATTCCAGCAAGTACAGCTGCATTTTTCTTCTTAAAGGAAGAACACTAACAACTAAGACGCCCAAAAACGTGAACACCTGTGTTTTCAACCACCTCATTTAAGCCTCTTCTCACTTCCTCCAGGCTCAAAGTGAAAGGACTTCAAACTGTCTTGACAGCAGTGCATAACAAGGTAGTCAGCGTAATATTTCCACTCCGTTTCACCAAGCGTCTCATTCCCAGCACTCAACATAAACCTGTAATGAGGCAGGCTGAGTGGCCTAGAGGTCATTAATTTAACGATATCATTATTTATGAGCTCTGCTCTGATTGGATGGCGGCGTTGCAGAGCTTTCCTCCACATATAAAGCTTTTTCAACAAGACACAGTTATAGACCTGATGAAGAATGACACTTGCTGTGTCAGTGGTCTATGAATGCATCTTTGAACCTGCTTTTCGTAGTTTTGGTCATCATTTATTTTTGGTAACATTGCACTAAACATTTACAGATCTGGAAACAGGGTGAAATCACTGCAAATGTGTTTTAACATTATACCTGAGACTTGACACCAAGATAAGCAGAGGTGCCTTTTAACAACTCATACACTAACTCAACTCAGAAACAAAGCACAAACTGCAGCTGACATAAAGAAGCAGCTTCAATTTCCAGTGATGTACAGTCATACATTCATTGTACTGCACTGACGTTTGACTGCATGCACTTACCAAACAAAGATTTCATCTGTCATGAGAAAGACAAACCGACTTTGAAAAATGACATAATTGGCATTTTCAGTGCTCATCCTGTCACCGCCCCCTTCAGTCATGACCTGAACTTTGAAAGCGAAGCATCATGTTTTATTGACTGTTAACCTGGGCTTTCCTCAGCAGACTGTGAGGTCCTCCAGTCTCTATCAGTTTAAACAGCGGTTCCATGTCTATTAACAGTGTTGGGTCATGACCCGACCCCACTTACCCTCACCCCTCCTGTCTATCTCTCTCCTCCTCCCTCCAGCCACCAGCTCTACATCTTTTCAACCCTCTTTTACCAAGTTAATCCCTGCAGACCGTCTGCCAACCCCCCCACTCACTGCACACACACACACACACACAAACAAACATGCATGCAGCCTCTTGTTGCCCCTCAGCTTAACAGCATTTATAACGATCTGACCCTGGGACCTCTCTGCGCTAATGATCTTCAGTCCCTCACTGCACAAACACACAAATGACCAACAATAACCTGCACAGCCGTGTGAGTCAAATATTTAATCTGTCCTCTTTATGAAGGTCAGATAAACACAGACTGGCAAATATGGTACGTTTACATGCTGTTCAAAAAACTAGATTTATTGCTTTAGTCTGACTGAAACTGGACTTTTGTAAAACACATGAACAAATTAGTCCAATTAAAACTTTACTAGATTGAACTTCTTATAGTAGGACTAGCATACCTGGATTAGGGACCACAGAGTATGTACCCTAAAGTCTACACCTGCAGTGAGCCAAGATCACTTAGTAAAGGGGATTTTGCCTCACCTCCAGTTAAACCGTTGAACAAGTTTTCTACGATGAAAGCAATCAACCCAGCAACTCTAGAGCAAATATGAAAAACCAGCAGCATAAGCATAAATATAGAGATGGGCTGCTTTTATTCACAGATTTCATCCAATTCAGTATGGGCAAAAAAGCAGCTGCTCGCCTTAACAGTGTCACAGAATGTAATATTATCAACTGGTTCAACAACTGTGTACTTTTGAGGACTTTGTTCTTATCATCTAGAACCTCCACTTTTGCCACACTGGTCTCATACCTTTACATGAGCCTACTGCTGTTGGAGTTTCTTCGCCTTAATGCGTCATTGTAGAGCAGTAAAAGTTCTTCCACTCAGTGCTGACTTATACGTTTGCTTTTGTGTCATATCCAGTGTCTGACGGATTCATTCCTCTGCCCATATTTTGATGAAGCATCTGATCTTCCCCGTTCCAACGAACATGCAACACATTTTGTTGGGAGGTCACAAGCTATCGTTAGCATATTGAAGCTGCCTGCAGTGGCGTGTTGTCTGGTCTGCTGTACAATATTCCAGTCCGAAAATAAGAAGCCCTGAAGCGAATGAGACGAGTATGTTTCATTTTGTCGTCTGAATGGGAACAAGAGAACAAGCTACTGGTCTGAAAGCTCCTTGAACTGTTGTCTAAATTCACAAAGATTGTAGCCTACTTACACTTGTTTATTTATTTATTTTTTTTTTCCGCAAAATGAAGCAAATGGAAAATCTTTTTTTGTATCGTCATGGCCATCGAGAAACACTGATTGACATTTTTCATGGTTCTCTTATATTTTATGACACATTAATCTCACATCATGATTTATGATCAGTGCTTGCAGCTCCTCTGGATACAAAACTAAAAGTGTGCCAAGCCAGAGCTTTTGATAGGTCAATCAATCAATCAATCAATCAATCAATCAATCAATCAATCAATCAATCAATCAATCAATCAATCAATCAATCAATCAATCAATCAATCAATCAATCAATCAATCAAATTTTATTTATATAGTGCCAATTAACAAAAGTCGTCATCCCAAGATGATTTCCAAAGAAAAAGAGCAGGTCTAGACCACGCTCATTGTTTGATGACTTATCAAGACCCAACCTAAGATGGGACAGATTTAACCCATCTCATCTAACATGACTAACAGTGGCAAGAAAAAACTTCCTTTTAACAGGCAGAAATACAGAGAGATAGGGAGGGAGAGAGAAAGAAAGAGGAGTAGGAGAGAGGGCAGGGGGAGAGACAGAGACCAAGGGTGAGAGAGAGAGAGAGACAGGGGACAGCAGCAACATCAAAACAACAGTAACAACAACAACAGCTCATACAGAGTTGTGGATGCGGAGCACGTAATGATGAAACAACATGAATTCAGGCGATCAGATAGGTGATATCAATGATTTAAAACTGAAAGTCAATTCTCCTGATGAGTATTTGATCATGACTCATCTAAGTTTGCATTTCACCTCGCTCTTTGTCCCTCTATAAGGATAAGAAAGATGTTTCTGCAGATGTAACTGCAAAAAATGCCCACAAACACATAGAAACACCACACTGAAGTACGCCTGTCTCTGAAGACTCTCTCACACACAGACTATTGTGCTCTTATTTTTTCCTTCTATTTTTAATCCTCACATGAGTCACCGACACACATACCAGCTGGTTTAAGCATGCACACACACACACAGGAAGAAACTCTGTATATTCCCCCCTCTCAATCAAGCGCTGTTAGAGCTGATATGAGTCCAGGGACAGAGGAAATAAATGCTGTCAATCCATGTTATAATTCAGCAGAGGAGACCACATGAGGGGGAAATATCTACTGTATTTGGTGCTCATGGGAAATCAATCTCAACTTGTGAAACAATGTTTGCAAGCTTACACACTTACTGGATGAAGGACTCTGCGCTTGTGATCCTAAATAATGCTCTGCTGCTTATGAGGAGACCCGTGCTCTGACTTGTCCCTGCATGGTGTTATCCTTGCTCACCTGACACACAGTGATGAGCTGATGAGAGACCAGGCATACATGGAGTAACCAATTATACCCTTGAAGAGATCCTTGTACAAACAAACACATTTGCAAATACACATTTTCTGTTCATGTTCACACCCCTAAATCAGATAAGAATGTATGAATAAGGAGAATTAAAAATACTCATAGGCTCTTACAACTGCACTTGTTGGACAACTTTCTTAAAAGCGGTAATTTTCTAACTCCTCCATGTACCCAAGTGATATCTTCTAACTATTCTTGACTTATCCAGTTTTACTTTTAATTGAAAAAGGCTTGCTAGCCAAGAAGCCAGGTTGTGAACAAAACCTTAACAGACAAAGAAAGGACATAAAAGGAAGAAACTTTAATGACAGAGCTTTGAAAGTGACGGTGTATTCATTTTTTACTTTTACTTTTTTTACTAACATGTTTCGCTTACAATGTTGAGATTTGATACATAATACGTTAACCAGGAGACAACCATATAGTAACCATAGCTCAACTTGGCTGTGCATGTAAACATACTTTATGTTGCTCTTGTGTTAATGTGTTAATTTGAAAATGTCAAAATTAGTGCAACTGCTAGAAAGCTTTGTGTATTGAGCACTGTGCAGTAGCCAATGCTGGACCTATTGACTAACTGATATTGCTGATAAAGCTTGATGTAAGAAAGGTCAGCCTCCATGGGATTTCCAGCTTAGACTTTCTTTCCATGTGTTGCCAGTGTAAATAGTCAGATTTGCACATTTAGAGGTGTTAGTTGAGCAAAAATGTAGCTGGACTCGATAAGGGAAGAGATAATACTGCAACTTATCGCTTCTCGGTGCAAATGTGTCCCTGTTTTTTTTTTTTTTTTAATTCAATTAACTCTGATTTCCTGAACGAGCTGAACGATCTATTATTATTTATTATCAGTGTCTAGAGGGAGAAAATGATTCAGAGTCATGTTGGTGTGTTGTATTCAACAAACATATGAACACGACCAGCTTCATAGACTGTTTTCATTGTCCTCTTTCAGCCTTAATGAGAAACTTATAACACTTCCACTTTGTTGCCAAAGCAAATCGTTCTTCTATGATAGGACTGGGTCCAGTGTCTGACTCATGCCATCCCACTTCTCCTCTGCTTTCTGCTCTCTTCGTCTTACTTTGTGCTTTTTCTGCATTTTAACTGCCTGTTGTATGAAACATGAATTTTAATATGCACTGTTTCCTTACTTGAGCTGAGAAAGTGGCAATTTTAATACTGAAAGGTTGGTCTTCAGAGTTTTTTAGTAGATAATGGCCAAAAATCAACGAAGAGTGCTGAATCTAAATATCCTCTGTCTGAGGTTTTACCCAACCAGGATTACTTGCATTTGTCTTTTTTCAGACCTTATATTTCTTTTCTGATACTTCTGTAATAGCTCTATATGATTTCAGATCAAGGAAAGCCTCTGAACAGTGTATAAAAACATCGTTATTTCAGCCTCAATCTGAAACGCTTCGTTTTAGCAGCTGTCTCCTTAAGGCCCCCCCTCCACAAGTCTACTTTCTTCTGATTGGCCAACTCTGTGCCGAAAGCACAGATGAACCAGTCAGGAGAGCCTATAATTCTTGCGTAAGAAATATTTAAATCTTGCACTTAGACTTTGGTCTCACATTTTCTAACATTCGTCCAAGATTTGAGCAGTTTACATCTATTTTCTACGATTATGACAAAATAGGTTTACCTTGTGATTTGTAACTTTGCATACATCTACTATGGACACCAAACTTTGCATTTTTTGTTGTGAATGTGGAAAAGCATAAAACACCCCTCTTTATCCTTCCGGCTACCCTCCAGCTACAAACCTCTTTCCTGATTTTATCATTAACAGCAGCAGTCTGACCTTAAAAATAACAGCATTCAAACATGAAAATAACTACATTTGTTGAAGTGTATGTTGCTTGCAAGTTCAAGTTCAACTTATTTTGAGAATCAATCAGTTATCATTATTTTTTCATCCAAAAAGATGACCTTAGTCAACGCCTATAACTACTGACAAAACCTAAGTTTGTTGTATGCTTTGTTTGTTGTATTCCAACATGTTACACTGCTGGTACACATTGAACTGCATGTATTTTTTTACCTAATGGGGCTCATGGTCAGCACACATAATATGAAGAAAGTTTGCATCTGCAGTACCTTCATACTACTGCGCTGTGCCAACACTGGAAAGAGGTCCTTTCGTAAACCTGTAACAAAAGCCTGACTCTGCAAAATAGTGTCAGGAGGGAACTTGTTTTGGTAAAACATTGGCAGACAGGGAGGCGAGCCTTGGCACTGTATTTGTTTAATCCCAGCCTAAGAAAATGCCACTTAAAGCATTAAAGATAAAGCTAGGTGGTTGAGGCTGTTGTATGTAGTGACAGCAAATTTAAAAAGCACTGACACGCAGGTACAGAAAGGGGATCAGAAGTTAGACTTCAGTTGATGAATGATGCTTTTAAGGCTTTTTGAAAACACTTCGAGGGATTGTTTTTTCTTTCCAGGGACACTTGGTGCAGTTTTCTGACATAGGTTAAGTAAAGAAGAAAAAAAATGCAGCTTTGAAGGCTCACATTTCAAGTTGCTGTGTTAATTCCTGGTTTTCATACAGCTACAAAAATTCACCAATACTCTTTTAAGAAGTACAACACAAAAAATGGGAGGATACCTTTTAAGATGATTAGTTAATTTACCATTAAGTTGTATGTCCCAAGCAAATTGATCTCTCAACTTTTAAACTCAATAAACTGAAGACTTTGGCCATTAGGGCTGTGGTTTAAAGGTTGTATGCAAATTTGAGGGTTCAGTTTATGGGCCACACAAATCAAGGCAAACAAAACACAAAGACCTTTCTGAGGAAAGCACTTTCTGAGAAAGGGCGCAGACAGTGTTGAAGGAGCTGAAGAATGGTTATAAAGTGTATCTGGCATATGTCTTTTTCTGTCTGTCGTGATCAATAATTACAGCTTAATGCCCTCACTTTATGATCTCCTTTTAATCCTTGATGATAACACATAAACAACTCAATTTATTCTCTTTCACATCTGCCGAACTGTTTTTCCTCTCATGTGCCACGAATGCTCCGGGCTATTGCAGAGATCAGATAAACTAGGACCAGATATGCTTATCATCATCCTCTCTATTTGCCTCCCCAGGACCATCTTCAGTGATCAGCAATGACGATGACTCCGCCTCTCCTCTTCACCATGTCTCTAACGGCAGCAACACACCGTCATCTTCAGAGATGGGCCCTGATGCTGTGATTATCGGCATGACCAAGATCCCAGTGATAGAAAACCCTCAGTACTTCAGGAGCACCAACAGCCTGCTCAAAACTGACACCTGTAAGTCAAACTCTCTGTCACCTTTAAGTCCATGGCTTCTGTCTAAGGATACCTTTGGGAATGATGGCCGGCTTCTCTGCTCTCTTCTCTATTTCCAGTGCCAGCCGTGAACAAACTTTAAGGTTCAGAGTCTTAGCTACACTGTCAAAAGTAAATCAACACAGGGGCTGAACTCTGGCTTACTGGAGCAGTACAAGCCCATAAAACAAACTTTTTAAAAATTATTTAATTCTAGTTTATGGGTAATCATTCAACCAATGAGAAAATGGAGTGAAAAAAACAGTGAAATGCATATTTGTTGGATGGGGGACATATCGATTCTGTTTTAATCCTTTCCAGGTAGTCAGAAATATTATACCCTAACTGACAGCGTCAAGTGGATTTGTTGCTCAAGTTGGAATTTGTGATCTAGAACAGATCACCAGCTGCATTTGTAAGCTGATGTCAGTTTATAGATAAGAATAAATCACATACATATTACTGCTGATGCCAATGTGTCGTTACAGCAGATTCAGCTTCCACCTGCTTTTGCTCCCCAAACTCAGTGGTCCTTCATACGACAAAAGGCTGCTGATTAATGATCGATCAATTCTTGCAAAAAGCAGACCACTTCCTATCTTGAAATATCCAAGTCCCTTTGTACAGCCTCTATTGTTATGTTGAATCTGCTCAGTGAGTGTCTTCAACCAAATTGATAATCAAGGTTAATCAGACTGATGTGAGCAAAAATCCTGGATTAAATGCACTTGTGTCATGTTACCATGGCAACTTTTTTTTCCTGCTGTCATGGCAATGACCTTGAAGCTGCTGAGAATAATTTTGAGAGAGAAGTGGAAAATAGAAGGATCATTTGTATGCAGGTGTATGTAAGTGTGTGTGTGTGTGTGTGTGTGTGTGTGTGTGTGTGTGTGTGTGTGTGTGTGTGTGTGTGTGTGTGTGTGTGTGTGTGTGTGTGTGAGCATATGTTGGACACATATCCATTCATAAATTGGAGATTTAGGTTTTGACTCATATACATCACTTACCACACTCAAAGGTTACAAAACCTTGGAAAGTTATTCAGCAGCTACAGTTACAAACTGTTTTTATGCTGATGACTTACATGTATATTTAAATTCATCTGATTTAAATAAGAAAGAGAAGGAAAAATCCAGGTTGAAAGGAAAAGGAGGAAAAAAACACAAGAGGAAAAACACAAGGGGAAGAAGAAAAAAAAGGGAGAGGAGCAGTCAAACAGACAGACAGCACGCAGATATTGACCAGGTCCATCAGTGTGACATTATGATTATTGGCACGTCATAAAAGCTTCTACAGGCTGTGGCCTTGTGTTGCAGTAAATTATCATACGGCATGTGTGTATGTGTGTGGGTCTGTGTGCACACTATGACGTTCTTTCTCCTGGAGGGGTGTAATGATGGGGGATTGGGGCTTGACCTCTTCAGTTCTACAATATAACTAAAAGATAGAGTGGGATTTACAGCCTAAAGGCAAGAATGAAAGCACTGAAGATCAATGGAAGTCGATAACCTACTGTGTGAGTGTGTGAATGTGCATGCGTGTGTGTGGCTGCATACGTGTTTTTAATATACTCCAGCCATTACAGCCATTACTCTGTGTTCTCCTTTGACTCTCAGACAGGCAGCATAATTCCTGCAAAGTTTCTGACCGATTGTTTGGCACGCTGCCTTTCAGACCTGTACAATAGCCTTTGATGGAGACAGTTTGGCAAAGTGGCACTAGGTTGGATGCCAAGAACTGAACTCTTTTTTTTTTTTTTTTTAAATGGCCTTAACCAGCTTGTGGCCTGTATTATTGAATACAGGAATCAGTGGCAGTTCTTCTCTGCCACATAAAAAATGGCACTGGACTCTTCTTGGCAGCAATAAGGCAACAATTACTGTGCAGAGATGATGGATCCATTTGTAATTACGGGAACTGTTAGCTGTGCTATCTTACCTTATAGTGGAAACCTCATTAACAATAATAACATAAGAGGAGGTGGAATAGCAGAAAAGTGTGTCACATGCATTATTTAGGAGGTACAGTGAGAATGAAACCAGGACTTTCAAAGATTACTACTGTGTTAATGTTTCCTAATCTAATAGACATTTTATGCGCAGCTTTTAGAGTGCATCTCAAACAACTTGTCTGAGGTTTAAGTGAGATACAGACGGTTTTTCCGGTGGTTTCTCAGCAGGAAATAAGACCGTATATGAATTAAATCCTCCTCCCCCAAAACACAACTCAGAATTTTAAAAAAGTTTTATTTTTCAATATGTGGACTTGTTTTTGTCTCAAATGATTTTTTAAATTTGGAGAATTGTGTGTAGAAGCCAGTACTACTACATGTAGATTCTCATTCATCCAGGTCATGGTTTTCTTGAAGACTCCAGAATCAGGCAACTGGACTGTGTAGAGTTTGAGAAGACGTTTCACCTCTTATCCAAGAAGCTCCTTCAGTTCTAAAATAGCTAGTGGGGGGGAGCAGATATTTATCTTACTGGAGAATGGAAAAACAACAACTGGGAGGAGTTGGAATTTGGAATTTTATCATGACTTACAAGGTCAGGTATTATAATGTCTTATAACTGTTAACAACTCACTGACAATGCTCACATAGATAATGCAAAGCAACTGGTGTTAACAGTTATAACACATTAAAATACCTGACCTTTTAAGTCATGATAAAATGCTTTATAATGTGTTATGATTATTGCTATAAAGCATTATGATCATTTATGAGTTTTTCCAACATTGTTTTACAGGGCTATAACGTGATTCTAGCGTATTAGAAATATATTTCTTATGCGTTATAGAGATAGGCATTAAGTAAATTGTTACCCAGAATTCTTTATGCTGCATTCATATTATTAATGAGCTCAGGAAAATAGACTCACATCATGCCGATAAAGTCCCCTTAAAAAAGAGAAGACCAGATGATAGCCATGTTCAGTTACAGATATGGAAAATTTGAAGCCCACAGATAAAAATAAAAACACTCGAGAGAAAAATAAACCAGAGAAATCCCAGCTGTCTGATCTCACAACACAATGCCAAGGAGTAGTGATAACAGAGCAAATCATCTTTTACTGAACCTGTACATCATCAACAACTGATCCATTATCAGCCAAAGTCCAAGGTCCGGTGAGAGTGAGGATTCATACTGCAGTATAAAAACTGTAGCTTTTCAAAGAGCACCAAGACATCACTGAGGACCTTGTAACTCCCTGCCTGAAAATCTATCTTTCTTGAAAAACACAACTTCAGATCTATCCTATTGACGGAAGACTTTGAGTAAATCACCAACCCTCTTGACTGCTGAACTAAACAGTGGCTGAAGTGGCTCCTGCCAAAGTCTGTCAGAGCCAAGATTCAAATGAAATTGGACTTCAAGGATTGTTAGAGGTGGCTAGCTTTACTTCAATCACTTGTTAAATGTGTTGATGCCCATTTTGTAAAGTTTTGCCTCCTTTTTGCAGCCTTGCTTTCAGTGATTTTCTTGGACTTTGAAGAGATTGTGAGAAGGAAAGCACAGGACAGAATTTAGAAACTTTAGTATTTTATTTGTAGTAACATGATTTCTGGATTGATGTTTAACAAAATGTAAAAGAACATTTTTTGTTTCAAGGATTTATATGGAAGACAGTTGATTAAGTGATGTGTCTTGCAGCATGTTGGAATAATTTCTCAGTTTGCAACCACATGGAGGTGTTTCGAAATGATTATATAATCACTGCTTTTTATGATAAACTCTGATTAACACTCTCTGGCCATTTCTGTTAGTTCTCAAACTACAAACACCTTGTAGCCTGAGTACTAAAGTATGTAGACCATGTTTTTAGAAAAATCTCAATCTTAAGCTCATCCACCTTTGTCGAAGCAGAAATAATCAACATATTCCTTTTTATGGGTCTAATTGAGGAATATGAAGTCTCCAAATAGGGGAATCACTTAGAATTATTCACTGTTAAATTCGAGCAAAAATTTTGGCACTCAACATTGAAAGATATTTTCAGTTTTTATTTGGATACACCTTTCTCTTGGCTCTGTGAACACTACCTCTCAGTTTTTCCATCGTTCCTATCTCAGCAGATCCGCCGGGGATTGTATTTTGTTGTATCAAGGGATTGAGGATTACTATTGTTCTGGAAAATGTTATTCAGAAGTCAACACGTGCGTACAGTCTTTGAAAACACCCATTTATAGACTTACACACCCACGCTCACACTTAGCTTGTGAAAATGTAGGTCATAATTAGCTCCAGAATAGATGGTTGGGAGGTGTGGTGGAAAAGACTAATTAGAGTGATGACATGAATTGCATTAGGGATTTAGGTGAGAAAAGGTAGGGAGTATGTCTTAATGCTGTTTTTAGACATGCTTGTGTTTTCATCTTGTCAAATTGCTCTGTGGAAACCATCTAAACCGACCAAACACACTGTTTCAAAGCTGTTGAAGCTGTTTTGTGTCAGAAACCAGTTGTGGAAAAAAAATAAGAAGGAAAAATGGAGAGGCAGAAGGCAAACAGGGACTAGTTATGTCCTCAGGCATTCATTTCTTTAGTTGTTATAGTTGGATGTTGATTAATGAGAAAAATTTGTAAGAGGTGGGTTGTTCGGAAAATCCAGAGAAACTGACGGATGTTGGGAAAAGCTCAGAGAGGTGTGGTCGAAGAGGAATGTTATCCCACTTGTTAATGTGTGTCATAAATGCATAAGCGATGGGAAAAGGAGTGATAGAGCAACAGAATGAAGGATAACGTGTGTCTGGGTGTTAATGTTTTGGAGATGTTGATTAAAAAGTGATTGGTTTAGCAACTGAGGGGAATGGCAGCAGGGAGGAATAAATGATGAAACAGAGAGGATGCTAAATAAGGAATGTGAGAGTGAGATAATGAGACTGGATGGAGCCATGTTAAATGAGAGAAAATGAGCGAATATGATAAGCATGGAAAACGGGTACTAATTAAGAAAAACATCAGAGAACAAGAATGTTAAGTTTGGTAAATGGGAAATAATATTTCTGTAGATCTTAATTAAGAATACTGATTGAGGAAAGAAGGGTTGATGAGTAACGCTGCATGCAGAGATGAGGTTTATTCACGAAAGCAGGGTGGAGGAAGAAGAAGTATAAAAGTGGTAAAAGCAGAAAGCTGAAAATTCATGACAAACAAGACTGTAAAAAAGTTGAATTTGAAAAGTTCTTGATTGCTATTGTTTCGGCAGATACTTATGGTAAAACAGCAAAACAATGCACAGGAGATGAGATGAGATCTGAAGAGCATGCCTGGGCGTCTTTATTGTACAATCAGTACAGATGACAAACAGAGTCTTTGCAAAACCCAAGGAGAGGAGCCCCAGGCTTCTCTCACTCACACTTTTACACTGCTGAGTGTGTGTCAGAATACAATGATTGTGAATTTCTTGTGAATTACAAAAGTGCACCCCTCATATGTGTATTGCATAGTTTTACAACTCTGTAACTCTAATGTGTGTATGTGTGTGTAAGTGCACGCTTTTCCCATCATCTATTCGATCACCGGGGGTCATTCGGAAATTCATCAGTTGTTTGGATTATCTTTGACTTACTGGAAACTATCAGAAAAACAGCCTGGGTTGTGCAACCTCAAGCTGCAAAACCAGGCCTAACCCCAAAATGTTTATAAATCCTCAATAAATGATAATCACATGTAGATTTCTTTACCTAAACCTTTGGATTTCACCTAAATTGTGTGGAGCAATTATGGATGTTTTTATCCAAATAAATGCAAAATTTAAAATATAAATTTACAATAAATTAAAGATCCAGAAAAGCATTGAAGAAAGCACCATATCATCCTGCCTAAAAGAGAAAAAAGGAGCATTGGTATACACACATCAATTTATTTGCTATTTGAGGGTGTAATTAAGGAGAAGTGGTGCCAGGGGTTTAAACGGGTGAACGCTTATTACACAACCACATTAGAAAATGGTGCGGTGAGGTTATTGGCTGGTTAAATGGCTGATAGCTGTGTTACAGTGATGTGGGTTTAATAAGCTGCTGCCGGTGCTGCATGGGGAGTTGTAAGAGCACAAGGATGTGTGACCTGCTGAACTGAGGATGATCATGTTATCAGGAAGATACAACAGCGGCTACAGTGGGGACTCTTCACAGTCGGCCTGTCTTCTTCTGACATGATTTGTAATTTTACATTATTGATTTTTTTGCTTTTGTAAATTTGTATTTGTAAAAAGAAACACAATGTGGTTCGAACTGTGTTTCTCAGGAAATGATTACTGTGGATATTAGTAAATCTTGGTCTAAAAGTTGATAGTTAGATGAATACTTAAGAAAATCAAAAGGGTAACTGTGATGTATCCTCTCTGATATATTGTATTAAGGTCTGTATTCGACCTAAAGTTCAATCTTTTTCCTAATATGGCAAAAGTGCAAGGGCTCTTGTCCACCATGTGACAAAGATGTACAGCAATACATCTTACAGCTTTAAGTTGCTGATCCACCAGTGTTAGATCAACAAGCCCTGGATTAAGCCACCTTCAACTGCAGGTAGCCTTCTCATGTCAGAGCAAAACCAAGTTCAGATAGTATATTAAGTTTAGTATTTGCTGGGATTACTTCATTCTACATCTCACTATTTTCTTTTTTTATGTTTGACTTTAATAGATCTTAGAGAATCAAATGCAGACAAGTCAATTTTGACCAAATATCTAATTATTGTAAATGCACAAAAGCTGACAAAGAGGGTAAATATACACCTACTCACACTTTGCATAGCAGATATTCCCTTCTCCAGTATGGTCTAAACTCTAAAAGGCTGCAGGGAGACAGATATATGTATTAAATGCATACAAACTCCCAATGCTTTCTTACTCTGTGATTTTCTCTTTGTCTCCCTCTCCCTCCCTCTCTCAGTCCGTACAATATTGGGTTATAGAGGACCTCAGTAGCTTACAGTGTAGATCGATGCAGCTTCTGAGAGTCTAGCTGGCCTTTAATGTGATATTCTGAGTGGACAGCTTTTCTTCAAATGTGCCTCTTAATCACATCACAGATAAATCTCAGCTGCGGTGTCCTCTCTCTCTCTCTCTCTCTCTCTCTCTCTTTCTCTCTCTCTCTCTGGATTAGGGTTTAAGAAAGACCCCTTTGCTTGTATAGTAGAATTAAATGTATTCCCAGTTGCAAATCTGGCCTACAGTCAAACCAGAGCTTTGCTAGGTCACAGTGAGGGCACCATCCCGTGTATGACTCTGCAGAATAAAACCTTATATCACAAACAAGGTGAGATGCCAATTTTTTCAAATAATCAGCTGGCATGAAGTCACAGGTTACTTAGCAACAGAAAGCCAGTTTTTTTCCCACTCTGATCAAACTGTGGGTGAGCAGAAGGCGGAGAGAGATTATTTACATAAAAGACACTGAAACAGATTTTTTGGGGGGGATTTACAGAATAGTACAAACCAAATACAACAAAGCAGTGATTTTGCATGGTTACTTTTGCATCCATATGTTGTATAAAGCACGGGATATTTACTGGTACTTAACAGAAAAAATGCCTAAACACACACAAAATGCTGCTATTGTTTGCCCTCTGCTGCTTAAGCTAAAAAATGTAGTGCAGTGAAGTTGGCAGAGAAAAAAATTGACTTGGGAAATGGAATGAATATGGATGGATGGTGAATGAAACAGGATACCATATAAGAAACTGAAGAGTGTTACAAATTTAACACATCATTTGTTAAGACAGAGAGCTAGAGGTTGATTCTAAACCAAACATGTATTTGGGTGAGGTACATCTAATGGTAGGGCTGGGCGATATGGGAAAAAGAAAGTGTTCAGCAGCGTCTTCCTCATTGGTGTTCAGCGGCTATTTCTTTTGGTCGGCAGACTCCAGCATCGAAACTTGGAATCGAAATTTTAAAATTTGAACAGTTCGATGCTCGAGACTCGATGCCCAACCCTACACACCATACACGTTGCCGCTCTAAACCCAGCTAAATCATGGAGAATGCCCTTTTCTCTTTTTTAATGCTGAATATTGAAAAAGCATATCAACCATGTTTTATATTGATATCGAGGGAAATTCATTTTTGATATATCATTCAAACAAATCAAATTAAATTTGGTTTGATTGGTTTGATTTGATTTGAAATTCATTTTCGATATATATATCGCTATCATTTTATCGCTCAGCACTATCTAATGGACAAGCAGTTTTTGCTACATTAGAAAACCAGGTGTTTAGTTTGAACCCAAATGCACAATCAGAGACAGATTAAGCAGTTAAATCAATTTATATGAGGGCGAAAGGTGGAGAGGAGGGATCCGGGTCTGAGGCATGAGAAGGGAGTCTTAGGAGAGGTGAAGGCTGGAGATGTGAGAGCTTGAGGAGGAGGCTGGTGATTGAATCCACAGAGAGTATGGCAGCTTGGAAGAGATTCAGTAGTAGCAATGAAGGCACTGGAAAAGATAGAGGAAAGCTAAATTAGTCACTGGTAAAACACACATAAAAAAGAAAGCTTAAACAATTGTAAATTCACAAGAGAGCTCTAGAGACTGGCTGAGATACAACATTCGAAGTGGGAATAATGTGACGCTGGAGAAACCTCACAGCGGGGCTTAAATGCAGGTGGTGAGTGCAGTTATATGGGTCAGGTGTGAAGGTGCAGGTGGAGCAAGTGCAGGAGGGAGCCACCCAATTTCTGTGAAGAGGAAAAACAAACATACACACACAAACGCAAACACAACAGACATCTTAGGCGACCTGTTCTTCCCCCTGGGATTGAAGCTAATGTCTCCTCCATCCTTCCTCTTTCCGCAGTCGTCCAGCACATAAAGAGACACAACATCGTGCTGAAGAGAGAGCTGGGAGAGGGAGCTTTTGGAAAAGTCTTTCTGGCGGAGTGTTACAACCTCTCACCTGACCAGGAGAAGATACTCGTGGCTGTCAAGGTAATTTGGGGGTTCACTTATCCTAATTATCTTTCTCTGTTTAGAACTGTTGGCTTTCAGGTGACAAGTTTCAAAAGATTTATGGTTCAAATTCAAAGTCCTGGTTAAAAATGAATTAACTAGCTGCTCTGACATTTCGAGGGGTGACTGTGGTTTGAATGACGATAAGCTGGTGGACACTCGGACCTCCTGCTGCTACTACAGTCATTGTTTTAATTGATCATTTTCAATAAATTCCAGGAATTTCCCTGAAACTTTGAAAACCTCAGGCTTCCCTTTATAGTGTATGAAAATTTCTCTGTAGCATCACTCGTCTATAAATGTTTAACATACTGATTTATAGTCTGTGTACATCTTTTTTTACTCTATAGCACTTCCTCTGTTGGACACAAGATCAGTCGTACACCTTTGCTCCTCTCAGTTAAAGAGTAACTTGGATTTACACTCAAATGCAAAACTTTGGCAAATAAAGGGCTTCAGTTGGATATTTGACTAGTGCAGATTTATGGTCATTTTAAAAATTTCCAGAGGGTTTTTAACCTTGCAAAACAGAAGCTTCGAGCTGTTGCGCTTGTTTACGGTCAGAGAGTGACCAGGCCAATTAGCATCATTTGAGGAGAAGGAGGTAGTAGCTGCAGGCGTGCTTATTTGTGGCAACTTCAAGTCTGTAAACAGTATCTGCCCTTGAAGAGATAAGCATGGATGTAACCAGTTTTCTTAGGAAATATGCTCTTTTTAGACGTGTATTCTGAAAACATAGATGGAGGTTAATATAACCGAAGTAAAGAACAAACTTCTATATGTGGTAGTTATCTCATTTAGCTGCTTGGTAGCTAATGGTAGCATACAGATCATATGTTTCATAAATCAACCACATATTTGGTGTGGCATTGTTATAAAACTTAAATTAGTGTCCAATTTATTCAAAGCACAAAAAGAACGTCTGTCTTTGCTAATAAGAGAAAACCCTTAAATCGCCTTGTGTTAAAGGGATATTTCAGTGTAAAATTAAGTTAGGGTCAAACACCATAACACTGAGTTAGTCACCCAACTTTAGTAACGACCACATGATAGCAATACGCAGCGTTCTGAGGAGCCATAAAGAAACCTCAACCAAAACGCCACTCTATAGCCACAAATAATGCTCAGAACAGCACCTAACTTCATCAACAGTACATATGGGGTCCCAGCCATAGTACTAGCCACCAAACATCTTTTTAGCTTTGCCTGATTTCTTTATCAAAGAGACTAAACACAACTCAACTACTCTCTTCCAGCAGCCGCTTGTTTGTACCAAGACATCGGGTGAGTCCATCGACTACAGCGGGTGCCGCAGCTCAAGAAAGAACATTTATGATCATTTCTTCATGGAAATGCAATCAGACAGAGACGCTAAGGCAGAAGAACTACTGCGTCTGCAGTGCAAAATGGTTCATATGTTGATTATTACTTCAAGGAAATTATAAAGTTATAATCCTAAATGTTCTTCCTTGAGCTGCGTCACCCCGCTGCGGTCGATGGACCTGAGGTCTCGCTACAAACAAGCGGCTGCTGGAAGAGAGTGGGTGAGTTGTGTTTAGTCTCTTTGCTAAAGAAATTAGGCAAAGTTAAAAAGATGTTTGATGGCTAGTGCTGTGGCTGGGACCCTATATGTACTGTTGATGAAGTTAGGTGCTGTTCTGAGCATTATTTGTGGCTATAGAGTGGCTTTTTAGTTGAGTGCGTGGCTCTCTGTATTGCTATAGTGAGGTCATTACTAAAGTTTGTATAACTAGAGAAGCAAGCGGTCGGCAACATTCATCTCTCAACAGGGTGACTAACTCAGTGCTATGGTGTTTGACCCTAACTTAATTAATTTTATGCCAGAATATCCCTTTAAACTAACAGTTGTAGTTGTCCAAATAAGACACTGATTGAAATGTCTGCTACTCAGGTTGTGAACTTACAGTAGATTCTGTAAATAATACCCTACAGTGTAAAAATATAGTTTTTGTGTCATAAGGTATTGTGTATTGTTTTCAAACTGTGAGCTTGTACTTGATAGGTGACAGGGTGACTGAAGAAAGGTTACCTTTGTATCTGCCAGACACAGACGGGAAGATTATATAATAAACACATATCATTCAGCCTTCACCACAAAGAAAGTGTCTCAGATCTAGAGGAGTCTGGTTTCAATGTGAGATATTTTAAAATCCCCCCGACTGCAGAATGATTGTTGGCACAAAAATAAAGCCCATAATGTCATTACTGAAAGTGGAGTTGATGCTTTTTCTGCTGAGATCTGATACCTGAGATATATTTGAAATACTGAACAGTTCACTGCCGTTCAATGCATGATCCTTGATGGATTTGTGGCATTTATGAGGAAAATCCTTCATATGGCCCCCGCACAGTTTAGACTCCCTGTCTGGCATCTCGTGACCTCTGTTTTATCTGCTATTGTTAGAAAGTTGTTCCTTCAGAGAGTTTCTCTTTAAGGTAAAATTACAACCAAACCACCGACTTCCTGGGTCAAATCGAACGGTTTCCCATGGAGCATCCTCCCATTAAGTCCATCTCTCCATCAAGCACGCTCTCTCTCCTGGTCTGTGGTGAAACTGGATCTGATCAGTGAAGAACTTCTCATTAACAATACATGACCTGTGAGAGACCCCCCTCTCCTTCCTTTACCCCTCCACTTCCTCCATCCTCAGCACTTCATCTCTAACGCTCACCTGCAGTACTTTCTCCTCTCTCTTCTGCAGTTCCCAATCCTGTTACTCTCCTTCTCCTAAATCTTCTTCTCTTCCTACACCTTCTGTCTCTCTCTCCAGCTTAGCTCTAAATCGCTTGCTGGCCGCGCTGATGTTTGCTGCCAGCTTAGCTTCAGCTCAGTGTGAGCAGCAGGTAAAATATGCACCTGAAAAAAATCCCCTAGAAGCAGACTTCTTGGTTGTAAAGTATGAGGCTTCATTGCTGACCGAACATAAATTCTGGTAAAACATTTTATAATTGGCACTCAACCTATACTAAAAAATAAATTGTGTTTCCCAAACGGCATGTAGACATGATGTAGATAAATCATTTAATCATTGGAGTCACTTCATTGATTCAACTCACTCAGTTGGATTTTTTTCCTTTTCAATTAGCTAATGTACCACCTGCCTATACTATACTCTTCCTGCTCTTCCCATCCTCATCTTTTCGTCAACTGATGACAACAACATGACTCACCATTTCTCTCCAGTTGTCTCTTTCTCCCCCTCGGTGCTGCATCAACAAACAGCAGATGTGATGAAAGCTGGTGGGGAGACAGATTTTTCAAATGAATAATGAGATTGTTTCCCCTTCCCCTAGCTCAAAGGGCAAGTTAACCCAAATTACAAACCAAACTCGAAGGGACTGTTTCTTTACCAGAGTAATTACAAAGATGGCTGGAAACAATGAGAGTTGAGTTTGAGTATATGTGACAGTCGAATTTGTCAGGCAGTGCTCTTTTTTTTCCTGTCACAGGCGTACTTTTTTAAAATGAGTTAGTGTGCTGTTTCCCAAAAATGTTTCAGCACAAGCTTCTGTAACTCAGTGCAGTTTCTGGCTGAGCTTTAGTTCATTTTTCACTCTGAAAAAATGAGGTGTATTCCTGGAGCTAACATTACAACCCAGTTGTGAACTCAGGCTGCATGAAGGGCAGTAACAGGAAAAAAAGTTAAAAACGAGGGCGAACTGTATCTGACATGTGAGGCCTTTTAGATGGAACTGTTTTGCATTTTTTCCACTAGAGAAGCATCCGTAAGGTATGCTTTTCCACTGGAGAGTGGAAGGACACAATTTCATCTCACTCTCTGCACACTAAGGGTCGAGCATGTTATCGTGTTCCCTTTGTAAGACGCACAACCTCTAAGGCAGGTTTTCTAATTTTCTCCACTGAAAGGGCTTCCTGCATGTCAGGCTGCTTTTTCTTTCCAATAAGCGTGTGTTCTCACATCATGTTTGGTTGAAAATTCAGTCTGTGTGTAACCATATTTGATTTTACTTGCACAGGACATATTTTCAAGAGCATTACAAAGGGCGTGTGATAACAGCCTCTGAAAAAAAAGTAAAAAAGTAAAAAAAAACACTGTTATGTCTTTCTCACCTGAAGGGCACCTAGGGTCAGAACCAAGCAGGGTGAAGCTGCATTCAGCTTCTATGGCCCTCTCCTGTCAAACAAACTCCCTGAACACCGTAGATGTGCACAAACTGTCAGCTCATTTAGACCAGGCCTGAAAACATCACTGTTTACTGCAGCTTCCCTATAGCATCATTTCCTTTTAGTTCTACTTTGCTGTTCTGTCAATTTCAATAGTTTTAATGAATTTAAAATTATATTTAAATATTTTATTGATTCTTAGATGTCTTTAATTTTAAATCGTTTTAATTTCTCTTTTTTTAAATTTCTACTTAAAGCACTTTGAATTGCCTTGTGTATGAATGGTGCTATACAAATAAACTTGCCTTGCCTAAAATGCATTAACACCAAAAGCAGGAGGACTGAAAGGGTATGTTATTAACAATGCAGGAATACAATACATTACAGGAGTACATCAAATTGTTTTCTACACTAAATAATCACTTGAAGGACACATCTTGTTTACTCCACCAGAGAGACATTCCACAATGGCACATTGTGACATTTTCTATGCAATGGCATCATAGATGCTTGGTGCAAAGCTTTCTCCTCTACAGGTACAACAGCAGGTCATGTTACTTGGCTTTTTCTCCTTCAGAACACTCTTGTAAAAGAGAATTGTAATCTCAGTGAGGCTTTTCTGGTTAAATAAGATTAAATAAATAAACAATAAGGGAAACTGTGAAGCATGTTTTGCAGATTTACTCACCCATAGAAGCACCCTGAAGGGGCTAGTAACGCCATTTTCTATGTTGGTACTCACTAGGGCACCTAATCACATTTTCACTAATGTAAAGGAACCAAAGAGAAAAGCTGTCATATTAGACACATTTTTAGGGTAACAAATATAATTAAATATAATAATATTAAGGAATTCTGTGCTTTAGGTTTAGTTTAGTTTATTAAGGATCCCCATTAGTCTACACCACAGTGGAGACTATTCTTCCTGGGGTCCTGGGCGCCACGACATCCCAGTTTGATCAGGCTGTTGCCATGTATTCCTGAATGATTCACAGTATCTTTGCTTTTATCTTTTTACTGGCTTTCTGGAAGTTTGTTTAAAATTTATGTGACAGTCTGATGACAAAAAATAAAACAAAATATACATGCAGGAGTGCCAAGGATTTTCAAGCCATTTAACTATCATTACAGTCAGTTCCTCAACTCCTCAACAGTGTAGGGAGAGTTGTATGTTAAAGATGATTTGCTTTAATGCCCCATACCCTATTGAGAGCGTTGTTACTCATGTACATATTGCACTTATTTTGCACTCTGTCATGCTTGGTGTATTACAGAAACATGTTCTCCCGTGTGTAGCTCATTACAATAAGCTACGCTCGCTAATCGAGCTTAATGGTCCTGGTTTTAGAACCAGCGATCAATCAGCCAGTCGAGCAGAATACAGGAGCAACTTACTGTTACTGTACCTCATACTCTGAGGCCCCATCAATCACAGGAATGCACGCAGATACACACAGAAATATACATGCATGTTTCTGCACGCCATCAATCATCAACAGCTAGCACTTTAATAATGTTGTCATACATGTAAATGTGAGTTACCGCATTCCTGAGCCAGGGGTTGTTGATTGCTTTTTATTTGTCTGGGGACCCGGGTATGCACAGGCTGGATGACTAACAGTGCAACATTATCACTGTTAGCCTGAAAATTAATGTAGCGATGCATCAAGCACACGATTCAGGCAACAGTCCATGTGTAGATGGTTCTGACTCACAGTCTTTTTTAACTTTCCTGGATTTAACATTCGTACGGCTTTGCCCTTCAGTGATGAATATTTGTTACAGTGATTATTAAATTGAAAGTGCAGTTAGCTGACTGAACCCAGTGGAGCAGTGCATGTGCTTGCCAGAGAGACAGATTTCTTTTATTAAACCAAATTTTGCATCCAAGGTTTCCTTTAGCTGTGAGCACATAGTGTAAGCTACATAAAGTACAGTATGTTCAGCTCGTGAGTAATCCCATAAAGGTTTCAGTGGACCATCATTGATCAAACACAAGATAATGAATAAAGCTGGATGCTAAAGGCAGTGCTGCGTGACCACTCATACGTTCCACTTGTTTAAAGGTTCATAAGTTATATATGTTTCATTAAAGTCAGATAAATTATGGGCTTTGTTTGTGGCCTCGTTTTATCAGCTAATATTGACAGAAAAAAAACACCTCAGACTGATGATTTGACCTTCTGTTTCATGTTAACAGAGTTATGGTCAAGTCTTTCTAACTGGAGATTTTCGGGAGCAGCTAATTTTGTTTAAACATAAATTTGAATTCCTAAACATTCAAAATAAACACATTTTATTTCACATAGTTAATCGTGTGATCACAGTCTGTCAAATTGGTTGGACAGCGATCACTACCAGCCTTTGGTCCATATGAATGTCTATGCTCAAAGGTCTGTGCAGCTGATACTTCTCATACACCGCTCACATACAGATTTATCTCCACTGTCTCGGTCGAAATTCTGCCAAACCATGCTGCACTTTAAAATGCTTTCTCAGCTGTTTTTGTTTACATCCAGATAGTAGAGCAGAATAACACTGAAGAAGTAGCCATGGACTGGAGCCACAGCGTTGAGCGATAATGTATCCACAGCTTCATCACAACATTTGAAGGTCATTTTGGCCTTTCAAAAACTAGAATGTTAATTAGTTTAATCTAGGGTCGCACCAATCACAATTTTCTGGCTGATCACCGATCTTTAAAAAGCTTGACCTGCCAATACCGATTTTAGCCGATTCCTTTTTTTATATATAACTGTCAACGTACACCTTCGATGCTTCAGTCTAATTTTAATGAAAAACATTTAACAACACTTGTGGAACAATACAAACCTTTTTGTGTTTGTTTTACCTGCACATTAGGTAGTTCTCATTAGGTAGTTGAAAAGTTTCAAATATTGCTGTCCAAACTACTAAATTATATCATTTCCTTTAGTCTTTTATTTTCCACATTTTAAAAATTAACAATACGTGTGCAACAGGTCACGCTGCAGGCCTGTTTTGAGCCTCTTACCAAAATAAAGTGCACAGCAGTATTTTGCTTTTACAAATAAAGGAAATCAAAAGGTTTGAGGAAGTTAGTAAAATAATAATCTACCGGACAAACTAAACTGGTGGGTTGGGTCTGTCGTTCTGGCAAAAGCAAAAAGCAACAACGGCTGACTTTAAGACCTTTGCTGAGGTAGGAAAGATCTGAGGATAAAATCGGTTTTATGTGTAAGGATCGGCCGATCACTGATCCCGCAAAATTGAGGAAATAGGCGCCAATTTATCAGTGCATGTTTAGTTTAATCTGTGGTGACTTGGAAGGGTAATAGTGTTTAACAGTTAAGTCAACTAAACATGCTCATCTCTGTCTTTAACGCTAATAACATATTGAACAGCTCCATAGAAAGAAATCCAATATTTTTGTACCATACAAAGCCATTTTCATAGATGTGTTCTTTGTCTTCTTACTAACCCAATCATCAGCTGTAAATGATCAATGTGTCATTATCCAGTAGTGGACCCATCATTATCATTTATAATTGCTGGTATCAAGGTTTTTATTATTTCTGTCATGCATCCTCACATGTTTGTTTCTCCCTGAAAACATACATTCAGCCATGTGAAGTAAAATACTGAAATTTCATACAAAGACTCTCCAACCAGAGCAAATTCAACCCAGATTTCCCATACATGTCTGATATCATATTGCAGAAAGAGACTGGAGCATAGGCAGTATCCACACTGCAATAAACCGCCCTATAATCTTCATGTAATATCACATTACTTACTGTAATGTACATGACCAAGCCTCGGTTTCATGATACATGATTACTTAAATGCGCGTGGGTGGAGTTACAGCCTGTCTCATTTTCTAGTATCTCAGCGTTCTGGCCGAAAGGTCGTGGGTCGTTTCCTCCTTACAGAGATTTCCTCTCCTTGTCCTTAATATGTAATAGGAGCTACTATCTGCGTTGTTCGCACAAAGACAGACACACACTCGCAAGGTGGAATGTGAATGTATATCCATATCATACATTGTAGGAAGACAATCAATTATTCATGTAGGACAAGAGGAATTTTCTATTTTCTTCCTCTTTTGATGTGAAATAGAGACTCTATATCATTTTCATTTCCTGCATCTCCTCCTCTTTTTCTCTCCATCTCTCTCCCCCAGTCTTTTTTCTCTCTGTCACAGATGCTTGTTACACAACCTTCCTGACAGGTTTCCTGATTCATGGAGGGAGGGGCTAAGATTAGTTACAAAAGAAACCAGGGAATATAATGAATGTAAACAGTCTTGTACTTTGTAATGGCTCACATTAATATAAAATGACTCCATTTTTTTTCTTGCTCTGCCGTGGTAGAAGCTCTTACTCTGCGCCTGTAATTTCACTCTGTGTGAGCGGCATTGCTGTAACTCACTTTTACAAGGCAAGACACTTACATTTTGGGTTGGGCATCAGCCAAATAAAGTAGAGCAGACTGGGTGCACTGTGAACATGACTAATTGGAAATAGTGTACGAGGCATAATGTGTGAGTTTTCAATTTGTCGGTGCATTAAAATGTCATTTCTTTGTGCACGTGTGTCTCCGTATGTTTGTGTCTGTGTGTGTGTGTGTGTGTGTGTGTGCAGACACTTAAAGAGGCCAGTGAAAATGCCAGGAAGGATTTCCACCGGGAGGCTGAGCTGCTGACCAACCTGCAGCATGAACACATTGTCACTTTCTATGGAGTGTGTGTGGAGAGTGACCCTCTCATCATGGTGTTTGAGTACATGAAACATGGAGATCTCAACAAGTTCCTCAGGCAAGGCTTCGTTTCTGGCAGCTGATGCATTAAAATACAGGCTTTTTTCTTAATTGCTTTCATAAAAACAGGTTTCAAAAGACTATAAAATCTTTACTCTTTTTGTAACAATCTGCGTAGTGGAAGTTTTCTGTGCTAGTTCATAAAAAAACATCTTTATCTTCTTAATATTCTCCCAGAAGAGCAGACGGTATTTTGGCAGAAAAACAGGAATGACAACAAACAGGGTACCTCACACAATAAACTCCCCTTCCTTCACAGGGCTCACGGTCCAGATGCAGTTCTGATGGCAGAGGGTCAGACCACCAGACCCGTGGAGCTGACCCAGTCTCAGATGCTGCACATTGCTCAGCAGATAGCATCCGGCATGGTGTACTTGGCTTCACAGCACTTTGTGCACCGCGACTTGGCCACCAGGTTTGTCAGTAACCCTGTTATTACAGTCTAGATGAAATCCTGCCTCTGAGACGCAAAGTGGACCACACCATTCAGACATGTCCACTGAGCTTTTAAGCCACAGGAACCTACCTGAGTATCATGGTATTGCTGATAATAACTGGTGTATTATGATGCTTATTGAGGTTTCCTTATGTGATTGGACCACAGTCAAAAAGTTATCCATTTGGTTTAGAACCATACCTGCCAACATTTGGGTTATAAAATACGGGAGATTTTTGCGGCGCGCGCTGGGCAGTTTTGGGGTTTCCTTGTATGGTGGATATGAGCTAATTATGGGAGTATTAGTAGTTTAATTGCTTATCCAAATATTAGTATAAGTGAAGCTGTACACTTTTTTGTTTTGTTTTAACAATAACAAATGGTAATAAAAAAAATAATAGCTACGATATGCCTTGAACTTATTTAGTCTACTAATATTAGTATTAAAGTCCTCATATGTTTTACATGCTCTCTCATATGAGGCCATCTGAATATCTGAGCATATGAGGCCATCTGAACGCATCACTCCAAGACGGAGCGAGACTATCAACGTAAATATTGTATCTCGCATTTGTTTCCCCTTCATTGAAGTGTCCATTCTGCAGCAAACACTGCTTAAATATAGTTTACAGCTGACCTGAATCATCCCAAATTGTAAAGTAAAAGTATCAATCCAGTTTCTGTGAGGCTCAGCAGAAACACAGGACAATCTTCAGTTGTCTGGAAACTTTGGACAAATATAGTGATCCGATTCATGAATGAATGTGGACCATTAAACTACGGGAGATTCCCGGAATAAATGACAATACTGGAGGTGGGCGGGAGATAGGTCTGAAATACAATAGAGTCCTGGGAAAAACGGGAGTGTTTGCAGGTATGTTTAGAACTGATGATTGTAAACTAATTCAGATCTATTGTCGTGGGCAGCTACATAATATATAAACAATGGTTATACTATGACTAAAGTTGGTTTACTATGCAGCTCAATAATTTCCTAAATATCCTCCTTATGTTAAAAAAAGAGAGAAACATGCGTTTATTTTTAAACAAAACATCATTTATTTAACCAAACTAAGCTGATTTGGGGTCAGTTTTTGCAGATATAATAATATTCAGTGTATGTATGAGGTAAATAATCCTTCAGTGAAACTTAAGCTCCGTAACATCGTTATTCAATAATCTTCTGACCTTGCTTTGTTTGCTCACGTATATGCTTGTGTTTACCCTTCAGGAACTGCCTGGTGGGGGAGAATCTGCTGGTAAAGATTGGAGACTTTGGCATGTCCAGAGACGTCTACAGCACTGACTACTACAGGGTAGGTGTATGTGTCGATATCTTTTCTGGCCCCTTTTTTAGCCCCCACCTCCCTGCTGCATGGGTCCCTTTCTGCTCCCCCCCTGCATGGGCATGACTGATGGACTCTGCAGAGTTACAATAAGACTCTTGCTGTGGTAGGTCAATGAGACTGCAGTGAAGTTAAACATACATACATGTAGCTGTGGAGCGCTCCCTGTGATGTCATGCTGTATATAATTAAATGAACTCAGGGGGTGGAGGATAAATGGCAGGCTTTCTGAGGTCATACTGTGTGTGAAGTAAGGGTTGTTTGTTTGGAATGAACTGCAGCACTCTCTCTTACTGAGATTAGCATACATAAATAGTTTGACAATTAATTTTGTCCTGATTAGATAGTTCTCCTCAGTGTATCTTCTCTTCAGCCAAAAAAAGTTCCATTAAAATAAAATTAAGAGCTGTGATAGAAGAAAAAAAAACGTTATAGGAATAAATTCATGTAAGGCTGAGTGTCACCACTAATGGTCTGAATCATCTGGATTAGGATTCACAAGGTTGAATTTGATTTTAATTGCAATTTGATCCAGTTAAATCCTAATAAAATTGATAGCAATTTGTTCAGGGACATCACTGCTACTTTACCGCTTTTGTTTGAATATTTAAGAGATTCTCAGAAAACTGATGATGTTACTCATAGGAACCAGGTACACTAGTAAAATACTGAGGTTTTATTATATTATTTATTATATCACAAATGACCAAAACACTGCAGAAGTCAAAATAAGTCAATGAATGAATCATTTAATGAACCTGCTCTTGGCTGCATGAATTGCCTTTCCCACACATAAACACATAAATACAGTGCTATATTCACTGTGTTGTTAGGTGGCCTGATGTTGATGATGTTAGTCCCATCTATGTATTCATCTATGTATTCAAGCAGTTATACCATGCTGTCACTGTCATTGAAGATCGTTTTACACTTGTGCTTAATGCACTGTCAAGGCAAGTCTTGGGCTTTGTTGTTGCAGAGTTGTTTTACCTCTATATGCAATTTGACTCCTCTGAAATATCACAAGTAGCCTGGTATGAGTATGTTAATATGACTTTTAAAGCCAGAATTATACTGTACAGACATATAGAAGACGAAAGTTGGGAGCTGGACTGTAACTTAAAAAGAAATGTCTTCCTAAAGAGGATTTTGCTTGTTGTTGTTTTTAAAAGAAAATCATTTTAAACAGGAAAATCAATTTCCTCTAACCCAGCCAAAACTCCCCAGGATAAGACCCACTCATAAAAAGTGATGGTATTCTGTAACAAGGTAATGATTGTTAGGGTACTTAAAACAATATGTATATAAACTTGATATAACTATGTTCATATCTTACTCTGGAATTTACTGGCCCTATACCCGGGATATGTGTTAGTCACTCATGAGATGTTGAGTATCATGTTCTGCTTGTTAATGCTGAGCAAAAAAAATAATTCAAGGCAAAAGTTTTGTTTTGTCTAAATCAGTTTCATAAAAATGCTAAATTTGTGATTTTTAGATGGCAGCTTTGAATCAATAAGATTTTTCGATAAATGCTTTGGATCCAAAATGTTTCAAAAAATGAAGAACTTCAGTTTTTCCAAAAAAATCATTGTTTCATCAACCAGTCCAGTTTACAACACAAATATTCCTGCAACACTGTGAGGCGAGAGTATACACTGAAGCATGACAAAAAAACATATTAATAGCACTGCTTATGGCAGAACTAGTCTGCAGGAAGTGTTAGTCATGAGGCATACACACACACACACACACACACACACACAAACATACGAACACACTCAGAGGGGAAGTACTCGAAAAAGAAAGAGCAGAGAAAACGTAGAAAACACTCCAAAAAAAGAAAGAATGGTGGTGCAGATATTTGTGTGTGAGTCTTTCTATGAGAGCACATGGATGTTAGAGATATTTAGCAGCTCCACTACGAGTGTCAAGACAACCTCAGGGTGCAGGAGACTGACTGTGTGTGTTTTATCCTAAGGTAAAACCATTTGTCAGCTCTCCCAAGGCAGAAATCTAATAAATCGTTCTGATTGATTGATAGTGACTGTCCACTTTTTTCTGCCCTGACTCCACTACTGTGACAAAATGACACAAGTGACAGAGACCTTGGGAGAAGAGAGAGAAAGAGAAGGTGCATAACTGATGACAAATAATCTCTTCTTGGACAAATGACAGCAGTAATCAGATTCAGCAAACTACGGATAATCTCAAATCTCAGTAAAGGCAGTGATTGATTTATTTTATTCATTTTTATATTTTCAAGGTAAAGTCCGCTGTTATTTTTTTGCCATGGTTTTATCCATATTTATACATACAGTATTTATACATTTAGATATATTATACCAGCACATGATTTTAGGCTTTTTGTTTATAATTAAAGAACAGAATTTAGAAATAGGTTTTTTATATGTTGAATTTAATTTTGATCCATTAAAGACAATCTTTTTGGTTTTCTATGTTAATTCAGCATGAATTTTATGAGCTTAAAAGCTACAAATTAAGAGATTATAAAATATTCTAATTGCCTCATAACGTCAGTGCTCTTTTTTTAGACATCGCCCTTCACTTTGGAATAACTGGTTACGTTTGGCATCAAATCTAAAATGTAAAACACATTAAAATCCTTTCCCCTGTGGCGTTTTTGTGCTTTATCTGTGTGACATCACACAGCGCCCCCCACCCCCACCCTCACCCCTCCTTTCACCCCTCCATAATAAAGCTAAGCGCCGAGGCTGTAGCCATGGCGACAATAGAAGGCAGTGGCGGCAAGCCTCAGAGTTGTATCCAGCGTTTTCTCAGGAAGAAAAGTAATCAGAGAACTTCTGTTTAGTATGCTGAGGGAGTACGAGAGGCAGAGAGGGGGGAGAGAGGGACAGGGGTGTGGGAGACAGAGGCATAAGGGTGGCAAAGAGATGAAAGGAGGGAAAGACTCGCAGAAAAGGAGAGATGGTGGGGAAAGGGTGGCAGGCCAGAGAGGAAGAGAAAACGACATGAATATATATACAAAAGAAAACCGAAAAGAAGTAATAGAGCGATCCTAAGGTGGGAGAGGAGAGATCTGTGTACGGCGTACAGGGTTGTCAATAAAAAACACAAACACATTCTGCAGCTTTAGGCAACCACAGAGCAGGAAATAAAAGACAGCAGGAAACAGGGAGAAGTGACAGAAAAGGACAGGGAGGTAGACAGACAAGGGTAAGGAACAGTAAAGCAAGAGAGGTACAGGTTTGTGGGAGGTAAAACACAGTGATCTAGCTGTGTTTCAGCATCCAGGAGAGGCAGGAAGGTGTGTGTGTGGTTGGTGGGGGCTGTAGGGATCCAGTCATGCTCTTGCGTCAGAGGGTAGCAAAGATGAGTCATAGAGGAATTGGAGCCCCCCCCCATCCCAACTTACACACACCCACCTCATGCCTATGTGTGTGTTAGCGTGGGCCGTGGTGACGTCATTGAATCCCCTGTTACACAATAAAGCTGACAAAGAAGACACACGTGGTGCCTCCGTTAAATCTTCAGCTTTACAGCCTTTTTTTCTCGGTGTGTATATTTATGTCAGTTGGACTTGAGGGACGCTGGATGCATTCACTGTGCTGTTTACTCCCTGTCTCCCAGCACTGATTTCATGCCCAAATGTATAGGATAAAGGAGAATTAAATGTCTGCTTGGGTTTTAGGGCTGCAGTCTGACTGGTTTACGCTGCTGACACAGGCTGCTGAAAAACAATGGCAACAAAGCAGAGCTAAACAATCTCTGCAGAGTAATTTGGCTGGTGTGCTTTTTCTTTTCTCCCTTTTTTTTACAACCCATCTCTGGGTCCCAACCAGCTCAGGCAAACAGCATCTTAATGGAGCACCTGGAGAGGCTGGAGTGGAGCTGCATTTAGTGCAAGAGGAGTGTGTATGTGAGCAGACAAAACACCAACGTCCGCTGTCTGTGTGAAAAGATATGAAACAAAACAAAGAGGACTCTGTTACCACATTAAAAAATACAACATATGGACACCTGTTTGTCTTTGAAGGGAAATTGTTCCCAAAAAAGCAAAAAAAAAATGCAGTCGTATAAAGACATAATGCACGTGAATTAACAACAGTTTTAACATTTTCCATGTGAAATAGCTAGTTAACCAAGTTCTCATGTTAAGGTGGAAGTTTTCACAACTCCATCCTCACTTTGTCTCACAGCAATATAATCCATATGGACCTTTTTAAATTTTTAGATCATTAATATTGACCATTTTTCTAAAACAGAATTATTGTGATCCCAGCCCTTTAAAGACCCACCAAGAACTCCTCAGAGGAGCTTTAACTTGGACTTTGAGATATGATGTCTTTGCTTACAGCTGTATTTACTACCTCACCTATATTTTCTGTCATTGTTTTTCCTGGAGCAGACAAAAAAAAAACAAGATAACAAAAGAGTCTGTGATATTTTTTGTGGATAAATAAAAGATCTTTTGATATTAAATCATGTCACTTTGACACAATGGGTGAATATTTATAGCGATGTAACATACTGAATTTAGGATAAGACACTGTTGTGATTGTAGACAAAAACTTCAGCTGAATACTTTAGTGCGAGTTCATGTGCTTTAGGGAAAACACAGCTACGTTTGACTCATTTTGATCTTGATCTGGATCTGACAGTGTTGTGCTGTCAGTACGCTCAGATCCAATTTTTGCTCAACCTAAATTCGACATGAGCGGCAGCATCATTTAAATACCAGCAGCAATTAATACGTCAACCAGGTTACTGTAACCGAGCTGTGTGGGAGATCAAGCTCTATTCGACATGGAAAAACCTGCACACACGCGCACACACACACACACACACATAGACAACAGTATTCTTGAAAAGAGTTTTTGTTTCCATGGAAACACAGAGGGCAATTAAGGTAGGGTTTCTGTGCAACAAAAATGGGTGGAGTTAGTCGCATAAGCCCCGCCTATACCACATCCCATAATGCTTTCTTTTTAAGCTGTTCCAGTTTCCATGGATACATCCCGGAGGTCACCACAAAGACCCCTCCTCTGCTTATTTTTACTTCTCTTTTTTAAGGCTTTCCTGGAACACTCAGGCGTCACTCCATAACTGAAATGATGCATATTTATAAGACTAAGGGAGAGAGAGAGAGAGAGACAGACAGACAAGGGGGGCTTAGAGGCGGCGAGGGAAGGTGAGAACGAGAAAGAGAGAGAGTGAAATAACAGGGAACAGCAAAGGAGACAAAGACTGACAGCAAAGAGAAAACAGAGACAGAGCTGAATGACAGAGAGTTTCTCTGTCTTTACTTCACTGACAGTCTGTTAAACACCACTTTCTTAATATTTGATGCAGCGTCCCACCCAATGAAAAGCCGAAAACAAGAAGCGCTCTATCGGCGCTCCTCGGTTTTCTTTCTTTCTCTCATTTATACATTGAGCCTTGTAACCCTTTCTGAAACGACCGTCCTTTCTTCTCTTCTCCCTTTCTGTCTGGTGTTGCACTCACACAGACAGTTAACAAACATGAAGAAAATGTAGCCCCGCTGTTCAAGAGACCAGTATTAATATTTCAGACCATCAGGGGAAATGATCTGCCATGATGAATAAAACAAAAAGACTAATGCATACCAGCCGGTCGGGGCACCTCAGTGAATAAATACTGTCATAAAACTATCTGTGCGACAGAATTAAATGGGATAAACAATGGCTGTGATCAGGATCACAATCACTGTCTGTTTAATATATAGTGCACTGGATTTGTAGTTGTGCATTTTGTTTGTACTGGCAGGCCCGGTCACATTTATAATAAGTAAAGATGGCCTTTACAGAATACGCTTTGTGGTTGAAGGATATTTGACTAGCTTGGATTGCAACTCAAGATAATGCTTCATGAGGTCTTTGGCTGTGTCCAGAACTGCACACTAATATTACTAACTGTAAGGATGCCTAGTCCAGGTTCACACACTTTAAAAAATGGAAGGTCCACACGAATGATCATTTTGACAAGCTTTACTGCTTACAGATCTGGATTACAGCTTCATCATGCCACAAGTGCACCACAAGTGTAACAAAGATTGGTCAGAGACTGCTCAAGTGTATATATAGTTGTCCACGTTTCCAAATATTCCGCTTGCATCTCGTTGACCTAAAGGAGAGTCCATATAAGGTAATAACAAAGCACAACATATTTTGGGAGCCTGAGTGATGTTCAACATGGGTACAAGGTCCTTGTTGAGGATAGTTGTTGGAGGCCCATGGCTCCAGAAATCTCTCACTAAAGTATCTGAGTGACACAGCTCCACCACCCTAAAGGCTGACATGACCCTAATACTAACATACTGGCTGGTAACCTGATGTTTGGTTTACTGTCAACAGCATATGATGCATATCATCTCTACATCATATGATCACACTGAAGAGGTACATCTGCTCTCGGCTGCAACCTCTGAGATAGCACACACAGATTTCAACAACAATTGAGTTAAGGACCTGATATGTCCACCATATTTTATTTTTATTATTTACTCACACTTATTACACCAGTGTATAAGCAAGATGAGCTAATGTTGGTTTGTCCAGTAACAGTACCAAGTACTGAACTCAAATATTTTGTAACATCAGAGTCTTTCAACAAAGTGAACATCACAACTAAAATAAAGTACAGGATTCATGCAGAAGTACAGAATTTCTGCTTAACTTTAGATTAAAGTAGAGAACAGTCACACACAGTAGAAGCTATGAGGGATTTTGTGCTCTGAAAAAGCCCCACCACTTCACTTCACAAAATGGATTTGTATCAGTAGGTATGAGAATAAAATCAGCTGAATTTAAATCAATATCTATAAGCCACTCTGCATAATAAGCGCAGAGTGCATTGAGTACAAATCTCCCAAAACAACAGAAACAGAGAAATTTGTGAGAAGAATATAATGTACTCACTATACTCAACTTGTGTTAAAGCTTTAGAGAAGAGGTTTCCTAGAGGACAAAAATTCTGGCTCAACTTCACCAACTTTCAAGATGCTTGGAGAAAAAGGGTCTTAAAGAGGTCAAAAGAGCTTCAGCAATACTTGTGGTTTATAAAAACAGCTTTATTTGACCAACGCATTTCGGCTTGTGACCTTCATCTGGGAAGAGGTTTCCTCACACAGCTGTTGTTTATCATGCTTTTTTACCATCTTATGCCGAGATGGCTCCATTTTGTTTGAGGTTAATGTGTGTGTGTGAGAAACACAGTAAAAAGATGATTGTATTAAGTTATAAATTAAAAAAAAAGAAGTTTTAAAGTTTAGGTAGGAAATCTCGAAAACATCAGAGTCATGAGTTTATGATGTCTTTGCCATCAGGTTTATTTCTAAATCTTACTAATTCCACCTTTAAAAACGAGACGACACACGTTCAATCTCTCTCCACCTTCTGTAGTCTTTATTTTCTGTCCTTTTTGGGATTTCGACAGGATGCTGCAGTTTGCACTTTGCTCTCTTCACTCACAGAAACAAAATGTACAAGCTTATCTATCTGGTTTCTTTTCTATTTTATGTGTTATTGCCTTTCTTTCTAAAGATTGTACCCCTTTATTTACTTTTACAAAAAAATTCCAATTATAGCCATACCAGTAAAGCACTTTTAAACGAGACAGAGCCAGAGAGAGAAATGCAAATAAGAAAGAGAAAAACAAGCAGGAGAACCTGGAGTAGAGACAGAAGAGCGAGGGCCTGGTTATGAGTAAGAGCTGCAGAGATGGAGGCTGATATGTTTCCCCAGGCGTACCAGTGGACCTGATGGCTATCTGTGTGACCGTGCACATTTTATTACTCCATTAAATAACCCACTGACTAACAAAGAAACAGACCAAGTGTGGGTGCCAAGTCATTAATAACGGGCATAAACCTCAGAAAATGGATTGTGCTATCTGTGAGGAGCAATAGAGCGCACATGGGTCTGTAGATTCATGTTCAGATGAGAAGTACAGGGCGATGGGAGCCTCAATATAAGGGAGCGAGCACCAGCACATTCTTTCACTATGAGGGTGAAAATTTCAATTGGCAGGATATCCAATTTGTTAGCAAGGAAAATGGCTGTGTTCCACTAAATGAGCTTTTCATCCACACATGATGAAGTAAATGAAATGACTGAATGTTTGATAAATTTGTTGGTTTTTGTGTGGGATTAGCTGAACCACATAAATTTGCATTTTTGCATCAAGACATTTTGACTTTGTCAGGAACCTCTATTTCAACTAAATGAATATGAAAAAATTAAATCAGCTAAATTATAAAATGCTCTTATTAAAATTATGGCACTTGTCGTGTCGGGGTCGTTGTTGACCCGGTTAGATTAATATCTAATAATATTGAGCAAAAACTCTAATCATATGTGTACTGTCAGGCACCACACTGAGAGTCAGATCCTCTTCCAATCACATGATATTTAGGAAATTCTCATTTTTCCATGTTTCTCCCTGCACAAAAAAACAATGTTGGGCATGTCCAGACATGTGAGATCAATTCAGTATAGATGTCTGTATGAGGGGTATACTGACAAAGAAAGGCCCAGAGAACCACAACGAAAAATATTATAAGCAATATTTTCATGGACAATGAAGCTTAACAAGGTAACCTAGAGATGAGAACCAAAGTGGACGATAGAGAATTGTTTTTAGTGTAATTTACAGCTGATTTAGCATCTTAGGTTGGGTCTTGATAATTCATCAAACAATGAGCGTGATCTAGACCTGCTCTGTTTCTTTGGAAAGCGTATTAGGATAACGACTGTTGTGAATTGGTGCTATATAAATAAAATTAGATTGATTGATTGATTAATTTGAGACACGGGTCGAAACCGACCTTTTACATAGTGGGTACACAGTAAAAGCTAACATAGAATGATGTTTTAATTCATTTAACTTCACTTACTTGGAACATAAACAATGCATGGGCTAAACCCACTTCTACTTGAGCAGATATTAATTCTTTATGTCTGATAAAGTTTTGATTTTACACCCATTTTTGTGTCAATTTATTGACCTCATACTGATCAAATGAATACGTGTACTCAGTTAGAGCTCAGTGGCGTAAAATGTTTGGCCTCTTTGTCTGAGCAGTGCTTTTTCATCATCGTATTTTTCAGTGAAATGAAATCACACCCTGATCAGCAATCACAGAGATGATGCAATTCACTGTGTCATATTGTCACCTTGAAGCTGTGTTATTTCAAAGACCACAGTTCAGAGGACTGAAACATTTACAGCAGAGAAACTTAGTGATGAGTGTGTAAAGCTGCCATATACCATAAACCCACCATAAGACCGAACAGAGCAGAAGACAATCTGAATATTGAGCTACAAAATCCACCAGGAGAGTCTTAACAGCTCTCTTAATGTTCTTTCCTCTTTGTTGCTGTCTGTATATTATACTGACTGTACACTCTCTCTTTCTGTGTGGGTTTGTGTGTAATTGTGTTGTGCTCAAAGGTTGGAGGTCACACCATGCTGCCAATCCGCTGGATGCCCCCTGAAAGCATCATGTACAGAAAATTCACCACAGAGAGTGATGTCTGGAGTCTCGGAGTCGTCCTCTGGGAGATCTTTACCTACGGCAAACAGCCGTGGTACCAGCTCTCCAATAATGAGGTAATGTAAAGAGCAAAGTCCTTAAATGTCAAAGTTTTTACTTGGAGCCAGCTGACATCATTTGACAAACAGCCAGAGCTGCTGTAACTTAACATAAATGTTACAGGGGAAGTACCTTTGGCTTTAGAAATAACAGTAAACATGTTGTTGCTGCCCTGAGACATGAGATAACAGCCGCTCAGCTGAGAATGAAGCGACATGTTTTAACCTTATGGGGGGCAGGTTCCTCGTAGGTACATGTGCATCCTTTGGCCTGAATCATACAAATATAAAAGGCTTTGTTGTTCAGTAATTCAACAAGTTTCATATCATTTCATCATGTCTTGAATTTATTGTCAGGTATGACGCAGCATCTGGGAGCTTCATGTGTCTTGTACTCCAAATGGAGAGGAGTTTTTGATCCCACTTTTTCAAAAGAAGCTGATTTTTTTAGCCAAAACTACTAAAATGAATGTTCCCATTAGCATCCAATGACAAACATCTTGAATTTTTGACATTGCTCTGTTTTACTCTCTGTAGATTTTTGATATGTTTATGTTTTGATGCCACTTTTTAATGGTTTTTCAGTTTTTGACACACTCCTACTTTGAAGTGCTGCAAAGCAATTCCCCCCTTCAGATTAAATTAGTCTAAAAAGATAAGGTCGGTCTTATCTTTCTGTATGTTATCTTACATATAAAAGACTAGAGCTTCAACCAAGCATCACTTTCAATTTCAATTACTTTGAAGACTTCCTCCTCATTCAATAAAATGGCATTTTAATAATCAGCCTAAAAGAGAGGAAAGCGGCAAATAATCACATTTTAGAAGCTGGGTCGAGCAAATGTTTGTCTCTTTGTCTTGATAAATGAGACGATAAATGGTTTATTGAGATAGCTGCTGTTTAAAACCCTCAGCAGTCATCAGCCTGTCTGCGGATTAACCAAAACCAGCTTATAACTGTGGACAGACAAATTCACAACCCACCCTTTTTTTCAATGGAAGGGTGTACAGAGGGTCTTTCCTTCAGCAACTTTACATAGAGTTAAAACAAAAAAACAGTTGAATGGTATAAAACATGAAACTGCACCTGCCTAAAATGTTCTACATACAGCGAGTGTGTATAAAAGCAGCTGTTCTGTATCAGCAAAAATCACCAACAGGTAAACAAATCGATAAATAAATAAGTAAACAGTTGTCTGTTTCTTCTGAATTATTAATATCTCGTATAAATCCTTCCTTTACCACACCGAGGGTCTTGACCCACTTTCCGTAAAGAGACCCAGCGTGTCACGGCCCTTCAACCCTTCACCTTCACCTTCACCTTCACTCCAACCTCATCACCCTCGACCACATGAGGCCTCAACTCTGGTTACCGCTCTCTATATTCCCTTTAAGTCAACCTTTGGCCTGAACTGTGCTCCGCTTTTCCCGTTAACATCTATTAAATCTCTCTTTTCATTCACTCTCCTCTAACCTCTTAACCTCAGATTTCCTTTACATGTGTTCGGGATGGTTTAAATGTAAAACGAGAAGTTCTGCTCAATTTTCTACTCTTGCAGGCTGATTATAAACACAGATGAGATGTGAGCAGATGAGGTTAATGTTTGATTAGCACCATGATAACTCTCTTACAAGCTGGAGTCCTGATTATTCAGAGATATTGATGATAATCTGCAGAAATTTTATCTTTTTTAGATGAATTTGTTTTTTTTTTTAGCTTAACTGATGTCGGTAAATTCTTATCAGTCTTTGCACACAGCAGAGAGTATTAACCGGGTAAGGAAACTATAAAAACGGTGATTATATTAAAAGGGATCAACCATATAGATATTTTCCAATTGCTGCTGGGGAAAGATACATGAAATACATCTCTGGAGAATATGTAGTTTAGGGGCTCGTCTCCTCAATTAATAAATCTTTTTCATCCTCTAAAGGTGGACTAAAGCTGAAATCTGTATTTCTAATTGCAGTAATAAATAAACCATATGGTAAACGCAGCTCAAGAGGAATTGGACTGTCTCAGCCAGCTTTTCAGTACAAAATAACTCCAGTAAAATTTATTCTCAGTGACATTTTCATTGTATCCCACTGCAGTGAACTTCACCAGGAAACCGTCTTTCATCGTCGCCGCACTTTAAACATTTCAACCTGAATTGATGTTTTTTTTTTATTGCTCATTTGTTTCTGTAACTGATGATGAACTTAGCGTCTGTGTTCCCTCCTCTGCAGGTGATCGAGTGTATAACGCAGGGCCGGGTGCTGCAGCGCCCCAGGACCTGTCCTAAAGAAGTGTACGACCTGATGCTGGGCTGCTGGCAGAGAGAGCCGCACATGAGACTCAACATCAAGGAGATCCACGGTCTACTCCTCAACCTGGCCAAGGCCTCACCTGTTTACCTGGATATACTGGGCTGAAAACAGTGGAAGGACGGAGACAGATTTGGACGTGCGTGTTTGTTTGTATCGAAACTACTGTATCTGAAGAGAGTATGTGTGTTCTGGGGTTGCATGCATGTTCGAGTGTGTTTTTTCTGTTCGGGTGGACTTGGTTGACACTGGGGTATGAAGCGTGTGATGCGAGGTACCACTGTACAGGATGTGAAGCTATTATCAGACTCTTAAAGGCAATCAAAAAATTCCTCAACCCATCCCCACTTGCCTCGCTCCTTCCTCCAAATTCACCAATTTCCCCTCCTTTGTGCATCGCAGCTCCTTCCCTGCTCCTTCCTTCCTTCCTGAAGAGACATTTACTGAGAGTAATTTCACTTTAGAGGGAAAAGGCTTCTCTCTCTTTTTTTTCAAATGCTTTAAACTGACTGAGGCTGAATTGACGAAACCTGATTAACAAGACTCAAAAATTAGTGACTCATCCCTCGCTGCCTGTCGGACAACAGGACTCGGAAATTACGAGGAGGTGGAGGATTATCAGGAGTTTCAAATCCTTTCGAATGCTTGTAAATACGAGACGCTTCAGAGGAGACGGCTCTCGGTGAGGCGGAGCCATAAAGACACTGTGTTTCCCCTTTCACCCTGTCTGTCAGTCTGTCTGTTTTTCTGTCTGTCGCAGTATTACTGTCAACATTCATCCTACTACTAGTACTACTACTACTACTTCTACTACTACTACTGCAGAAAGAATGATTTACACACAGCTACACGAACAGTACTTTTACTACAAGAGGAGAAACGATGGAGAAATAAATACAATCTGGCGTCTGTGTGAGACGATACACACGATAACTTCTGGAACATTACAGTGCCTGCTGAAGCTGAGCTGAACTTCTGTGCTGAAAAATAATCCGGGGAGGAGGCAGAGGAATTATAATGTCTTGTAATTGTGAATCCTAGAAATGTAAAAAAGCTTGAACTCTCTGGTACTGCTCTACAATTTCTCCTCATGCAACAGCGTGAACATGCTGAACATGCTAATAAGGATATATGCACTCATAACTGCTCTGTGGTACACTCTTACTTTGCTCAGGCCTTATACACACACACACACATACACACAGCGGAGGGTAACATGATGGCTATACTCCCCCACACACACACACACCCTCCACCTAAAGTGACAGATGCTTCACTTGTGATGTCAAGCGCTCATGTCGAAGGTCAATTGATTGATATGTTTGCAGCTGTCTGTCTATCCAGTAGTCTTGGTTTTCGGGGGAAGCGGAGGAGATGTAGGGGGGGCGTGTGAAGATGGCAGAGGGAGGCCGGGTTTTTGAGTGGTCAGGTCTCGGTTAGCGGTGTGGGCGGTGGTGCTGTAAAAGGTGTGGTTCATTTGGTCAACCCATATTAAATCATCAAGGCTTTCAGCACTCAGACATCCTTGAAAACCACATCTGTGCTCGAGGGGGCCGCACAAAACAACACACAAACACACACTGTGTACCTTGCCCGTCATCCCTCGTTTCCACACACACACACACACACACACACTCACACACTGAAAGACACTCAAAACTGTCCGAGAAGGAAATTGAATTGTGCATGTTTTATTATTTGAGCGGTGCAGTGCTTTAGCCGGGTCCCGTCCACTGTAATGGTGTAATGTATATTTCATTACAGCCTAATGGGCTCCATTAGCACAGTCTCCTCACAGACATTCAAGACTTATTTTTTTATGGCTGAGAAGGATGGATGGAGGGGTGGAACGGAGAGGTGAAGGAGAGGAGCAACATAGGAGAAGAGGAGCAGCGGAGAGGAGAAATAAGAGGAGAGGTAATAACGCATACTGGGGTAGAAAATGGAGAAGGAAGGAGAGAGTCCAGAACAGAAGCAATGGGGTAGAAAGAAGGAGACGATGGGAGTGGGGGGAGAATGGTTCATGAGGAAGACAAAGGAGGAAGAGGAGACAGAGGAGTGGAAAGAGAGGAAAAGGAGGTGTGAATGTCCTCAGGGAGAAAGTGAGAGTGAGCATCCATCATTACAGCAGCCTGCACATGTTCTATAAGCCACAACTTTAACCTCACACTCATAGCACATTCCTACGTTCAGCTCCAACCACACGCACACAAACATATACACACACACACACTTACACTGTATACACACACATTTTACTGGCAGTCCACCAACAGCTAACACTGAAAAAAACTCAATAATGCACCACACATCCCCATTATTGAGAACCACTTGACTCACTTACAGCACAGCTCACATATCTGTTTTTACCGACACACTGTATATACACAGAGGCTCACATGCATGCAAGAAAACACATTAATGTTTGTTTGGGCGTTTTGCTGGAGCATATTTTACTCTTACAAACACGACCACTGCGGTTTCACTAACAGCCATTCTCTTCGATGTAAAAACATCTATCTGGAAGTCTTTTTTGTTTCTGAACAACAGCACTTGATGGTATAGATGTTTGTGAACTTGAAAATGTTGGTTTTATTGATTTATAGTATTATTTATAAATTAAAAAAGCATTTTTGTACATTTCTTTCTATATATACAGTTGCCTTTTGCAACAACAAAATGACTAATAATGGTCACTTGTTTTATTTATTATGTTTGAGCAAAATGTGTAAGATAATCTCCAGTGTATTTTTATGTCACGCTCCCTCTGAACAGCTACCTAACCTGTCCTAGTGTCTGGAGGGCTCTACAGCAGGGGTGGATGTTACACCGGTGTGCAGATTTATTTTGACATAGTGCAAATGTTCGCCTCCTGCAGAGCATGATTGTGAGGGTTAACGGTTGCAGCGTCCACAAGGCTGGCTAACAAGCTCCTCAAAATCCATCCCTGCTGTACAGTCAAGTAGAGTTTGCACTGAGTGAGCGCTGCACTCGACGTGATTCAAAAACGTAAAACACAATAACTCTGTGCAATAACAGAGGGCGGGGGAATGTGTGCTCTGGAAAAGAAACGAGAAGAAACAAACTCATAGAGGAGGAGAGGGTTGAAGCAACATCCCAGCTGACTGCACTGTGTGTGTACATACCTGCTGTGTTTTTTTTTAGTTTAATGATGAACTGTGGAGACGTTTTGACAGAAAGACGATGTGAGACAATGTTTGTTTTGATGAAGACTTGTCAGCACAACGCAGGAGAGCTCTGAAAAACTTTAACACAACTCCAACCGGAGATCGGCTGTCTTCGCATTGAGGCCTCAGATCAAAGTTATTGGTCAAATATGGAAAAAGAAAAAAAAAAGAAAAATACAGGAGAACTGTTGTGCGAATGGACGCCTCAGACAAAGAGGGGCTGACAATCACAGACTTCTCTCTTTCTCTCTCTTCTTCAAGTGACCTACTGTAAAATAGACTTACACAACCAATTTTCCTCTTCTATGCTGCCTATACTGTACGTGATAGTCTTAAACTTTGGTCTCTAAAAGTGCTACTTTTTCTTTATTTTCTTTTTTGTAAAATGAAATAACAGCAAGAGGAATGAACAAAAACACAAATATACAAATGTGAATAAGCTGCTGAAAGAAATAAGCGCCACAACCTGCTGTGTCCAAGACTGTCGGTAACTAGATTGTACTTTTTTTCCCTCTCTTTTTTTCTTTTTTTTTTGTCTCAGAGGAGGGCAGAGAAAATGGTTGAAGCTTCTGTTCCTACGACTCATGCTCAGCTTTTTTCCTCTGATGTTACAACCTCATTTGGGTGGGAGGCTAAAATGCTGTTTAATGTTGTACTCGACATTTTCTTCAAACCTCAACATAAAACATTTTTGAGATTAGCTGAAACTAGCATCCAGCCACTCTCTGGTTAGGTCCAAGTGCCACGCGAGAGACAAGCTTCTTGAAAACTGTGATGTTAGCATGAGTAACACCTGTCTTTTTAACTTAGCTTTTCATGTTTACATGTTAGCTTAGCCTGCCTAATAAGTAAGCTAATGTGCTAACACTACAAGAGCTAACGTGAATGTAAAGGACAGCTAGGAATTCATGCCTTTCCTTACGTGTTGTTACTTGATCTTTTCAATCGGTGGGAGCAAGAAAGTGGTTGAATGCTAATGTTAGCTCATGGTAACTCAGATGTTGGCATATAATTTACCAAAAAAGAGCGACTTATGTTGTTTTAATTTGAAATCTGGTCTGCTGACCCTCCTTCATTTCCCCTGAATTCTTTTTGTGTTTGTATACAACATTAAATAAGCTTTTTTAATTTCCTTCCTTGAGCATGACATCAGGGGAAAATGCTCCCCATGTTAATATGGTAATTTACACAAAATGACACATCTGCCAACAGGATGCGGAATTATTTATTGTAAGATGGTAGAGGAAGGTCCCGCCCTCCTTTGCCTCTGATTGGTTAGAAGTTCTGGGCTCTGATTGGTTATTCCTGAAACGTCATTGTCTGTCGGGTTATGGTCAGGATTAGGATGCGGGTTAGTGTTAGGAGATTTAGAAGTGCGATAATGTTCTGTTCGATGTACAGAGCTGACAGCCCGCGTTTGGCTTGAGCGTGTGATGACGTTTCCAGCTTTTCTAGCCAATCAGAGGCGAAGGAGGTGGGACTTTCCCCTTACCATCTTACAAAAAAAAAATATCGCCCACAGGATACAGAGTTGTTGCTTTTCCTCTTGGCGCGTGTGAGTGTGTAAGGGGAGGGCTGATTAATGCCATAGTGAGTCAGGAGGGATTCAGACTCGACCCAAATCCAGGTTCAAATCAGTTTCAAGGAAGAATCAGGCATTGATTTGTTGCCACTCACAAATGTATGATAAATTACTATATCCAGTCATGTCGGACTGAGGTCGGTATTATGGCAGCTAAGATTCATGGAATCACTCAACCTTATTTATTTATGTTTAAAAAATCAGCCTCCTGCCAAACACATATGAATGAATCCAATTTTTTTCTCACCCGTTTCAGCAATATGAGCAGATATTTTCCATTTTTTAGTTCCTCATGACTTATTACGAGTAGAGCTAAACCATATGACACAGTACATTTAAGTCTATCCTGCTCTCAGATACACATCAGGAGTCTGATCGTGTCATGATCTGTATCAGGACTAATCCCTTCTCTCTCACACATCAGAGTCTAAGCAAATAAAGCTGAGAAATCAGAAAGGTCATCTTTAAGATTACCTTTCTGCTTGGATGCTTCTGAAGCCTCGTCGCCTTGAAGAAAGTAAAACCACTCAAACTGCTTCTCTGCAAAAAAAAAAAAGAAAAGAAAAGAAAAAAAAGTTTTTTGGGGTGAAACTGTGATTTGCTATATGCAGTATCTCTGTTTTTCAGTATTTGGTTTTGTATCGTTTGTCTCTGTGTTAAAAGAAGGTTTTGTTGCTGCCACAGTGGTAGAAAAAGGAGGATTTGTGGACGTCTTGTGGATGCTTGGATTGTACACGGCTTAAAATAGGACACAGGACAAAATGCTGTGAGATTTCTGTACGAAAGAGATGTCAAATTGTAATTCAATGCCTAAAATGTAAGGACCATCTGTCTCGCAAAGCACATTGGTAATTAAAGCCGGAAATAAAAATCTAAATGTGCTTAGGTGGAAACACACACACACACAGCAGAAGGATCATGTACAGTCGTACAGATGGCAGAAATAATAAAAAGTGAGTCATGATGATGGTGATGATATGATTTCTCTCTGAACCTGGAACAGTCTGTGCTACAATGTAATTAATAAAAAGTGTTATGTCACAACAAAGCTCCTTAAAGTGTATATACTGAAAAGTTAGGAGTGTATAAGAGTGTATGTGTGTGCGAGAGAGAGAGAGCGAGAGAGTCACTCAGAGAACGGTCTAAAAAGGAAAGAAAAATTGAGGGGCTTTGCAGAAACAGAAGAAGCACTCAGGCGTGCTAAGGGCGATGTTAGAGGGGCAGAAAAATAAGCTAAATTGAATTCAGTGATAGAGCTGGAGTGTTTGAGTGTTGCCACATCGCGCTCATTCTATTAATCCAGCTATAAATCCAGTGTCTTTTCAGAATAAAAAGAAGACAAAAAACACGTTTGCTTGGTTTGCAGATTAGGAGCAGGCTGAGGGCTTTTTGCAGGGAATTGTACAAGCAAATTGGACAGGAGAGTGCAGCTAAATCCCTGATGCAATTAAGCAACAGCTGAATTAATATGTTCTTCTCACATAGTCTACAATTTATCTTTTAATATAAACGTCACAGGAAAGGAAATGAGAAATGCAGGGCAGCACAAAATTCACCTTGGTGCAAGAGTGTGGATGGTGTGGAGGGAGGGGAAAGTATCCAGACTCAGCAGACTGCAAGTATTAGCGTGCGTGTGTGTGTGTGTATGTAAGAGCTCTAATAAGGTGGTAGTGGTGCTTCCCTTGGTGTACAGTGGAGAACTCCTGTGCTCAGCACATCAACCTCATAAATAGCACTTTTAATCAACAGACACAAAAGGTTTCAAGGATGAGGCACTCTGTAAAAGCTGATCAACTGTAAGCCCTAAGTGAAACAAACAGGGATGAACGGCCGTCATTCACAGCTCAAGATAGTTCGGGTGTAGTGATTGTCAATCATAGACCCCAAAATACCTTTTTTTAAACAGCTTTGTCACAGACCCTCCTTTCTTTCTGCCTCAGGACAGAATTATTTCCCTCTTGATCTCAATTAATACACGATCGACCTTAATAACTGTGATTTAAAACTGAGGAAGCGCTTATAGGCAAAACCAGGGCTCAATTTGAGCAATTTCCTAAAGCTTTTTTTTTCTCATTTAAAGTTATTTAATTGAGGACAAAAAATAAAAATGGGTAGTGGGCTTGATGAAACAAATTAGTATTCGTTAGATTGTATTATCAGTCTTTGGGGGCTGAGTTTGAGATTCGGGGGGCCTATGCCAAATCTCTATTAGTACTACTCTCCAAGACGCTTTTAAAAAATACCAAAGATCCCTCAAGTCAGCATGCTCCAGCTTCTAGCATCGGACTGAAGCAGACACTTAAGGTGACAGATAATTTAATGGTTGAGGGTGCCTATTTGGCTGAGTGGTAAAATGTGCACCCTGTATACAGTTGTATATACTGTACACAGTTAAAGTCCTGGAGCTTGATTCAGGACCTGTAGATCTCTTTACCTCTTCACTCTGCCCACTGCTCTAACTCTAAATAAAGGTATAAAAGCCTGAAATTTAACTGAAAAAACACTCATAACCTCCATATAATTGTCCGGTACATTTTTCTCTCACTGTTTCTCATCTAGTTAAGAACGTTACAAGTGCTGCGACCATGAACAGAGCTCATCAGAGTTGTCAATCATACCATTCCTCCTTTTCTTTTTAGCATCAAACAGCGAACTAAACTGAACTTCCCCTAAAGATGAACACTCGGACATAAATCACCATGATGAGAACATGTAATTTTGAGTGTAACACACAACCCTCCTCCGGTGTTCGGGTCTGCACCGACCCGTTTTTGATTTTAAATGCTTATATATTTTTTTGCATCAAGACTTTTTGACTTTGGCAGAAACCTCTATTTCAACAAAATAAATAAATAAATAAATAGACTAAATTATAAAATGCTCTTATTAAAATTATGGCACTTGTCGTGTCTGGGTCGCTGTTGACCCGGTTAGATCAATATCTAATGATTAGAGCAAAACCTAAAATCATAAGTGCACTGTCAGGCACCACACTGACAGTCAGATCCTCTTTCAATCATGTGAGATTTAGGAAATTCTCATTTTGCCTATTTTTCTCTGCACAAAAAACAACGACGGACATGTCCAGACATGTGAGATCAATTCAGTATAGATGTCTGTGTGAGGGGTATACTGACAAAGAAAGGCCCACAAAAAACTATTGTAGGCAATATTTTCATGGATAATGAAGCCTAACAAGGTAACCTAGAGATGAGAACCAAATTGGATGATAGAGAATTTTTTTTAGTGTCATTTACAGCTGATTTAAGACACAGGTCAAAACCGACCCTTAATATGGTGGGTGTGTAGTAAAATCTAACACAGGAGGAAGGTTAAATGAAAGGAGACTACGTTCCTAACCTTGTTCAAGTAAAAAAAAGATTTTTGGTTTACCTGAGTAGGTAAACAAGGAGTAAATAATGGTAACTAAACTGAATATACACAAAATAGATGGGATGAACACAGTTAGAGCGCCCGGCAGAATGTGATCATTATCTCCAACATGGCCCTGACAGGAACGACAGCTGCTTCAGACTCATTAATGAGACGTAGGGCAGAGGAAAATTTAAAGACCACAGATGATGCTGATACTGCCAGCTCTGCCGTCAACATATGATATGAGATAACCAAAATTGGTGATGAGTTATTCTCTGAAAAACAAAGATTGAGCATCATGTTGACCAAAAATGAAGCTGCAGTCATGAATGAATGAGGGAAAAATAACATTAGTGCTCCAACAGTGTGTCATGAAGATGATCTATCAAGCTAATAGTTACATGAATATTAATTAGACAGCTGTAGCCTGTATGGACGATTAAATTTTAAAGAAATACGACTTTTCATGACCCAAAAGGACTTAAATAATTGCTGGAATTTTGGAAGTCATGTTTTTGTCACGTAAAAAAATGTTTGTTTTAATGGACCTCGAATTCTGACAGCATAAAAGCTTCCACCTCCAGAAAATTGTCCCTGAAAACATCCAAGATAGAGTTCAAAGCCCAACAGAGTCCCTTGAATGAGTGGTGACTGACAGGAAAAGGTGATAAGTCACCTAATTTCTGTGACTGCAACCCTATAGAGACAATATCCCTGCACCTTTTGACACTTTCAGTCAGGGAAATAATGGCCTACGAGCTGGGGCTTAGTGTCTCTAACAAGCGAGCCTTACATCAAAGCCTGTGTAATGTCTCTGCTAACTGTAGCCTGCCTCTGCTTTAATACTATACCATTAGCTTTTCTTCATCCCAGAAGATCTAAAAGCAGTAGGAGAGAGCAACAGTTGCTCAAAGGAGATGTGTCATTATTGCAGAAACACACAACAAAACAATAGCAGGGCGAGACAAAGTGCCGGTGCCTCATTATGACCCAGTCCAATTAGAGATTTTAAGGCGCTGACAGGCCGTCATTAGTGGTTAACTCCACTGCTGCACCTGCACCGTGACATCACCAATACCACAGGGAGGACAGTGGGATTGGATGTGTTTCCCTCACAAGTGACTAATGATAGCTGTTCACTGCTGCAAATACACAGTTTTCAAAATGAATATGGTTTTCTATCCTTTAAGCAAAAGAGCAGAAAATCACCCTTCCCTTGCACGCACACACACACACACACAAATGCAAAGAGTGCACAGAATGATATACATACATTCAAAGATATAAAATTTAAGGTTGTGGGAAAAGATGATCTCTGTTTTAAATCACTGTAAATGAGCATATGGCTTCTGTTCACAACATTTGAATAAATCTATCAATCTCCGTTTCAGCTGTTTTTTAGTTTCTACGGTTGTAGGCTGCATACGAGCAACTTATGTACTGACAATTTCCTTCAAGAAAAAAATCTTTTCGTGTGATTAATTTCTGTGAGACATGCTGTCAGACAGCACATTCAACACAATAAAGATTGATGTGATCTAATTTTGGTCCTTCAGTCTTGATTTCTAGGGTAGTCTCAATAAAGTGTGAACAACAGACACAAAGCATGCCTGTAACCGTGGCAACTGTCAGCAGCACCAGCACAAGAAAGAGGAACGCTGTGGTGCTGCTGATCAAAAAAATGCAAGCGCACGAAGAAAACGATACCACAATGTACTGATTATATGATTAAAAAGCACTAATTGACTATTTTCTGATTTCGCTGCCCACTTCTTGACCTCAACAACATTAATTCACAAGCATTGGTCGCTGATAATAATTGAAAAGATCAGGCTGAACTCAAACTGAACACATTAACTTTCAAGGATATCAATGGTTTGTGAGGGTCACCTCTTCAAGTGAGAAAATCTGGACTTCTTGTTAAGCCGGAAAGAATCACATCCGTGCTTGAAATAAAAAACAAAACAAACAAAATAGAGAAATAAGGGAGAAAAAAAAAATCAAAAGCTCAATATAACAAGCACATATGATGGCATGAAGATACTTGGAAGCAACAAGTTTCCCACTTGTTTTAACAACACTTTAAAGGTACTGTGAGGAATTTTAAATTGGTTGTAAAATAGATTGAAACTGCTCAGGGTGCCTCATTATAACCTTCAAATCAAATGACAGAGACGGCAACAAAACAAATAATTACTCAAATTAAAATTTTAATGCATTAAAACCGCAGTGAGGTGTAAGTGTCAGACCAGGTGAGTGATAGTGGACCACAAAAAAAAAAAAAATCATTTTAAGTTTTTATGGCAAATACTTATAGTGATTGATACATTTTACTTTTAAAAGACAACAGGAGTAGTTTTCTTTTTTCGGCTGAATATTCATTTATTAGACATACTGGACTAGAGATAAGTGGTATCACTTTGTCCACAGGAGGTGCCAGAACCAACGCAAACAAAAAGTTTCTTATGGCAACTTTAAATTCAGGCTAGCCAACTCTTCAAAAGCAGGGCTCGACAGTGCGACCATTTCACTCACATTTGAGACTAAAAATAGATGTGTGTGAATTGTATATTATATTTAGAGGCACATGTGCGCATAAAAAAATCAGCCGAGGCAATGAATGTTTTTTCATGTAAATACTGTGGTGAAGTTAGTTTTAGGTCGGATATTCGACGGA